TGTAAAACCAAAGGAGGGTTAAGGCGTATTTTTTGTCATTTTGTTTTAAGTGTGAAAAAGAGCAAACCGAGTTCTTTGTTTTGCCATATCAACCATTTTGGAATCCTGATGAAAACCGACGATATATGGGGAAAAATGATAAGGGTTCCCAGTGATTGACACAGTGCAAGATTCCTTTAAAAGACTTTCACTCAACAGTGGCTCTGGCAACTTGGGACTCCGTTGTCAGGTGGGGTCATCACTTTAGATCCCGAAGTCCAGTTCTGTCACAACAAAGTAACTGTCAAGTCCAAAGAACTTTGTCGTAATGACGTTCGACTGTACCGTCACCAAAGTCCTTGATCTCATTTGTGATGCCATCAGGCAAAACGGGTCGCTTGCCGCATTTTCACTTAAAAAAAAGTCTCAGAAAATAAAACGTCCCAAAATCACATCTTTTCAGGCTTCAACTTCCACTATCATTGATTCAAAGGCTGTTTCAAGGTTGGAATTGTTACAGAAAAATGGCATGATTCACCTTGGGAAAGAATGAAATTCAAGAAATTGGCCTGGGTTGACAAGTGGATAATTTCGCTTGATTGCGTCACGTGATCAGATCCGGCAATGCAGTCCTTGGAGCGTGTGGCTGCTCACCACGCTGCAGTGAGTACGGGCATTTTTCTAAGGGCAAGTATTTGATTTTGGTGGATGCAGAATAGCGGAAGTTACCGTGGGTAAGGAGCCCAACGTCAAGTCGGTCAGTAGCACTGCAATGAGGAACTCCAATCATACATCCGAACGCTTCATCGAGCATCGAAGGCAAAAATCAAAGCCACCGATTAGCCTCTGAGTAAGCTACGACCTTCATCCAACTGATTAGAACGCAGAATGTTAAATCCAACTTTGGGGCAAGAGTTTGTCGTGGACTCACCCGTGTGCTCTGATAGCAAAGTCCATGATGTCCTTTGTAGTCCTACCTCCTCTGTGGGTGTACACCTTCTCACCGCTTATACTGAAATAAAACAAAACGAGCTAGTCATTTTCAGGCTGCGCGGTGCCACCGATGTCGCTGGCTTTTGTTTTGGCTATTTCTATGTTCTAAGTTTGATTGCAACCCTCCTAATAATGGAATCCTGAAATTTCTGTACGTGATTGTTGTATGTGATTGGCCTATCTGCACGATAGCCTGATTGCCCTGCGCCACCGGTCAATCCTGTATGAAATCTCCAACTTAACTTCCCTTTCTTGAAACAACCGTGCAATCGTGAATTAAAAAGAAAAAGGTGATTGGTGGAATGATTGACAAAAAACCATGCGATGAGATTAACCGATCGTGCGAAGGTCAAGCGACAGCGCCACGTGAATGTCATTGAACCCTGGATCCTTGACTTACTATTTTATAGTAGGGAATCCTCTGACCTCAAATTGGTCCATGATATCTGCAAAGGGTGAGAAGGAGACAAGACCACGGGAGCATTAGGGGTACACTTCTTGATTGTTATGAGGAGATGATCTCAGATCTGTTACAAGCTTAATGCGCATTTAAAGATCAGACCGCAACTGTTGGTATATGGATTCCGTCAAACACAAGGCCAAACTAGAAGCCCAAAAGTATTGCTTTCCAATTACATTTGGACGTGCACTTCAGTTTCCAAATTAAACTTGAAGAAAAGCAGGCTAACGAGCGGACTTACTGGAGTATCGTGTGCCGTCTAGTTTCCCGACTTGTATATGAGGGTGTTTCTGCCTCATTTTGGACCCTACATCGGCCCAGATGGGCGTCAACTTCTGACAATGGCCACACCAGGGGGCATAGAACTGTAACACACAAATTAAGGCAAGAAACTTTTCAAGAACTTTCTAAGAAAAATAGTTTCTCTACAAACATTGCCTTCTAAGTTGGTCCACATACAAGTGAAGTGGACATATGTTCAAAAATCAAGTCCCTTTCAACCGTGATTGGTCACTTGGTAATGAAAATGAGCCAATCAATGAATTTGTTGATGAATAATTGAAATAATCACATATGCAACCGCAAATACAAACATTTATAAATAATGCATAAATTGATATGCAAAAAAACATCAAATTGATTTACTTGACCATTTCTTATAAATATTAATTAGCTTGGTACTCAAGAAAAAGAAAAGAAAAAATTCCCTGAGTATGTTTATCCTCAACAATCTAATCATCTTTGCTGTTTGCTTGCAGACACATCATTTTTGAAATCAACTAGATCCAATAAATTAACCAAATCATCCGATAGTCCCTCCTGAATATTCATGAAATGCACATCCACACAAATCAACACACACAGCAATTAACTTTGTGTGTGATCATAATTCACCTTAATAAGCCGATGATTTTTGTTCTTTTCTTGTAAAAACCCCATTTCGTCCAATCAATTACATAAATTGAAACAGAAAATCAACCAATCAGTTAATCTGACAGTCCCTCCTGAATATTCATGACCTGTGTTCCTCCACACCATTTACTACACAGTGGGAGAGTCGATGATTATGCATTACCTCAACGAGCCAATGACCTTGGTCCTTGGCTTGCAGAAACCTGCAGAGAAGAGAATGGGAATTATGCAGTCACAGTCAGCAACTGAAGTGTGTCAGACATGACACACACAGCTTCACTCATAAAATGGATTTTGCCTACACTGGAAACGGAAAACGCATCATTGGTATTCCACTGCGACTGTTTCAATCCTAATTTTAAATCAAATTGTTTTAAGTACAGCCCATCTGTACAAGGTTTGTCGTTGTAAAAGAGTTGAAATCTCCCTATAATAATCAGATCTTCTCCCTCTCCAGATATTTTTGAAAAATCAACGACTGATTCCTGTTTACCACAGACTCGATAATTTTAATTTCAACCCTAGTAATGTTTGTATTGTTTTTCTAGGTTCAAATATTTTTTTTACACATTTGATATTGATATCTATCTTGACGTAGTCTCATTATGCCTCATCGTGTATTTACCTGGATTATTTTCTTTTTAACTGTTTTATGATTTGAAAGTGTTTGTCGATGCAAATGTCTTTTTAAGTGCATTATCTTTGTATTTTCGTACATGTATTTATGTCTCTTGTCCCAGGGCCCTGTGGGGGACCATTTTGTTGTGGAAAAAATAAATAAGGAAATGATAATAATAATCCACAGTCTTTATACATGTAATGTCTTTATTGATCCCAAATCATTCATTTATTAATTGACGATGATAAATTCCATCGTTACAATCGGCGGATGCATATTAGTACAATTTTCAAAGTAAATTAATCTACTGCTTGGTGACTCAATAATGCTGTTTAAATTTCACTGTTCAGGGGTTTTAATCTTCATTTTGATAAACGTGTATTAAAATATTGTGTGTAAATGGCCTGATTTGTGCTAAAATCTTCAATACATTTTTCAGTCTGTTTCCCAGAGCCACAAAGTGAACTAATACTTTTGTCAGAATATCTTCAAATGTGAAATTCAGATTGATTTAATGATTGATTCATTTTTCTTGGAGGAGGGGAGGGGATGTTTAGAATAAAAATGTTTTGATGAACACTGTTCCACATCCTTTTAGGAAAGCCTTTGTGTCATTGTTTTACTCTCGCCTGTTTCTCTCCAAGGAATGATCACGTTTTATCATTCGCATAACATGAACCAAAATGTAACAATTCATGGCATATTTAAATCACCTCATAAATATATAAATTAAGCATATGGAAGAAAAAAATCATTAAGAATTGATAATTAATTTCTAGATCTCTAACAAAATTTTCTGTATATTTAACAGCTATTCTGATCACTAAAAATGTGCTTTTCTGTAAGGCCTACTATTCATGGGTTGTTGGTGTAATTATCCCCCCCCCCAAAAAAAATGGTTTTGCCTGTGGTTTCCTGACTTACACTATTTGACTGCGCAGTGCCAAATTTTTTTTTGGGGGGGAGGAATTTTTTGAAAATATAACACTGGCCCTTTTGTCATACATGCCAGGCCATGCAACCCACGTGTAATATCACGTCAATTGCCGGTGAACAAAGTGTCCTTTATTCCATTTTCAATAAATCCAACTGAACCTCTCCTGCCCTGGTCATCTTTAACCAGTTACAATGTGACGTGTACCTGCAAACCGAATCAGCATTAAAATAAACACACACAATTTTTTTGGCTGGCTTATCAACCTCCTTTCCAGACGCTTTGTAATAGGAATGTAGAACTATTTATTTTTGGCCTTATGATCTATCCATTATGCTGGTACCGCTTAGGGCCCAATTAAATATTGCTTATTGCTCTGTTATGTTGTTTAAACAGCGTGCACATTGCTGCAGGCTGCGATATCCAACTTGGAGGTCATTTTTCTGATATATCTACCAGATAACCCATTCTGTGAATTATTTCTGTGGTAACGGTGATTATAATGAGTGCTGACGAAATTAATGTGAGCTGTGGAACTGTTCATGACATGATCTGCTCCTTCAAAAACAAGACTGAATTGGCGACCATATTGGGTGACATTTTATGAAACGGTTAACAATGATAGCTTCAATTTGGATGTTTGCTAAACACATTTTGTATTATCTAATTTAAAAAAATATCATTTTAACGTACTCATAAGATCCTGTTAGTGAACAGCATTTTGTTTGGCCCAGTGTTCTTTTTAGAGCTAACTCCACTGAGCACAGCAAGAAGGCACATTCTTAAATACCAAAGCCGATCAGGGCACTAAACTTTCAGTCCTATGTGAAATGCATGTAACAGAGGTTGGGTTGCGCAATGCCGAAACCTTCAGGATTATGCAAGGACCATGTGCTTAATCTTGGCTGGCTTTGGAGGGCCTTGACTGAGAAAAAAAAAAAGGTACAGAATCCAAGATGACGCTAATTTCTGAAACTATTCCTCCAACTGATTTTCACATGTCGATGCCGCTCGGGCTCAAGATGTTTTCTTGCAAAAACATACAACAGCAGAAAATACGTCATGCATCATTAAAACTGTTGAACAGTTTTTGTCCAAAAAAAAAAAGAAAGAAACTTTAATTTGTCATTTAGCCAACAGAAACCTGATCTTGGTTTATTTTTTTTTTCCAAATTGTTGTTTTGCATTTGAGGTTTTAAATCTGATCCCACCGCATCCTGAAACAATATCTTACCTGTCATCCAACTCGATTACATCTCCTCCCACGCCAACGGCTAAAACTAGAAAACCTGTGAATAAATAAAACCACACCTACATGTACCAAATATCAAACCTTGTTTAGAAACTTATTACAAAGATTTGAAATACGTATCTCCAAGCATGGAAAATTGAGTGTATTAATTATCTACAATAAATGGGCAAACTTACTAGCCATCATTTATTCTCAAAAGAGCCAAGGTTTTAATAGAGGTTATGGGTAATTCCAGAAATTAGGGGTCCAAAAGTAGGACATTTTTGTGTCCCTGTTACACCTGACCTTTGTTATTTGACATGGAAATATCACCAGAATCAATTTCTATTGCTATATGTATTTGTTTGGCAGGTAATCTGCATTAATTCATCACTCTTGTAAGTTAGAAAATGTGTTCTGAACTTACAAAATCGTAGGTCAGATGTGACATGGACATGAAAAAAATGGACCCCTCATTTTTGGAATTACCCCTATGCACTGCTGGTGCCTTCGAGGCTGTTCTTCGTTTTCATACAAAAAGGTTTACCATATTATTCAATTTGAGCCCTGGAGGAAGGAATAGAGCCAGCCATCCTCCACGCTCTCGAGCTAAATCCAAGTAATAAACCTTTGTTCTCCAGCTCCATAAATTTATTATTAATACATAACCTCTTTTAAAAAAAATCGACCGTTTTGTATTTATCAAGAATATAAAACTCTACACAATGTGCAAAAATGCACAATCATGCCAACAAGTTCGGCTGAAACTCAAAACATGGAGGTAGAATGCTCAAAAACATTGCTTTTCCAAAAATTGCACGTTCAATGATTAATTTACGGTATGGTTGCCACACAAAGTTGGCTTACGGGTAACATGCTGCTTCGCTAGGTCAAGTTACACACAAAATCAACGAAATATGCATCCCACAATGGTTTTCATTTCACCGCAAGAAATAAGCACACAGCTAAAAAAAAATTAAAACAAACAATTCTATACGTTACCCGAAAGACAAAGCAAAACTACGCCTAGAAAGTCCATTGCTTCACAGCATGCATTCAAGGAGGAAATAAACGCCACCGACACTCGCATCCGGCCGGCCAGAAGAACCCTACTAAGAGAATAAAACGCGCGGATGTGCGTAGATAGCGCCCTCTGTTGAGATCAACAATCAAAATGGCTGCGCCCGTGTCTCTTCACAACACATCGGTAGGCATAAAAAATTGTTATTTTCCCCTGTGCACCCTGGCCTGAACCTATTACACATGCACCTCTTAGGTGGGGATAATCTGTTCCATTATATATCCGATGAGGAGGGGGTATTGGTCCTTGAAAAGCTGTTCGTATCAACCTGCATAAAATGTTACTAGGCCTAGGTACAAAAGTACATGCATGCTTTGACAATGTTTGAGGGCCGGGGGCTAGCGCATGGCTGACTAGGCCTACTGTGGGCTACACCTCTTTTTTCAACGTCACGTCCAGGTGTGGCGCGGTGCCGCACGCTGTGGGCATGCAAAGGCCAACTTCTACCTACTGCTTTTTTTGGAGAGCACTGTGGTCACCTCTGCCCTGTCTACTTGTTCGTGCATGTCAAAAATTTTAAATGCAGCCCCATTTATTCTTGTGTCTGTGTTCACGTTCAGTCAGCAGATTGTGACTCTGTTCAGGTGACCCTTGAAGATCAGCAGAAGATCAACATCTTTGCACGAAAGACGAACAAACTCGGTGAACTGCAGGCAGAAATCCAAACCAAACAGGTCTGTCTTTGGAGTTTCAAGTTGTTGAAGAAAGAGTTCCATATCCGGCCACCACTTGACATCCTTATTATGAATTGAAAACTACCAAAGAAGTGTAAATCTGATGAAGAAACACTAATTCCGGAGTGAAAAAAATTTCAAGTTTTCTTACTTACACCATGGGCCATAAACTTTGTGCACAAGGTCTAAGATAACGACTGCATATGAAACCCCAATGAAGAATTTGATCGGGACTTTATGCAGTCAATTAGAAACTGGAACAGAAAGATTTGAATTTGTATTACCCCATTAGAGGCCTATAGATGCACTCTCTTTTAGGTAAGAGTTGCAGACTAACATTTATTAAAGTAAATGATTAAATAAAAATGTGTTGCATTTCAGTATTAATTAGATTCTGATTTTGTCAACTTTTTACCCTTAGAAAGATGTACAGAATATGCAGGATGCCTTAGATGAACTTGAACTGGGTGATGAGGATTCCACAGTTCCATATCCTTTATTCAGATTGAATTCTTGTTGCATTGAACCTAGCTCCCCACAGTTCTGAAGTAATTATTTATGTAATGTATGTTCAATGTGCAAAGTACAAAGACAGCATACCACTGCTTCTTATTCTTCTTTTTCCAAGAGATGCGCCAACTTCGTATGCTTGAAGACTCAGGCACTTTGAAATGAGAAGCAGTTACAGTTTTAGAGGTGGGAGGAAAACCCTAAAGAAACATTCTGGGTAAAACCCGCGGAATCAAGTAAGGACTGGAAATCCAATCCACGTGTGGACTGAGCTGGGAATGGAGCCCGGGAGCAGAGGTGGGAGGCGAGGAAAGAACCACTGTGCCTATCTGACTCATGCAGAGGTGGATTTTTGGATGATCCACGAAGGTTCTTAATAGAATAACTACAAAGTGAGAGTTAAATCCTTCTGGACTCGCCTAAATTTAAGCACAAACTTTACACGGGTAAAGATAAGAAATAAACACAGTTTTATCATCTGTAAACACCTCTTCCTTGACCGCCGTGTACTTACCTCATTGGCGAAGTCTTCGTCAGTAAGACTGTCAGCGATGCCCAGGCCCTGATGGAACGGGCCAAGTCGGAGAAAGAGGAGGAGATAGCAGACTTGGAGAGGAACTGCGAGTCCATCAAGGAAACCCTGGCAGATCTCAAAGCCCAGCTGTACGCCAAGTTTGGCAACAACATTAATCTAGAAATGGACGAGGCGTAGCACCAAATCAAACTTAATTAGGTTTAAATTTATTGAAAAGCCTAAGCTTACGGGGCCTGGTGATACTCGGCCTGGTATGGTCTTGTGACGAGCTTATGCACAAACAGTGCTCTATTATTTGCATAATTATGCTCAGGTTAACCTCTTCAGTGAAATTGTTAAATAGCCAAAAACTTGATGGGGGGGGACTGCTACTCAAATGGTCTGGTATTGGGAAGTGTGCATGTGATATGGGTCTTCCTTGTGTTCGCTAGCTAAAGATGCTAGGTTACAGTGTTGGCAAGGGTTAGTCTTTTTAAATTCATTGACCCAAACTTGTCATTATTTCAGCTCTTTCTTTCGTTTAGATGTTGCTGTGATCAGTTGAAATTCTATTTCCAACTAGTTACCAGCCCAAAGGTGCCTTTCTATATGTACCTTTTTTGGGTGCGTTGCCTACACAATGTGTTCAATGCGTTTCACTTTCATGGACACATAATCGACTCCTCTAACACAGGTGTGCACTGTGCTCGGCCTTCCAGATCGCCCCGAAAGCGATTTTGACGGATATGCAACACTTGGTGCAAGCGTTGACGCTCATTTCGAAAGGCGCCTTAGATTAGTAAATAGTATGATTTTAGCCATATTGGCAGAGGTTGAAGATTTCACTTTTTCTGAGGCAAGTGGAAAATGAAATCTTAAACTCACAGTGAATGATAAATAAACTCCAACTTTGTCCAAGGTCGAATATGAGCCGAGGAGTTAAGGTTGGACTGCCAGATCTGTTTGTCACAGGCAGATATGTCCCGTGTTTTTTCCTCAAGCTTTGTTTAAGGCCTTTTTTCTTATGTTTTGTACAAAGTAAAAAAGTTCAAGCTATTGAAATAGTTCGAGGAGGGACTCTTTTGTTCTTTTAAGCACAGTATGTACGATGCTTAAAATTTTTTTCACATGAAACAGATAAATATGTCACCATTGAGATTAGCCATGTGTTTGCAGTTACACCTTTTTTTCCCAACCTTGCGGTGTTCGTTGTGTGTCCTTGTAATCGGGAAATAAATTAAAAGATGCCACAATGCCTTCATATTGTTCCTTCTTGCGTACGATGTCTAATATTCATCCTTGGAACTGTGGAATTTTACATAGGGGGATTCCTTCTTATTTTGGTTATAGATGTCACGTCAGATATTCCCCTGTTCCTGGCCTCCTGATTTTGTGTCTAGCCTTTTCCTGTGAATGACAAGTGACCTCTTCACTCACACTATACTTCTTGTGTGTGCTTTCCTGTGGTGCTCAGTGGACCATGGGTACCCAACTAGCTCCCTAAGTTGAAGTGCGCCCTCATCGGCGAAAGAAAGACTGGTGCGAAGTTTTCCAACCGGGTTCTGCACGTGTTCGGCGTACGCGCGAAGACCATACATTCCAGCATAAATTTGTTGCGCGTACTCAGCATTACCGGGGCCAAACCCACATGAGCCTCCATGCCTACGCGGTGAGTTCGTACCAAAGGACTGTCAATTTTATTTTAAAAACACACCCTCTTGTGTTTCCAGTTGGAGCGGATAGGCCTTTCAGAGAACTTTCCAGAGAGATGGAAACACAAAGCCACAACCAAACAGCTTTGGAATCCCTTAGAGTGGCTTGTTGACACCACTCGCATCCATGCCGACAGAATCTGCACAGGGCACTGTATGACAAAACTTACAAATTACGATTACATTGACCTAAAAGCAAGACGAAAAATGAGAACATTTTTCTGTCAGATGAATTCATGTTTTATTTGCAAATGCCCCAATTGCCAACTGACAAAGTATCATTCACAGGCACTTCTCCCTAATCTTGAACATTCCTGAATCATCCAATTTCAATGCGAGTTTTTACAAAACCTCAGGGATTAGAGTCAAAGAATAAACATTGATAACCAAGAAATGAGGTAAAATCAAACCAAAAATATATATATTACCTGTAATATGTATTTGATGCATACATTCCCCCCCCCCGGATTTAAGTGGGACATGTATGACGTATGACCATCTCTATGCCTACCGGTGGCTGATCAACCATCGATGGCTGTCAGCAGAAAAATTCCTCACTACACTAAAAATTTCGATGCACAATGCTAATGGTACGTGAAAACACAGCTCTCTTTAAAAGAAATCAGACAAATGTACATTTTGAGGCCAAACTTGCCATAACCAAAGGTAAGGGTGATTTTTCTGTTAACTTTGACCGGCCCATGGGAAAACTAGGCTATGAGAAAGAGGTCTGTCCGTTCATGCTGAAGCAAGCCTCAAAATGTCAACCAAGATATACAATATGTCCAAAAGATACAATAATTTAACAGCGCAATTAAAAAAAAAATCACATAAATCTAACAGCATCAAGGAAAGTCTGAAAAATGGTTATACCTTGAAATAATATTTCTAGTTCTACAATATTTCTGAATGCATGAGAAATACAGGTGAGTGCATTTGAAGAAAATAAATCCAATCAAACTTCTAGTATATTCATGATAAGAGACAATATATTTCTACACAGAAGACATTAGCATTGCTTAAGTTGGATAAAATGTTTAACCTTTCGACGACATATACTAAACGATCTCTGTACATCAGCTAAATTTTGGTTAAATTACACACTTGCTTTTCTCACCATGGCACATCTAATTGTTAATTTACATCATCCAAAACACTGAACTGACACTTTTACCAAGCTTTTCCCATAAAATTAAACCACCTCATGACATTTTCCTGGACTATAAGATTCTATCTGACCCCACCAAAGTGTTACAAAATCTACCAGACCTTGAAAGCAATTTCTTCTATAGTTTCAAAGATACAAAATGGGTGGTAGGAAAAACGTACAGTCAAACCTCATTAACCCTAACATTCCTCAGTCCTCCAACAGGTGAAGGATTGAGGAGTGTTAGGGTTAATAACAGGTCCTTCAGACTTTGTAGCATACAACGTGAACCGTGTGTTTTCAGGAATGAAAACAACAAAGAACAAGGATTTTTGACCCAGAAATTTTCCTTTTATGAGCAGAACACTGTATTAAAAATGTGAAAAGCTAAATTCAAGGAAGGCAATACTGTCTTAGCACATACATACGAGGCTAAGAATAAATAAATAGCCATTGTTCATTGCAGCTCACCTGAGGTAAATGCTGGTTAACGTTAAAACCGGAAGAGAAACAAACACCCCTTGATCCACCAAGAGATGGCAATGTAATAACTGCGACGGAGCGACTGGCAACCGATCTAGAGCAACTCTTCTTGTCTTGACTAATCAGTTGTAAACAAATGCAACAAAGGTTAAGCGGAAGTCAGGTATTTTACTCAATAAATAGCACAGTGCTTCGTATCGGCACTTTGGTTTAGTAAGATTTGGTTCAGTTCGGTAAAAACTTGCATCTACATATATACACATATTATGATAACAGATGCAACTAAGTTACCAATGAGGCCCAACTGAAAACTGATGATTCTGAATTCAAACAATCAGAGCAAACCTCCAATATTAATTATTTATTCTTTTTAAAGCAGCAAGTAGACTTGAAATCAAGTCATTAGTCAGTTGTCTTCGTCGTCCAGAACACTACGGGCCAGCACGCTCCATTGTTTAACAGTTAGTGCTGCGCCTGTTCATTGATGCCCACGATCCAGCATGCCGGGATGATTCGGCTGCACCCGAATGCGACGCGTGGTCGTGGGCTGTTCAGTAGCAGGTTTCTGTGCCCATCATGCCCATCTAACCTGCATATTGGGAGCAAGGTTGCACTGATTGTTCCCGCGTGTTCCCGCCAAACCGCATCGTGAGGAAGGTGGACTACACCCGGCCAATGACCGACTTGATTTCAAGTCTAAGCAGAGAGCATCGATCACACACATCAATGCATCCGGAAGGCCATATAAATGCTATGAAATCCAACCTTAACCCCTTCGCGCCGGGACGGTGATAGAGCTGCCGTAAAAATTGAGATCCTCAGCCTGCTTTGCAGCTATTATCCTCGGCCCACACTTGAGCAAACACGGTGAAAGAAGGCAGACCCTGGCTCTTGTATATATATATGGTAATTGGTCTTTGTGCGCAGCCCAGAAATGAAAAGACCGAATTTGCATCATAATCACCAGCTTCACAATAGTCCCCACTTTGAAAAGAGGCAATGGGAATGTGGAAGTGTGAGTAGAGCCGCATGCCACCGAACAATCAGCCTTTTCACCATGTGATTCAAAGCGTGCAGAGCACGCAGGGCCACAAACCAAGAATTTGCAGTTTGGCAGGTGGCGTTCATGGCAAAGCGAGGCTGGAATTCTTGGAGTCGGCTTTCGGAAAGAAATTCTCGTCGTCAAGGGGTTAAGGTACAAGTATGTTTCACACTGTTCCTGTTGAAAAGTTTACAAGTGAACCCTATTGTAAGAAGTGTATTCAAAACCAACTCCAAAAAGAGATCACCATTGATACACGAGGAAAATGGTAGAGCATTGGGATCTGGTGCACTGAAGTTAGGATTGTGCGGGTTACTCTGCACGTGGTGGGTTGGAGGCCAGTCTTGCGGGTGGTGCTACGAGCATAAATGAATAGTTTGAAATCTACTGTGATCTTCCAGATGAAGATGTCAGTCAGAATCATGCACAGCGCCCCCTTGTGTAATGTGGTGTCCCACCCCCCCTTTCCTACTCGTTGGCACGGATTTACACGAATGTAACATCCATGATTCCATGTACCAACTACAGTCTTTGCTGTTGACAATTACTCGGTTGAAGCCTGGCTCTCCAATTTTGGGACTCTGTCCAAGATTTTCGCCTCAAACCCAGTCAAATTCTTCCCCATGAAATCAGTTTTTTAATTAAAAAAAATATTCATATGTACAAAAAGCGTAAATTGTCAGGAGACACCTGATGCTGTTGCCGTGCCGATTCAAGGAGTCCGTTCCAGCTGAGTGTGAAGAGTCAAAGGTCAGAGGTCGATCAGATGTCATGGCAGATGAAGCACTGTGTCGATAATGTACTTGAAGAGGGTCGTGTTCTGTAGAATGGCCACGTGCTCTCCACCAGAAATCTCAAACTCTGAGACGGGCTGCTGTTGTTCGTGCTGCCACCTGGTGGGGAAGAAGGGGGGGTTCAAATCTTTTCATGAGTTGACGATTCAAGTGAGGAAATCGACGAGAGAGCCACGTGCGCAAGCAACCCCCAAAGTTTCTGACTTTTGCTCAAAGGGTGCTGTGTTGTTCAATATGAGGCAACAGGTATGCCCCAAACCATTGAATGTGCAAAGTGCTGAATGAACAATAGACCAATCTGCTAAGCCCCGCCCTGTTGCATTCCGACCCATCACAGCCATGATTTATGTCCGATATTCGTGCACGCCCATATGATGTGAGTGGCTGGAACATGTAGTGTGGCATTGGAAAAGAGCGCATGCTGAGTGCCCAAGAACGCAGTGGGTGGGGCTCGCTGAATCAGTCTATCCGCCCCGAGCTGAAGTGCACCCTCACTGGTGAAAGTTTTCCAACTGGGCTCTCGCATGCACTTGGTGTACAACTGAAGACCATACATTCCGGAATAAACTTGTTGAGCATACTCAGCCTGCCCGCACCAAACGCGCATAAACTTGCGCCTATGTGGTGAATTTGTACCAAAGGACTGTCCATTTCATTTCAAAACTAGCCCTCTTTTGTTCCTGCTGGGAATGGATTAGCCCCTTCTCATATAGCCATGGTAACTCACCTCATGTAGGCTTTGAGGCTTCTCATATTAACTGTTCCGTCCCCTTGACCGTACGTAATATACGGTTGGTAATCTGGAAACGGCTTTTCCTTGTTGTACAGGTAAAATTGCTCTGTCTTTACGTCTCTGCCATGAATACCGTACACTGGCACGCCTAATTCATGGACCAGAAAGCAAATTTGTTAGGGTAGAATTCATAAAATGCAGTTTATGTTCCATCCATTTTCAGTTTCATGTTTCTTCATTGCAGTTCTAAGGTACTTCCAGGATTTACACACGACAGTAGATGCAAACTTCCAGTCATTACTGAGTCTATGGTGTCATGCTGACGCGACAATGCAGCCAAGTTTTTGAGTTGGCAAGGTACCACGGAACATGACCATGTTATGGGGAACACGCTTCTTAACTATTTGGTTCTTGGTAATTAGGGCTTACAACGATGACATGTGGGCACCAGAGACGGGCGAGCAATGTTGGTGGACTTTACCTGGAGGCTTCAGATCATAAATCAGATCCCTGACATCCTTGTAGATTTCCCAGCCCACCTCGTAGTTCAGGTCATTCATCAGTGCCTGGTAGTCCTTCACCGTGTAGTTCCTCTTCTGCGTCTGGATGATCACTTCGTCGGGGCCCCAGAATCGGTCGCTGGGCAACAGAAAGCTCAGGCTGGGCCAGCTCCGCTGTGCTTTGCGGACGTCGACAGCGGAGACGACAAAGTCGCCTAAGTTGTCACCTGGACATGAAACGCACCTCATAGTGAGTTTCGTCGTAACCTTCTCTATGACCAGTCTCAACCACATGCAACGACGACAATCGGTTGCAATCGGCTTCTACTAACCTACATATATTTGAACCGACTAGAAAATGTCGGCAGGATTCAGTACAAAACAATTGTCATCAATTCTAACACGAAAGCAAAATATCCGGAGAGTTTGCTTCAACATCACTTAACATAAGCAGAACAGGGACAGCAAACATGTGGAAAATCACTATGAATTGGTACTTTGGTACACGCTTGTGCGCAGGGCAAATTAGTCAGGGGTACAGCGGACTTAACCTTCATCGACTCACCTGACATCGTTACTCGCAGGCTTTTTGTCGCTCCTGCCCAGGGCCCGGCGATGGGGGCAAACGCCTGGATGTACTTGGCTTTCCATGGGTCTGACTGTCTGTTGAGGAAGTACAGTGCGTAGACGCATCCCAGGCTGTGGGTCAGCAAGACTATCTTACGATTTCCATTCAGTCGGTAGGTGTCTTCGATGAGGCTCGTCAGATTCCGGAAGAAATCTTGGGCTTCGTCTGTGGGTAAAAATATCCCCCAAAAAATGATAAATTCACTTGTGCGTAACACTGCCTTTCCGTCCTCAAACTTTTCAAGAATTTTCAAAGCCCACTGCTGAGGCCCAAAGAAACCGGGTAAGAGTAAAGGCCCATCGGCTGATGCATGCAACAGAATTCTACATTGGCAAACTGTGAAGCCATAAGATTCAACAAAACAGACTGCTGAGCGTAACAAACCAGGAAGTCCCTTCACTCCTTGAAACGACACAGCCAAATATAACTTAGCGAAAGATGGATCTTTTCTGATTAGCAAGGTTGCAGTTAAGTTCCTCAGACTGTACCTAAGGAACACTCGGCCTGATTCAACAAAATTCAACACAGCTGAATGCAACAAAATGGAACAGTCAATTTTGAGCAGCCTTGACACTGTGGAATAACACAGTACATCCCTGCCACTTGTGTTGACAGCGAGGCAATCACATACAACCAGTTTTCGAAAGTGTTGCATTTTCGTTGCAATTTTGTTGCACAATGAAAAGTCTAGACTTACTTGGTGCCTTGCGGAAGTCATACGGAGCTCCTCGAACAGATACGCCGCGCTCGTAGCCAACTGCCACTAGAGCATCCACAATGCCGACAAAGTATTTGCCTACGAAACAAAAGTATTCAATGACTGGCTAAAAAGGAAAGATGGAGGGCCAGACTTGAAGTCCTGGCCTTCCTCTCTGACTACAAAGTTTGATTATCACTGGAATTCCACCTTGCTCTTTCTAGGTTTTCCCAGAAGCACAAAATGTACAGGCGACTTACTCAGAGAGATTTTGCTGGGGTCTAGATACTCCACCGAGCTGGTGTTGCCAAAGTCGATGACTGTCACATTCACGCCTGGGGAATCCGACGTTGTCCTAGTGACATTGTTGTACACCAGCCTGTGAGATTGTGGAAGTGAAACCAATGTGAGTACAACGGAAGGGTTTCTGGAAACTTACGGGGGCTTTGTAGAGTCTTTCTTGAGACTCCCTTGACTGCGACTCTCTGAAAAGATTTGCAAGGAACTTGTTGGGATTCCTTCAAAATTGTTGAACGTGCAACAGCCGAACAGTTTTGCACTTCAACATTTAAGAATGGGTGGGATTCACTTTCCTCACTCCTACAAAATCTTACAAAACCCTGACAGATTCCCAAGGATCTGGGTGGGTTGAGATAGAGTACTGGCAAGAACATTGATTTAAACCCTGAAAATCATTCTCCAGCATCAGCAGGTTTGCGATGAAGAACTATTCAATCAAAAAACTATTCCACTCTCCATTTTAGAGAAAGTTCACTCCAAGGTACTGCTGCTTTTCGTGTGATCATTTGTGTTCTGTTTAGGTCTGGTTAGTGGAATCAGCTTTATTTTGTTTGTGAAATCACCAGGCACAGAATACAAATCCACTGACTTGAAGGCTCCGTCCTGAGCTCAACTTTACGGACATATTTGAAATAAATTGGGCTTACAGCTTTCATCTCTGGTCTCATATGCCAAATTCTGTACTTCATCGTTTAAGGCGCATGCTCTTGCAACTTCTATTTGATTTTAAATGAAACTACAACAAAGAGGCTGCTATCAAACAGAAACCAGAAATAAAATGACAACCCTGCCTGGGTAGCCTGAAGTCACAGTATTGCGACAGAGACCCGGACATGAATCTGTAAGTTTCTAACAGAAGCAAAACACTGTGCAGGTTTCATACAAATAGCACTTGTAAAAAGACTCACTTCCTTCTTTCAAGATGGAATAAATGGGGATTTTTAGGGCCTTTGTGTGAATAGGTACTGATGCATTATGGATGGATGGATATTTGGATGCATTATATAAATGATCTTATTTGAATATACATCAATATGCAAGGTTTTATAAATAAGAATGGCATGATCCCCGGACCAGGCCATCCTCACAGCTTGTCAACAGAATCTACGCATTCACAACCATGATCCTTTAACATTCTCTTGAACAATGATGACATGTGATTGCAAGCCTATTTCAGAAACGACTGAAGAAGTCTCTTAACCCTCAAAGAGCCGTTGATTTTTTCTTAAAGCATCTCCAAGATTATTTTCTGCGAGCTAACACTTTATGACAATTTTTTCCAATGTTTTAGCTTCATTTTGACCCCAAATTTATGAAAACTGGACATGGCGCTCTCTCTCAGCGACGAATTTTAGTAGGCAGGGTGAAGCGTTATGTGAAATTTACCATGACTTTGTACACAACAGCACACCGTACACAGGACAGAGTGGTATCCTACCATGAATAATTAATTAGTCATAATTATGCAAAGATTTAATTAGTTTACATGAAATTTCACACAGATGATAAGTATGGATGCCTCTATGACACTGCCAAATTTCATTGAAGTACATCATCGTATGGCTGAGATCTGGAGAGGGCGGATTCCAACCTCCCCCCCGGGCTGTGACAAGACCAACAAAAGCGTGGCTCTTTGACGGTTAAGCATACTTTCCCTTTTGAAATGGTTTCATTTCATTAAGGGGACTGCAAAGAAAAGTGGTCTAACTTCACACTGACGAAAATATTTTGCCATTACTGAAACTGCGGCCGTTTTTACACTACAGATGACTGTCATTACGTGCATCTTGGATTTGCTATTTAACATCTCACATTTCCTCTGACCTTGAACAGCCGGAAGTTGGTGGTCGTGACATTTTATCCTGGACAATACAGGTTTGCAAAAAAAACAAAACAAAACAAAAGGAACAAAACCAACCAAATGAAATACACAATGACGTTCACCTTGCATTGTCCACAAAACAATCGATCAATAGGGGAATAAGTTCCTCCACGTTGAGCCAGAGGTTGAACAAAGACTCCTTTTGTCGGCAGACGTAATGTACAGTGGACGGTTTGTCAATGGAAGCCCAGAGCTGTGTTCCGCCATCGCCAGGTACTGCCCAAAGGAAAAACAAAAACAAAAAAGATGAAGAGGAGAATACAATTGTATCCAGTGCAGAACCTCCCCCAAAGATGAAAATGGAATCAGTTGAATCTCCCCCACAGAACTTCCTGTGCCCAGAGCGGTAAATCAGTACGGCAAAAGCCGCTTTCGATAAAATAGATGAGCACAGTGCACGTTCTGTAAACTATCGCTACAGGAAATAACCAGTCCATAGGCCTGAAATATAAAAGACTTAAATGTTGCAAAGATTCATGTCGTTATGAGTCATCTTACATGTATTTGCAAGCAAAAAGACAAAGACATCGCTTGGACTAGAGTAAATCACTGCAACCATTAAGATATGCAATGATTCACCTGACTGCATTGTGAACACATCAGGCCAATTCATTACAAACATTTCAAAGGAGAGATGGAGAACTGAATACTATTTCTGCTGGCATTTCAACTGAAACTTGGTCCCAAGCCCACTTGTCTCATTGTCCAAAAAGAATGATCGCTAAGCCATCCACAACTGTGTGTGAATAAATAACAAATCATTGGAACGAGGGAATCTGTGGCCGCTTTAAGGTGCTGCGAGGCATTTTGGTGCAAAACTAACACAATCTCCAAAAACATCAAAAGAAATTTTGTTGCGTTTTATACGCTCTGTAATGGATGATTTCAAATCTTTAACAACTAAAAACTTCAGTTTTTAAGCTCATAGATTGAAAATATTTTTTATGGTATCTTATCCAACTTTTGTCCAAAATGACAACGTGAATCACATTTCTTAAACTTTTTCCCCGTTTGGGAGATTCAGATTTTTTCTTTGTGGTCGATGTTAATCAACCAGTTAAACTCCTGCATTTCAATGTTGCATAATGAAACAGTCAGCTTTCTGCACCATATAGTCCAAGTACATATTGAATAACACTGAAGTAGAGAGGTACCAGACCTTTACGCAAGAACCCTATTGAACTTTGTCATCCGTGTTTACATCTTAATGTTGACTTATCAGTGTTAACGACATGTATAACAACTCGCCTCTTGACACTGAAGGCGTATTTGTGATTAGAGGCAGCATACAATATTGAAGGCTTTGGTCATGAAAGGCTCATTGTCAAACATGTTTTTGGAGTGTTTAAAAAATCTGAACTTTTGAAATGATGTCAAAGCAGCTATGTTAGGATTCCAACATGAATGTTCTGAGGAGAAACTGTTAGGCTTGAACTTCCTAGGTCCTTTTCAGCAGATGTCAAGTTCTTCGTGTTACAAAACAAGATGAAGCCTGACATGGATTTTGACCCTATTTACACAGATAGCAAAAGATAAAGATTGTGATCAATGCTATTTTTAGTAAGTTTTTTCAATAGAAAATTCAATAAATAAAATCACAGAAATCATTGGATGCACAGCTTCTGTGCATAAAGCATGGGCATCACTCTGTGTGGAATGGGGGACACGCCCCCCACACCAAGTGGGGAGTTACTATATCAACCCCCCCCCATTTTTTCCCAAAACCTAAATAAAAAACGTATACCTTGCAAAAGCATTGTTAAAAAAACTGGCTAAAGTAGCCAGAAATTGTCTCAGATCACACCACCTGACCACAAAGCATCTGCATTTCAAAATTTTCCAGGGCCCTTGAGCGGGCCCCAGACCCTACACTGCTCAGGGCTTTGTGTTCGCATTATTCTGATCGGAGCTATGTCCCCCTTCCCACTTTTCAAAATGGATTGATGCCCTTAGCATAAACCTTAGCAGAAATAAGCCAGAAAAACTTTTATCCCACGATACAAGCATTCAAATGTTCCTTCTTTGCTTGCCATGATAGGACATGAGAATTGATCCCGTGAAAATCTGTCAGTACATTTTTGGCCACATAAAACTGAAAACAGTTTCTTGACCTTGGTTGATTTTTCCATGACAGCAGACGAATTCCTGTATTTTCAAGACTCTCCTGCCGATCTCAATGATCTACTTTGTCATTCTATAATTATCTGGCATTCTGGGCCATGGACATGGAAGTGAACGCTGGGTGTGATTGGTCGATCTGCATCTGCACAGTCATACTACGGTATTGGTTGATTATATTGCCAACTGGAAATCTCAGACTCTGCTTTCCCTATTCAAACCAATTTTCCCCAATGAAAAAGAGGATCAGAAGCCTCAAACTGACTGTGAAAGAGAACATGATAAACCACGCCTCCAATCGAGTATGCAAAGCTGTACTGTGTACTGTAGAGCATGTTTAAAACAAGTAACATAAGCGTACCAAGACCCGTAAACAGACATGATAGGCATGACGGCCGGCCCCTTCGTATGGGCCCTGTTTACCATGTTTACGGCGGGTCCAGGCGTACTGCGTGGAATGGAATCGGTCGCGTCGGTGTATTTTGGCATGGGTAAGCAAATGAGTCTACTCACTTAAAATTACAGGATAGCCTTTTGTAGGCGGTACTTTCCCCGTCTGCGTACTTAAAACAACACTGAACCACCAAATAAATGTCAGAGCGGAAAGTAGTTTCGGCCAAATCGCTGTTGTTGTTCTTGCCTCCATGGCTGTTGTGTTGACGATCTTTTGATCAGTGTGTGTGTCCTTCGGTCGCGAGATCGCCTGATATCTGTGTACATGTACATTGTACACGCAGCCCGCGTGATAATCACATGATCAGAAGCCTGCGTTCAGTGCACTACCGGATACGAGACAAAGTAGTCCAGGTACCACTCTCACACTTCAACGTCGAAGCGGCATTCGCGATTCAGATAAGCGCTACTTTTTCCGAACATTTCCCACTGGATGCGGTTTTGGAGCTGATTTATCCTCGTAGATATAGCCGGTTTTCAGGGAATCACGGAGCTATTTACAAGAATAGCCACGTTTTGCTCGCCGGATCAAACTGCCATGATGGGCAATTTCAGATTTGGGAGACTGGGCAGGGCATGGGCAGGGCATGGGCGCGGCAGGGCCAGGCCCACTGCGTAGCGTCAGATTCTTACGACGACAAGCAGATGACACAATAGTACTTTGGGGAGACCGGGAGAGACAAAGTACTCCTTTTTTTCTGAATGATTCTGCCAATTCTTTTAATCATTAATTCCAGATCTCCGTTTGGGAAAGTGTCTCCGTCCTCCATGGTGTGACCATCCTGGGACTACCCCCCCCCCCTTGACATGGGGAGCGTTTCCTGCAGGTTTAGAGTCGGGGAGCAATACATGCTATTTATGAAACAGTCGTCCAATTTTACATTTTAAGAAGGTGCTGTAGCACTGTTCTGAAGAAGTGTTGGCACGTTCAACCCACCAACAACGCACCCCCGGGGGAGAGAGGATTCCCCCCCCCGATACGCGGGGGGGGGGGGGTTGAAACAAATGACACCGAAGGCACAGCCTGCGGTGTGACATACATATTGTAACTTGTGACGCTTTTTCCTGATTCTAAGACAAAGAAAAAATAAATGGTCAAGCTTTATCATATCCAATTTGCTATTTTAATTTTAGTTCCATTTTATGACGTGAATTATTGCTATTCCCTCATTACCAGCGTACTCTCAGGAAAAGTGGCCCAGCTCCCTTTCTTGAACTTCTTAAAATTGTAGCAGCAATTAATTTTTCTCAGACACAATATTTCTTCAACTTTGTACCCTTCTTCAAATTCATGGAAACGTATATATTGAAAAGTGCAATTTTTAAACGCTTAAAATTACCTATTCTTTCCTGGGCAACTGAGGGCGCAATGCATTTTTTGGTTTTTTATGTTAAAAATCTTGAACCCGGAATTTACTTAATGAAAACATTTCTGAGAGAGGGATTGAACAATTATTTTGCAAAAACGAGAGAATTTAGTCCAGCAAAATCTACAAAAATGCTGGACTTTTTGGCCAAGGTCTGAGACTGGATGTAAATTTGCATTTTGTTCGTACAGTTCGTCTAATATGGATTAGCGCCCTCTACCTTTACCCGCTTTTGGCTGTACTCGCCATGCATGTTGTATGTAATAAAATTTTATTATAGAGATCAGTGAAAACAATGTACTGTACATGTACATATAAAATGTACATGTGACGACGGTTGGCCGGTATATCTATTGTGGGTGCGCTCTTGTAAACAGGCCAGAAATTCCCCCCCACGCGAGCTCATTAATAAAACTGTTGAAAATATTCTACATTAGAGACTCCTGCTCAGAGCATGGAATTGCGGGGAATTGAAGAAATATGGCACTTAACCTCTGACTTGGAGGGCTTCCAATTTTGAGCAATTTGGATGCAACTGGGTCCGAAATTAAAGTGGCACTATAAGTTAGCCGTTTGCAGAGGGGTACACTTTCAGAACGGCTACTTTTCTGGGCAGGGGAAATTTCCTTCAATTTAGGGGTGGTCTGCTTTAGGTGAGAATTTCTCAAAAATACATCGGTCAACCCGCTAAAAATTTAAAGGAAAATGAAAGAGGACTATCGAACATAATTTTTCTGTCCAGCATGGACACATGTTAGGGTTGTGAGTATTTAAAAAAAATAATTTTGAAGTATAGGGATTTATCACAGGTGTCTAAAAATTGACCTATAGGGTTGCACCCCTATAATGGCACATTCTGGGAGATACACGTACTTTCCTATGGAAATATTGGTTCATTTCCAATATTTTGCACTTGAATTCCTCCTCGTGTTTGAAGCTTTGCGTGATGGAAAAGACGTGAGAAATGGGTTTGCAGGTACACCATGGAATCAATCCCTTTGGGGCGAGGTGTGGTTCTCAAAAGAACCGGTGACGTTTCGTCACTCTCCTGAGGACGGCCAGAGCACACTGGCCGACTCGTCGAGTTATAATAACACTCACCTGTTGATTCTATGGTGTACCCGCAAATCCATTTCTCATTCCTCCCCGTGCGTTATAAATTCCCCACACTGAAAGGGTATGTTGTATGTGACTAAGTACACCGACAAAATAACTGATTTAAAGCTTTCACACTTCATTTGCCATAAAAAAAGCAATGTTGGCAACTAATAATTTGCAGTGTATTTTTTTCACGCCTTACCCATATCGGTATCTATATAATGTGGACCTGACTCCAACCCAACTCGGTCACCGGAAAGGCAGACAATGAAGAAATTATTTTATTCAAAGCCGCCAAGGGTTATTCGCACGTAAAAAGGGTAAACTGACATCGATGTTGGCTTTCGCACGCAGTGCATCGTGCTATGAGGTTTTATATACCTACCATAAATCTTTCCATCTGTAGGCTAAGTAACATATCCCTACCTGTAACCGTTTACTAGCTTTCAGTCCAGACGTGCAGTTGCAGGGATATGGTGTCACAAAGATAATAAGAAATATTGAAAAAAATTTACAAATTGCATGATAACGTCATATTCGATTTTGTTCTAGTCCCCACACCCAGTAAATTTGGTGACGAATGCTGTCTCATTTGTATCAGAAAATTACATTTAGCCTGGGTTGCCGACTTGTACATACTTCAATTCATCAGGATGACTGATTAAAAAACTCATTCGGGTTCGTGTATTTTCCTAAGGCATGAACACCAACAACTGCTTGGACAAAGATCGACCATAAATCTACTTTGATTCTATGGTTGGCCGGCTGCCTGTTGAAAGGATTACCGCACCTTTTCATTTATACTGATACAAATAACCATATTAACGTAAGCACAGCGAAGAGCTGCAGTTAAAAAAAATTAGCTGCACTGACAGTCACTGATGGTGGGTCAACCTAACTCCCACGGTGTATACAAAAATATATTAACATAATATTTAGGATTTAGGACTACTCTGTCCCATGCCCCCTTTTTGTTTACTTAGCATGCACGAAAAAGTGGTGTTCACCAGTACAAATGATTTTTTATTAAAACTCAATCTGACATACAGTTTTGGAGTAGCAGTCATTTGAAGTTGAGAGCCACGCGTGCGAGCCCATGGGCGTTGAACACGGCAGTGGAAAAATATACAATTTTGCTGACCTATCTCGGTAAAAATGGGCGCTGCTCGAGAACGGAATGTTCAATTTTCACAAAATGGCTGCAAAGCCAAACAAAACAAAAACAAAACAAAACAAAACAAAACAACAACAAAATCCTCAAGATTAGGCTAGCGAAAAATGCAATGCGGTGCTATTGGAAAAGATGTTGAGGGGCATGCTGCCCCGGGCTTGGCTAAAATAAGGATTAAACATCATTTTAAGCTATAAATTCTGCATTTATTATGTAAATTTAAAATCATCGACGAAATTCGAATGGAAAATCGATCTAAGCTGCTTATGCTCCTTGTGACATATCTTGTCTTTTAAATACATGTATAGGATAGTTTTCCACAGGATAATTAAATATAACGTTATCATGATACATGTATATAAAGATGTGCCTTTTTAGTGATTCCAGTTATTCAACTGATAATTGTGGAATGCTCTGAAACTTTTCTCATATACTTAATGGAATGACAAATAACGAAAGACACTTTTACCCGGTCGAGTGCAAAAAGGCCTTTTGCGTTATTGTCTTATTTATTATTTATGGGGTGTCCTTTGAATAATGCACTAAGTAAATTAAACACGTAACATGCATAATGGTTATGTTCGGTGAAGCGGAATATTGAACGAGGAGCAGTCGTTGTACATGCATAGGCAAAATAACATTATAATATTATTATTAACTTACTTTAAAGGTCAAAGTGCAGACATATGCACTGCCGATGCCAATGTTGCAGACAAGTCGTTTGAAAAGTGTCAATTTGCCTGAATTACAGCTTACTTTCTCTCGTGTTGGAAATAATTTCTCGGGAATTTACTGAATAATACTAGATTTACTGTCGACACCGAACACCTGTCAGAAAACTGCAACTAAGCAGTCGGATCTAACTAGTCACCGTGATACCTAATGTCAGCTTGTACCGAAACATAAATGCGAAGAGCGCCGTCACATGATTGGGTGATCTGGAAGGTAGATGTCACCCCGCACGCACGCGTGCGGTGTCTCGTTTAACCATAGAGCCAGTAGCCCTATGATCAAACGTACCCACAGGCCCGCATTACCCCGGGCACCCGTGGGTGCGTGTGCGCACATGAATGTGCGCCGAACATTTCTCCCATGCTGCACGACAGCGCATGTACATACGTGTACATTCTTACGAGAGAAATGCTCAATTCCTCGAGCTCACGAGCTCGATCATGCCGATACCCACATACTCCACGACGTTGCAGGGTAGGAGGCAGTTTACGCATGAGCTTAAGAGCTGATGCCAGAATGTGTACAGGACGGAGCTGCGGTAAAGTTCCACAGTATCTACTGTACATGTGTTATTTAAAAGCTCGTGGTCATGAACCTCGGAGCAACTAGTGCGACCACTTATCAAATAATCCACTGCATAGGGATTACGGTGGTTGTCAGCACATCTGCCTTTCGATCACTCTTTTGTTGGATTAAAAAGCTACAGTGAAGATCCCGACTCGTGGAATTCCACAAAAACATTGTAAACATCGACACATGAGCCATGGAAGTAGCTTTGTGTTTTTTTCCCAAGGGAGACAGTGGTGGGTAGTGGTTTATAAATAAACCTTGCCACGTGATGTTCACTTCATTGCATCTGATGAAGTAGCTGTAGCTACGAAAGCTTATGCAGAGTTTTACTTTAATAGTCAGTCATTAAAGTGCTACTGACTCTTTATATTTGATTACAATGGAGAGTCAAAGCACCTTTTCACGGGGAACATGGGGGGGACTCAGAAGCTACAAGATCACAGACCATCAACATTATTGGAAGGGGGGGGGTCAGTTTTGAAGTATTTTCAACCAAATTGGTGATTTTAAATCGGTGGCATTTTTCTTTCTACCCATCTTTTGTTTTGTTTTATTTTATTTTTCGGGGGGGATTGAGGCTAGACGCAAGAGGCCCTTGACCAAACCATGCTTTGTCAAATTCTCTGCTATTAGAGGATTTCGTGGTACGTGGACTTCATTGCTTTTAAAAGGATGGAACCTACCAACAGGACCCTGCCGTTTTGTATTTCTGCAAGTGGACAAAACGCAGGACCCTATAAAATCTTTCTTCTTCCAATTAGGAGTGTAGGCATCGATTTGCAAAATGGCCAAGGGCCTCGTGACTGCTTTAAGGGCCGGCTTAGTGATCGTCTCTGGAGAGAAATATCTTCAAAGGTCATCGGTTAAGCCAGAACAAGTTGACAGGCAAATGAAAATGGGGAAATGAGCTTTAATTTGATGTGTGTCTTGAACACCTGAGAAACTTGTATTTTTTCTTTTTTAAAGCGGAGCTGTTTGCAATTGTTTTATTTGGTGGCTTATCATTACTGGTCTGCAACCAGAGGAGGCATGGTCCTATTTCTACCGTGGCGTGCATCATAAAAGACTTGAAAATTCCTCAAATCTGGCCATCTTGGTGGCATCTGAAAGGGCACATGTTCCTCTTTCCATTGATGTAAGTTTCATATCCATATTCGTATTAGTGTGGGATATATCCGCGAAAGAAGGTTCTGTTGCTCGTGATTTTTGTAGAATTTCCGGGAAGGGGGGGGGTCGGCAGGGAGCTAGTGCTCTCCTCACTTTTCACAGGGAAGGCTTGGGTTTAAATGGACTGGCCTATTAATGACCGATGATGTCATAACTGCCTCCCATACCAAACAATGAATCAATCCGCCCCTGTTGCCTATCTCTAGAGCCTAGAGGTGGTAGCAAGTCAATTTTGACAAGTCCAAGTCACATATGTCATTGGCCCAGTCACAATTTTATCACAGGTCAAGTCAAAGGTCAACAACTGATAGTTACAAGTCAAATCACGAGTCATAAAAGTAGCGACTCGAGTTCAAGCCAAGTGCCTGAACTTGAATTTGAGTCTAGACTGACTCTGCCTTTTCCCCTTACCCCCCTCCCCCGTTGGTCACTCACAGTCTCCTACTAGTACAGGACGTACCGTGACCTGTACTAGTGACTTCGGTTGGCCACTCGGTTTGGGGGGCACCGCGAGAGTCATCAATTTAGAGTAATCCAAATTTCCCCTGGCATGAAAGGCAGTCTTTTTAAGACGGATACTTAAAAAACATAAAAATATACTAGTATAAAATGAGAAAATTGGCTTGACCAGTTTTGGAGCATGTCATAAATTCTGGCTAACAGGTATTTGAAACATTCACTTGTCTACTTTTGGGGCGCCGCGAGAGTCGTCAAAGTAAAACGCTACTTTCTGCGAGCCAAAAACTATCCCGTCACGGGCTGTCCTCTTTTGAACCATCACATAATTTTTTGCCTGTGGAATGGCGCCGCAAGAGTCGTCACAGTAAAGTCCAAGTTACTTCATGCAAAAAACTGAACTTTTTAAAAACAGTTGCCACTAATTCTAAACACCTCAAAATAACCAGCAGAAAATCAGAAATCTGGCTTATTCGCTAATTAAGAGCCTGCATATTAACCGCACTAAACACTGGATCGTGATTGGATCAACGTTACGTGTGTATGTGGCGTCACTTAATTTCATCTTAGTATCGATACCTCGGTTTCAATACGACATTCACAAAGAATCGGAATTGGGAATTACACAACCAAAATGGCGACGGCGGCGTTACGAAAAGTTCCACTCTTACTCCGGCAGTCCCGGCAAAATGGGTCCTTATTGTGTCAAAAGGTTTGTCATAAATTGATTTTAAAGCAAGGACAAAGTAGTCTTAATTATTTGTGTGTGTCTAAAAGTTGTACTTACTGGGTGAGAATATCCAGTTACTGGCCTAGTCAATGTTGCAGGCCTGCCCTAACATTTTGTAACAAAATGCCTAAGTTCCCCGTCATGCTAACGTAATTGGTCATGTTTGTAACGTTACTCCGAACCGAGAAACCGGCATGGTTGGTATCGGTAGGCATTACGAAGGCAGAACCTTAACAAAATGCCATTAATGTAAGCTTATTGTTAGGCCTATCAGTATCAGTCATGTCAGCCATTTTCTTTTGGTAGGCCTAGGCCTGTCTAGTCCCACTGTGTGGCACGGACTCTCACTCCTGATCCATCCTTAGCCACACATCCGTATGCGCAATTTCGTGTCGGCGTACTGAACATTTTCCGCCCACCCACTTATCATCGTGGGCGCAATTTCTTTCGCACACGAACATGATCCTTGACCTTTCCGTTTTCTAAAAACCATTTATTAAATGATTTCACTCACGTTATTCAAGTATTTTCCAGTCTTTTTGCCTTTATCCATTCAATCTAACGGGCTCGCTCTCTCAGTCGCCATCTTTAAAATAAGATCGTTGAACAATACGTCACTTAACCTCTCATCGTCTCGACGGCTCTTCCATGTCGAGACATATGTAATACACGGACTGAGCGATAAGATACTGCATGTACCAATGGGCTCTTCCAAAACTTGGGCAGCACTTTAGGTGTAACCTGCATCTAGGAGTTTCGCAAAATGGCAAGTAGCAACCACACCACGGCAATGAAAACAACTGCAATGAACACGCTCGTACATACTGAATTATAAAAGTAATGATTGTGTAATCCGATCCTCTGACTGGCGGATGCATGCATACGTCACCATTGTTGCGGTTTTCATTGGTTACTGGTCCGCCATTCTGCGAGAGACCCGATTGTCCATGCCCCATTGTCAAGTCCGGTTGGTTTTCACAGTAAATGGTGAAATAAGGGACCTGACGACTGAGACATTTTTACAGTTAGGAAAATTAGATTCCTAGGGAGCAGCAAACCATGGCAGCTTCACCGTTCTAGTTTTCTATGGGGTTCATAGCAGCTTGGCGGATGAGGAACCCCAGAGTTCTAGAGGTACAGTTTGTCATGGTTGTCTTGCCGTCCCAGCTGTGTGTGGGCCGGGCCGTTGCCAACTTGCGATTCCCTGTAACGCTGTATCATTATATTCCTATTGTGTACATGTATGTTGTTCACAAGCCCTGTAGACTATGTACCAAGTAATGAGCTTGGTGACGCTGGTAATTTAATTCATCGAATTGCTTCTTACTTCTAGGCAAACATGTCAGCCTTTTCTGGGATTTCTACCGGCAAAAAAGCAGTAAGTAACCAGAACATAGCAATATTGATTGTCATTATTACAGGCGTAGGCTTGTAAGTTGTAGTGCATAGCGGGCGTCCCCTAGACCTGTCGCCCTGAGAATGTTCATGGAGGATCCGTTATTCCCCCATGCCACGATTTACATACACATCAACATGCATATATTGTCACCTAAGGCTAATTATAATATGATAAGTAATGAGCCTGTGGCTTGGCCTAATGGCATGACTGGCCATGGCATATTATCTAACGTGGCTTTGTAACGTACCTAATGTTGGCTTGCCTTGGACATGCTTGATTTATCGGCATTTAAGGTCAGTTAATGGTAGCGTTAACTGACCATTTAATCTTCAAATCAGCAGTTGTGGATCAGAGCTTGTTTGTAACATCGAACCTATCATGTTATCATAAATCATGTCAACATGATCAATAAGTGATCAAGTCAGTGTGTGGGCGCACTTTTACTGTTAGTTTTCGGTCAGTGATTGTGATCTTGAGGTAGGAATGTTCATTGTTTTTTCCAATTTGGGACTGAAGTTCTAATTCCACAATTCTTAAAGTCTGGAGGTAGAACCTTTTTGTATTTAATGGACAAAATAATTCAAATATACCACTTTTTGTTTCAAGTGTGAAGTTCTCGGTTTTGATATATTGAAGAGCCTTTCCTATCCAAAATTACTTGGAATGGACTTAATTCGTATCAATATACAATACACACAGTTGTATTTGCCACACATTTTCAGGCTTTGCAAATTTGGTGAGATTTCTAGCAAAAACATTCTCTGAGGTGAGGGTTAAGTGATTTCTGACTGTGTTTCGGTGTTGTCCCTCAGATGTTGGGCACGCTGGGCCTGTTGGCCGCAGGTGGGGCTGGCGTGGTAGCCACATTACACATGTCCGTCAATGCCGAGGAGTACGAACTTCACCCACCCAAACACCCCTGGAACCACAAGGGATTGTTCAGTTCGTTCGACCATGCCAGGTGGGCAACATTAAAGTCTTTCACGCTGGATGATTCCCCCAAATATATAAGAAGTTTGAAGAGTGTAAGAAATTTTCTAAAGCCTTGGTGGTTGGGAGTAGGAAGTTTGCCTGAAATTTTCCACCATTTTGAGGAGCGTGGTCTACTTCAGTGGTTGAGAGTTGGGACAGGAAAAAAGAGTTGGAATAAAGGTGGATATTTGTCCTGAAATGTCAGATATATACAAATGTAGCCCTGTTTTACATATTTACACGCTTGTCAGTTGACGTTGTTATAGTTAACGCTCCTATGCTGAAGTCACTCTTTGGGTCACTCGGTAAACACCTCAAAGAAGCACAGCTGTGTCGTGTTGTGCACTGCACCAACATGCAAGAGAGTGACCTTGGGCACTTGTGCATATTTGTACTGTAAAACTAAAGGAGGGTTAATGTATCTAAATTGTTTTGACAAACTAAGCAGCTCCCACAACGCGCGATAAGTCATGTGAAGGTTTGCATTGAATGTGTAGACATGGGGTGAATGCCGTTCAACATGTGGCATGAAAGCTCCGTCCTCAAACCCGCACAGCGATTCTTGCCTGAAGTTAATGTACAGAGCCCACAAATCCTGCAATCTTCACACACTGACCAGTTTTTGAAAAAAATGTTGGCCCACTCAGTCTTCGCCGGGGCTACCAGGTCTACAAGGAGGTGTGCTCGGCCTGCCATAGCATGAAGTACCTGGCCTTCAGGAACCTGGTGGGCGTGACCCACACGGAGGACGAAGCCAAGGCCCTGGCCGAGGAGGTGAGCCGCAAATCTAGGAACCCTGACAAACAAACTCTGGTTTGAAACCCTCCTGAATCCTCCAAAATCCTTGGATTGTTAGGCATTGAGTTACGCTCAGGGTGTGTTTAGGAGAGGAGTTTCCATTGAGAATTTCCTTAAACATTATTGCAGTGTTTGAATTCCTTGGAGAACTTTTTTCGTAGAATTCTATTCTCAATGTATAAATTTAATATTTCAGATTAAACTTTTTTCCATAGCCTATTTGAGTCAATACTTCAGTACTTGAGCTTGTTTTCAGAATGCTGAAACTACAAATTCTTCAAACCATTGATACGTTGATCTTATACTCCGATGCTTATGCTGTGGTGATCATAATTGCTTGTGATTAATCGTTCTCTTTCTTTGAAAGAATTTGGTGCGAATCATAAACGAAAGTTGCATCCTTGATCAATTTGTCTTTCACAGTATATGTTCCAAGATGGGCCCGACGAGTCGGGTGAATACTTTGAGCGTCCTGGTAAGCTGTCCGATTACTTCCCCAAACCGTATTCCAACGATGAAGCAGCCAGGGCAGCCAATCAGGGTAAAGCAATTTTCCAAATTGAGGTTAGGGTATGTGTTAAAATTTCACACGAAGAGATCAAAAGGAAGTTTTGTCCTTGATTATGACATTCCAACCAGTATTACAGTCAGTTTATTGGCAGCTCATTGTGCTTATTGACATATAAAATTTTTATTTTAATACCTTGTTTCTAAGTAAATATGTAATTCTATCTCTTTGTCTGAACATACTATCCAAAGTTTGGAAATTTCATTGGATTTTGTTGGGCTATACCTAGCTGAGCGTAGTCGATGGCGAACAAGTTCTGTGACAATCTTCTCTTAGTCTGGTTAGCATTTGTCTTGCTTGTCTCTCATGAAAGCCCGCACACGTGCAGGCCAAAAGTATCAGGGACAAGGACCAATCAAATTCATAGATCTGTTTATGAATATGCAAGAGATGCGCTGTATCGACAAGCACTCATTTTTCAAAATGTGCAATTGTAGGAGCACTGCCGCCGGATTTGAGTTACATCGCCCTCGCTCGCCACGGCAATGAGGACTACCTCTTCTCCTTACTGACTGGCTACTGCGATCCTCCGGCCGGTGTGGACGTCCAGGATCCGTTGTATTACAACCCGTACTTCCCCGGCCAGGCCATCGGTATGGCGCCGGCGCTGTACAACGAGATCATCGAGTATGAAGACGGTAAGTGGGAAATAAACACTGTTCGCAGTCTCAGAAGTTGGGTCAAAGACAAACTTCTGCATAGAAGCAGGTTCGTCGTCCGTGCAACTCCGATTGTAATAAGCCCATTCTGAAAGGTGCAGTCCCACACTTGCTGCTCTCTGTAAAGTTACTCACAACTGTATATTGAGAGCATTTTTGATTCAAATATAATTCTGGGACTAATTTCCCAGTAGAGTAATTCTTTTCTGGCGAGCTGTTTTTTTAAAGCAAACAGTGAAAGAAGGTAATGTCAAGCGATGTGTGTAACAATACATATTTGGAAATTGTCGTTAGTAGTTTGCTTTTCATTTATCGGAGCGTGTGCAGGTACTGACAAGTTGCTCACAGGTATGAATTTTTGCCATAATTCTTGGGTCTGGTGCCCAGCATTGCGTAGCTGCAATTGGCAGAATGAAAGTGTGTCCTACGTGCTGAATGTGACCGCTATTCAAAATGTGACTCTGCAACTTCTGATTTGAAATTGAGTTTGACCGCTCGTCTCGCCCTCATTTTGACTATTTTTCCCCGACCCATAGGCACTCCTGCGACACTCAGTCAGTTGGCCAAGGACGTATCGACCTTCCTGCGATGGGCCGCCGAACCAGAGCATGACCAGCGCAAAAGAATGGGTCTTAAGGTAAGCTAAGATCCAGGCTGGGCCCGTCGAGGCAGCTAGAAACGAGAGGTTTATTGGTTTCTAGAAATTAAGAGAAACTTCTCTCAGGCCACAAATAGGCATCTTCTGTCACCTTGTCCCTGCCTTGCTACCCCTTGATTCTACTTTCCAATTTTGATATTTGTTTTCTCTTTAACTTAAAAATTCTCCCAAATTGCATTTTCTCTCCCATTTGGGAAAGGAAAAAAACAGTTGGTGGATCGTTCATCGAAACTTTCAAAAGTGTGGCCTTAGGAAAAGGTGCAGCCTTGAAAAAACGATGGCAGAATTCTCACTGAAAACTGGAGGGGGGTAGGAATCCACTGTCGTACCACAGCGAGGAGTTGCTAACGTTGCGAGGTTTCAATGCACGGCTTTGCTCACATTTTTGTCTGCCTCACAGGCGCTGATGATCCTGTCCCTGCTACTCGGCGCCTCCTACTACGTGAAACGGCAGAAGTGGTCGGTGCTGAAGTCGCGGAAGATCGCCTACCGCGCCCCCAGCCATTGATGTTAGGAACCCCCCCCGCTCATGTTTGTTGGGCAACAGAGAAAATTAGAATTTTTTGGAAGGGGCACAAATCTCTAATATTTCAAGTGGGAATTTATGCAAGGGTGACTTATTAAATTCGTTATCCACCCTCGGAAGAGTAGAGTTGACTAAATTGAAACAAAGTCCTTTTCAATGTTGAGAGTAGAGATTTGCGACTTACTCTAAAAGTGGCGTTATTTTTCATACAGTACCCCCGAAGTGTCCATTAATAATTTTAAAAATTGACAATTTTTTTTTTTTTCAGTCTTCAACTTTGCAACTGTGATGAGTTTTTAAAAAGATTGTGTGTCTAAACTGGTTGCAGATCTTGAACCCCGTATTGAAACTACCTAGAAAATGTGAAAGCGCCCTCTAGTGGATTTAGCATGTCACAAGGTTAGGACAAGTTATTTGATAAGAGTTTGGAAATGGTGGGCATGTAAAAAATGTTACAAAATCCTCTCTAAAACACGTCATTGATTTTGATCAGTCCGAGTTTGTTGTCTTCTGGGGCCTTAGGTATTTATTTCCTGTGATAACACGAACTCCTGCTTTATTTGTTGGAATGCCGTTTTTATTTCTGAAAAAAAGATTCTGCTTGGGTTGAAGTGTCAGGGCCCCGAACTTTCTCAGTTTTGTCGGCATGTCACATTTTTTACGACAATTTATGCTGTCTTCATAATGCACCATGTTCAGGCGCCACTTGTAAATATTGCAGAAGTGGCTGAATAAAAGGCCTTTTTAGAGCATAATGCCCTGTTTGGAAAGGGGCAGTGAAATCGAAAGCTTCAGAATTATCAGAATGTAAGCTCTGCCTGGGCTTTTTTAGACCATATAAAGACTCTCTTGCAGATTTTAATGGAATGTGTAAATACACGTAGTGTGTAGGACTTTGAAGCCCTCCGTCTATTAACTGTTGTCAAAGTGTTTGATTCCACGATTTCTGGTACTTTTGTTTCTTGATTATTAGCGTAAAGTCAAACATACAAACATGGGTCAGAATTCTGAATAAGACTCACACTGGTTGCTCCAAAACAGGCTTTAGTTGTGTGCATAACTTATTGACCTCAAGAGACTAGATGACCACAACTTAAGAATGACCACCCTCGTACCTTCAAGTGTTGAATGTTCAATAAAACTAGTGTTCAAGTAAATAGTGGATTTGATTTTTCTGATGTTTACAAGCTTTTCCGTAAAAAAAAAATTAGGGAAATTCAATATGAAATTCCCTCAAACGTCACAAATGAAAAAATATACTGATTGTTTAACACAACACCACATCACTTTAAGTGTGAATCCTTTTTCCTGTCCACTGGACAATTGTAAAGCAACTTCCTCATCCTGTGGTATCTTGGTTTTTGTCCAGCTTGGCTCGTGAAGATTGTCCTGGTTTTTTTCAGATTGGAATGTTAACAACACCATTACCATCCAGGATCCAAATATTTGTTACTTCAAAGTTTTATTGCAGACTTAGCATTCAAAATTGCAGCGAAGTTCACAATGAAATTAAAAAAAGGGTACCCAATTGTAGTCTACAAAATGATAAAAATAACTTGAAGTATGTCACTACTTTCAATGCATATAAGGAAAGTTTTATAATAATACTGTTAAAAATAGAATTGCTCAATCTGAGATTACGTACTTGACCTGTTTTTTACCATTGCAGAAATGACCTTTTGAATTGCAAAGCATGCTGAAAAGAACATTGGTTCGGTTGAACTCTAACCCCTTGAGGAAATGAAAAAAAATTGATTGAACTTGGAGAATTCAAGTTGTCAAGTAAACAAATCCCAAAGCCTTTCCTTTCTTAGACCTTTAAAAAGATCCATTAAAATCTCAGGATTTGTTGAGCACCAGTGAAATATTCTTTTTCCTGTCCTTGGATTTAGACCAATTGAGCACTGATGCTATGAAGCTTCCAAAGTGTACAATTCCGGTGGATTTAAATTTGTTGGCAAATCTACCCTCACAGGCCAAAAAATTGACAAAGTATTTCATGTCTAAAATCCATGCTACAAACACGACAAAGCCCATAAGAAGAATAATCGACAATTAAATCTCAAGAGGTGGTACCGATCGGTGTAAACACATTATTTCTGATAGGTCAAAAATTGCAGGGAATTTCTGCTTGTTTTCAGAACTCAGTAAAATAGGTTTCTATCTGATTATTTTCCCTTCAATTTCTCAAAGCTAGGGCTGCCACTCAAGTCGTAATTGGCCGTAGAAATAACAAAATAAATTTTTTCCAGCACTTCAATCCTGCTCTGCAATGCAACAGTAGAAGCGGCTGATTATACTTAATATTTGGAAAGCTGCACAATTTTAGATCACATTATCCGTTAGAGCTGCGCACATTTTTCTACCTCATTGCATAATAATATCACACATGTAAATAATATTTGAATATATGAATATTAGATTGAAGGAAGTAGCATTAATTCTGCTCTACTTTTTATCTTAACCCTGCTAACTGCCCACATTTGGTCACATAAAGCAGCATGCAAGTACGGAAAGATAACAGCATTTTTAAAGAACAAATACAAGTCTTCATAAATACCTCAACAACTACAAAAAAGAAAATACAGCCTGCAGAAGTCATGCCATGAATAATGCAAGTGTCAAAATACATCCTTCTCATAATATGACAAGCTCGGATCGAATTGAAATAAAACTGCATCGGGCAAGTCTGCTGGAGTGAGTCGTCTGAAAATATTGGAAATCACATTGCACCTGGTTAAAACGTAAGCAGACGCCCAGCAAGTATCGTGGTTTCAGCAATTGCATAAGACAGCAGCCAAACTTTAAAACAATCTTTTTTCTTTTATTGTTTATCTACGAGCGGTAAACTTATGCACGTCCATGTATATACTTTGTTTCTATTTATAAGAATATGAAATATGATGTAATCATTTTATTTTTGTTCAAGGCACAAAACATGTATTGAGGTTGCTTCAGAATTCAGTGTTCATTTAACACTAACTCCAGGGTGTTTCATAAAAATGGGAAGATTTAAGACTTACCAGGTTGAAAAAGCAGTAGTTATTTTGAAAACTGGCAAGGAGATCGGCTGTTATTACAGAGAAAAAAAAGGACTGCGTATGGTTTCATTTTATTTGCTTGTATTATTACACTACAAGCTGACAAACGTATTGATGAAGGCTAAATTCATCTGAGCAAAAAAAAAAAAATTATCGGTCACACTTTTTGTTGTGACATTTTTCATGAATATTTATGGCAGCGTGGTAGTCTCAGTTGAAGCCAAATCTTGGTCTTGAGCAAATGAAAGACAGGAATAGTAGACAAAATAAATTCTCCATTTGGTTTTTGTTGACTTGCATATCGATATCTTTGCATAAGTTTGTGTAAAGGTGCACTTAAAATAATCGTGATAAAAAAAAACAATAATTTATTTCAAAATATTTGGTGAATTTGTTGTCTTTCTCTTAAAAATTAGTTCAAATTTAGTTTTGGTTTCAATGTAATCATCAAAATCAATAGAATTTCATTATCGAGCTGTTTCAATTAATTACTGTTGGAACTTAGGAACACGACCTATCAAATTTAAGAGTTCACGATTGCCACATAATTCAAACAAACTGCTTCTTACTACACTCCACTAGAAATCTGTACAAGAAATTTCAGAGCTGGAGCACGATTAAAAACTGCGGAAGGAAAAATTTGGAAAGTGGACAGGGGCATCTGCTGAAAAAGACTCTCAGTCAAACTATGAAATTCAGCTAAAGCTAGGTATCAGTTGCTATGGAAACAAACAGACTCGATGATTACTGTATTACTGTCGCTACGTAGTCCCTGGAAGTTTTAACCATGTCATCAGTCCTGATCTGAGAACGGCACAGATATTGAATAGCAGGCACTAGCAGTCAATGGAAACACACACATAAATTATCCATTGAGTTTATGCTTAAAGAAAAGGGGGTGAACCTTCCTTTTCACGTGATGAGTTCTTGTCGGGAGAGGATTAACCAGACACTAGACCTATCATTCAGGTAATACACCATAGGGTTATCTAATGTTGGCACAGGGATATTACTGCAAGGCCAATGGGTAAAACCAACAGACCGGACAGTCAGTATCTAATGCTTGGAATGACGAATTCCTGCTCCAAAAACGTTTTGAATTTGTGCGTGTGATAGCATTTGCACAATAAGATTCTTTTGATTACTAATTATTGGGAAGAAAAATTGAAATGTTGAGCCCTGCCAGGTGTCCAACCAGCTTCAACGTGTAGTTCATGTCATCTTAGCAGGCTGATCAACCAAGCTGTGGAAAGAGCAAACTTAGTGACAAACATCACTCCATTTTGAGTACAAGGTTCAGCGATCAGGGTTGATGACACCTTGAGGATCGTACACTAGAAAAATAGTAGTCATCAAGCAGTCATCCTGGTGAATACGAAACAAAGAAATGACATTTAGAAACATACAGAACCGGGGGAGGGGGGAATAATCTGCATTTCTCTCAATGGTGTGACTTTTGTGCACATTCCGCTGGAAAAACTGTAGGTCTCGTACACATTTGATATGCGTATGTTTCTGTCTTGCTCTCATAAACAAGCCACACAGCATAGTGTCTGCATTTTATGCAGTCCATTGCTTGAAGGTTAATAAAAACAGATCATGCAGATTGCACATTAAAGTGCCATTCGACATACATGAGAAGCATATCAAGGCCTGCACATATTTCAATTCAGATAATTAACTGACAATTTGAATTATTTGCCAAACTATGTCATCGAACCAATTAATCATGTCATCTTATCTTATTAACAATAGTGTGCGATCCGGAACCTGTTCTAAAGGTCTGCCAATGATCTCATTTTTTTGTCTATTTGTATTTTAAGTTTGATTTATTTACAATTTTTCTCTTTCCCGTATTAATGTTCTATGTAACTTCATTGTAAGGAAACTGTTTTTTGCTGTGCTTTTTAAGTGGAATGGTTTTTATAATAATTTTTATTTTTACTGATTGTATTTTCATTGAGGGCCTCTTTGGACAGCAGTGCTGTGCATTGGTGGAGCTTACCCTCATTAACTAAGACTTCAATAAATAAATAAATGAGAAAGAGTACACAACTCCAAGCATTCAACTGTAAACACAACACGATCAGATGTTTGGAAATTTCCAATCTTCCCAGGGGGTCCACCGGTGGTCTAGATAAATTTCTTCCGTGTCACACAGTCCTTTCTCAACCAATACACTAGCAGAAATCTATTCCCACGGCACAGCAGGATCGTTGGACTCACCGGTCCTGTCTAGTGTGTGGTGTCGTACGTCCCTTCCCCCTTGTAGTTTGTCACGTAGCCTGTATCTCTTTTCAGGTCCTTCCGCCCCTCCAAGCCTCTGCCTTTGCCTCTCTCGTCAAAGCGCTCCTTGTGCGAGCCGGTGTACTTGGAGGTGTCGGTCAACCTATCCACGGCCCCGACCCTGGAGGTACCCTGGAGGGAATTATGGGACACCGGATCAGATTTTACAGGGTGTTTTTTTTTTTTCTGTGATTGCTTTCTGTGATGAGAATTAACACCATCACTGAAGCAATGCACTTTGCTGTCAAATACATTTGACAATCAAAGTAAAGAGACCGCAGGTGGGACAAATGAATGTATACTTTCAATGGATGCTTGTTTTCATCTTGAGTAAAATTGAGAGGTAATGAACAGAATTCATAATCCTCTTAGATCAATTTAGGCAAAGTACAGCATCAAATCTAAGTGTACCCATTTCTGCACCACTCGGGACTAGTTTCAGGGCATGGTAAGCTGAGCAATAAATATGCCAAGCTGATTCAAGTTTGTGCTTAGAAAATGCAGGTTACCAGGCAAAAGTTTATGTGAAATCTAGAGCTCCCGACTGGCTCCCTGCTGTCTGTGCAGAGCTCATAAACTCACTAAAAACAGATTTCTGCGTAAGAGACACTGAAAAAATGGCTAGCCCCCTCCCCGGATCTCTAAAAGTGGAAACCCCTCGAGAAAAATGGAAGCTTTGATGAGAGGACACAGCACATGCACTGAAGGTTTTAACTACCGTTGTGTTGGGTGTGGACGGCCCGCCTCCTGCTATGACCTTGCTTTTGATCTTTTCTGTGTTTTCGTCCGACTCAGTGCCGTACTTGGATTTGCCAGCCATGACCAGCGCTTTCTTGAACAGCTCAAAGGTCAACACCTTGTTGCCTGGTCCACCTTTGGCCCTGAATATGGAAGTGAAAGAGAAAACAATTGGTTTGATAATTTACTCCATTCCATTCTGGGATTGAAATCACAGGTTCCTGAAAAGGACCAATAGGAAGCTGAGTCAGAAAGCTGAAGGATCTTGTCAAAATAGAGACAGCGGTGGAGTACCACTCAACTTTAAGAAGAGGAAGCAAGCGCCAGCCCCCAAAAATGAATAAATAGAGAGGAAAAAGGAGACAACAATGCCACTAACTAATGCCCAAACATTACGTGGAATTGTACTTGTATTCCAACTCGGTTACAGCGGCGGACGGCTAGGACACGACCGCCACACCAACTTGATTTCTTTGGTAGGTTTCTTCTCTCAAAGGTTGTTTGCGATTTCTTTGGGTTCTGGGTTTCTCACGAGGTTGGCTAACATTTGTATTGAGAGGGGTCGAAGAGGGAAATTTCTGCTTCAGACGCAGGAGGAAGACTTTTCAGGAAATACACTGGAAAAAAAAAACAAATTTGCATTTGGATGCAATGGAAAAACCAAGCGTTTGACAGAGTTACTGCGCCAACGTTAGTATCACTGAATCACATTCTCCAAACTGACGACCCCATTTGGGGGAGGGAGCTCATGTAACCCACCTCCTCTCTACTCCTAACGTACCTTGCAAAGATTATATCCACCTCTGTGCCGTCCAGCTTCTTGCTGTCAATCAGCCCCTTCTCCTTGAAGAGCTTGGTGAAATTCTTGCTGGTTATGTCTTTGGTTTGGCCGGGGCGTCCGAAGGCCGCGTACTCCTCGAAGACTCTCTTCAGTGTGGCGTCTGCCATGGCTTAGGAGCGGAGAGTTTGTGGCTTTGGTGCACCAAACGCGGAAATCCAAGCAAGGATCTGTGCGTGCCAAGAGGGAAGAGGAATAGTTGGGAAAGATTCAACAACTCCCGATACGACAACTGCGCATCCGTCTTGATGCCACTGGGGGCAGAGCAATATCTTTTGAGGGATGCATCTCGGAAACAACTGACATGCTTGGAGATCATATTTAATTTGTAATTAAATGATTAAAAAATTTTTTAAATGCTGTGAATTGTGCACTGACTGAATGACCTCAAATATAAAATTTTACAATCACCTGAAAAAACCCATACTCTATAGTGAGGAAATTTGAGTTATTTAAATGTTACAATAGAATTCGCATATGCATAAATATTGGGTAAGAAGCTGATATATATATATTTTTTATGTGTTTATTCAACAAAAACAAGACATGTGCGAGAAAAACCTGACAACATGTAACTGTAATTAAGTCGTAAATGTTTTTTTGTGATGGATATCGAGGCCAGACTTAATTGATTTTCTAGGGTTTTCATTATTAATTACACGTCTGGATGTGACCCTGCAACCTTGAAGGTACTGTGTACATATACCTGTGTATTGTAAACCTCAACTAGTAAAATTGATCTGATGGACGAATGTTATAAAACCATGTCTATTCCTTCACAGACTGAAATGATTAATTAATCCAGAGATCTGGACTGCTGTAACCTAGCTGAACCAGATGATGGATAAATGACGGATGAATCCACTGAACGGCAATATTGACATTGTCCAAGCTTTGCTGAACATGATATCTGGTTGACAAGATTAAAAATAACAGCTGTCCTTCCTGTCCTGAAATAACATGCGACCGAAATAAATCTTCCCCTCTGTGTTTTCCAATCTGTGTAGAGTATTAAAAGCAGATCTTGCAAGTAAATTTACAACCAAAGCCTAAGACCTGAAATGTTTAAGAATGAAAAGAACAAAATGAGGGGTTTGAGTACAAGACAATTCCTCTTTTAAAATGTCAGGTTTGGAACCAAGATTAAGATGAAATCCTGAGGTCGGTCAGCAGAATGGAAAAAGGAATTTAGAAGGATGAAAAAAAAAGAAACTTCAGGCTATACAATGTACACGTACAAGATGTTTGCCTTCCTTGATCGCCATGGGTGGAGAATGGAAAAGAGGGGGCGGGGGGAATAAAGGCCCCTCCCTAACCTTTTGACTTATAGTTTTGTTTTGTCCTTGTTTTATTTTGACTGTATTGAACTGCAATTGTCTTTTCATGTATAATCTGTCGTCAGTCTTCCTTGTCTGGTTTTTTCTCGTTGTCTTAATAAGGCATTCCTGTCTAAGACTTTGTCTTCTGAATATGCCTCCGTATTTGCCCCCTTTTATTTCAGTGTCTCATTAAACATTCACTCTTGTAGTCATAAATCTTTCATTTATTGCTCTTGTGTATAACTTGATATATACGTTGCAATTCGGAAATAAATGTTGAGTAAAAAAAAAAGCCCTCTGGCTCATTTAACCCAATGATGTGAAACTCAAAAACCAGGGTAAGGATTCAATCAACAATTAAACTAAGTCAATAATGCCTTCACATTATCTATGTATTGTAGGGATGCATGTTTCAGTCAATATGGCTATCAGCGATACATGTCAACTGAATTTTACTTCTTTGAGCACAATACAACAGAAAGGTAAGGCCACCCCAACTGACAAGGGCATGTTTTCATACGGATGTTGAAACGCATCATTTCCTGAGCGTCACAGTATGATATGAGTGTAGTGTGAACTAAATGGATGGGTGAGCTGGCAAGAGTGTGAATGCGAACTCAACTACCCTAGACGACGAGCTAAATCAGAGTAAGCGTGACCAGGCTTAGGTCTGTGTGAGATTGTTCTTGTTGCTATGGATACATGTACCAATCTTTGGTCTGCTCACAAAAATTCACAAGTTACAGGCCTAGGTGTTGATAAACGTGCCCTTGGCCGCTGGAATTTGGTATGAACCGGTTGGCTGCCTACATTGAGCCATAATTGGTAGGCCTGTGCTTTTGTGATATACTGGAGGCATGTGGCCTAGTGGTTAGGGTTTGTAGCTTGTGATCATAGGGTCAGGGGTTCGAATCCAGCTGGTGGCAGCATGTTGTGATCCTGGGCAAGTCACTTTACTCCTATGTGCCTCTCTCCACCCAGGAGTAAATGGGTACCAGTGAGGGCAGACACGGTTATGATTAGCCATTTGCGCCGAAATGGCAGCACCAGGCTAGTATACTCCCCAGGGAGCTGAGATGGTTTCAGGAATGTTCAGATGACGTGTGAGCCCAATGTGCAGGGATAATGATAATACAGCGACTCAGAATGGTTTGCTAGATAGAGGGCGCTTTACAAGTGCTTGTTATTATTACTGCAAGAGTGGGGCAATGCAATTCCAAAGTTACGTGCAGAGCTGCTGTGTTTGTATTTCAAAGTAATACACAGATCTCCCGAGATTGCAACACTGCTTAGAATTCTGCATGATCGTGTACATGTACATGCCTTATCCGATGTCAATGTTTCACTCTTTTTCTTCAATAACGTCTGATCGCTGTCCAAAGTCCAAAGTGCTTTTCAAGCTTTGATTTACGGTACAAGCAAAGTACTGTTTTCCTAATGGTTAGAGAAAAGACTTCTGATGTCCGCATTTGATTGAAAGAAAACAATTAATTTGCTCTGAAATTATTGTTTTGAAAGCCGGGCAGTGTCAGAGAAAAAAAATCATGTCAACTGGGGTGCCCTTTTGTAATTAACTGACAGGCTATGGAAATAACTTTAAAAAAAGTTGCCAAAAGTAAAGAGTTTGAGGTTTGCTGAAAAGACCACATCACTGACTTTTCATGAGCTAGAGTATAAAATTTGACAAACTTTTCGGATTGTAAAAATCTATAATTGAAGTCTCCAGCAGATCACGGTATCATAAATTCTTGAAAATGTTTTCAACACCTTCAGCTGGATCAAAATATCTTGTGAAATGTTTACTTTTAATACGGGCGATTCACAATTGTGCGCCTCCAAGAGTTTGCAACGCGTTTGGCCAATCACAAAGCGTGAAATTTGTCGACCCTTTCCAAACGCGCATTGGGTTGACAAATGTCACGCATATTGACTGGCCAATGCGTTGCAAACTCTTGGAGGTGCACTGTTGTGAAACACCCATATTCGAACAAAATTTATCAAGTGCACATTTCTGATGTAAAATATAGAATTCCATCATGTGCAGGCCTAACTGGAAATTTGCATACTGCCAATTAAACAAAAATTAAAGAAGTTCTACTTAAAGCAACTGAGATATGTTTACTAGTTTGCCTCAACATGTCAAGAGCTCAACTCCTCTTCAAAAGGGAAAAATCCCACAGCCTAATTAACATTTTCTTCGAAGAGGGAAACGTTGGCCGCCCTAGCACTGTGCATACATCATGTGCAATGTCATGGTACATGGTCCAAGCATGGAGGAAGGAATGACCTAGAGGCTGAATAGACGATAACAACGTTTACTCATCATGTAGTCCAGTACTGTGTACGTGTATGTGGATATTTGATATCCATGTACTTCGTGCGGCAATTATGTCTAGACGTTCGCGTAATCTTACTTAACTGTTCTGTGTCAACATTGAAGTGTGCATGATGCATGATAAGCATGACCCACAGGGCCGCCCGTAATGGTTAACTTAATGTATCTACATGTAATGATGTAGGCCTACATGTATGTCGTGAGTAAACGTTGCAGTTTCCTCACGACACNCCCCATGTGCAGGGATAATGATAATACAGTGCCTCAGAATGGTTTGCTAGATAGAGGGCGCTTTACAAGTGCTTGTTATTATTACTGCAAGAGTGGGGCAATGCAATTCCAAAGTTACGTGCAGAGCTGCTGTGTTTGTATTTCAAAGTAATACACAGATCTCCCGAGATTGCAGCACTGCTTAGAATTCTGCATGATCGTATACATGTATATGCCTTATCCGATGTCAATGTTTCACACTTTTTCTTCAATAACGTCTGATCGCTGTCCAAAGTCCAAGGTGCTTTTCAAGCTTTGATTTACAGTAGGCGATTTGTTCACATCAAATCAATGTACATACAAAGTACTGTTTTCCTAATGGTTAGAGAAAAGACTCCTTATGTCCGCATTTGATTGAAAGAAAACAATTAATTTGCTCTGAAATTATTGTTTTGAAAGCCGGGCAGTGTCAGAGAAAAAAAATCATGTCAACTGGGTTGCCCTTTTGTAATTAACTGACAGGCTATGAAAATAACTTTAAAAAAAGTTGCCAAAAGTAAAGAGTTTGAGGTTTGCTGAAAAGACCACATCACTGACTTTTCATGAGCTAGAGTATAAAATTTGACAAACTTTTCGGATTGTAAAAATCTATAATTGAAGTCTCCAGCAGATCACGGTATCATAAATTCTTGAAAATGTTTTCAACACCTTCAGCTGGATCAAAATATCTTGTGAAATGTTTAATTTTAATACGGGCGATTCACAATTGTGCGCCTCCAAGAGTTTGCAACGCGTTTGGCCAATCACAAAGCGTGAAATTTGTCGACCCTTTCCAAACGCGCATTGGGTTGACAAATTTCACGCATATTGATTGCCCAATGCATTGCAAACTCTTGGAGGTGCACTGTTGTGAAACACCCATATTCGAACAAAATTTATCAAGTGCACATTTCTGATGTAAAATATAGAATTCCATCATGTGCAGGCCTAACTGGAAATTTGCATACTGCCAATTAAAGAAAAATTAAAGAAGTCCTACTTGAAGCAATTGAGATATGTTTACTAGTTTGCCTCAACATGTCAAAAGCTCAACTCCTCTTCAAAAGAGAAAAATCCCACAGCCTAATTAACATTTTCTTCGAAGAGGGAAACGTTGGCCGCCCTAGCACTGTGCAAACATGTACAATGTCATGGTACATGGTCCAAGCATGGAGGAAGGAATGGCCTAGAGGCTGTATAGACGATAACAAGGTTTACTCATCATGTAGTCCAGTACTGTGTATGTGGATATTTGATATCCATGTACTTCGTGCTGCAATATGTCTAGACGTTCGCGTAATCTTACTTAACTGTTCTGTGTCAACATTGAAGTGTGCATGATGCATGATAAGCATGACCCACAGGGCCGCCCGTAATGGTTAACTTAATGTATCTACATGTACATGTAATGATGTAGGCACGCAAACATGGCAAAGCGGGAAGTGAAATGCGGGCAGAGCGAACGATGCTGAAAGCTGAAAAAAATATTTCTAAAATGCAGCAGGTTTGAGACCAACTCACCACCTTGCAGCTTCTTTGTCCACACCGCTGGACAGAGTTCACTTGGGACGGGGCGAAAGCTCCGAAAAAGTTTCTCGAGGGGACAGATCGACAGCTTCTGTCGTCGCTCGCGCACGCGGCTAGCTAGTGAGAGTTTATTTACGTTATTTTCCCAGTCGATGGAGGGCGCTAGTAAAAACAGTGAATGTTTTCGTGTGGAATGGAACATTCTATTCAACGACCAACTTTCTATTCTGCGGTCGCCGAATGACATCATTCTTTCCATTGCACGATTGTGAAACGTTCGACTTGTCTTTTTAACACAGTGCCAAGATAAAACAAAGTTCCGCTTTAATACATCTCTCAATTACACCTTTAAGGGGAATTTAAGTTTTACTTTCCATGAAATAGAACGCCCATTTTAGCAACGCTTAGGTTTAGGGCCCTTAGTAATTTTATCTAACATTATCTCACCACCTTGCAGCTTCTTTGTCCACACCGCTGGACAGAGTTCACTTGGGACGGGGCGAAAGCTCCGAAAAAGTTTCTCGAGGGGACAGATCGACAGCTTCTGTTGTCGCTCGCGCACGCGGCTAGCTAGTGAGAGTTTATTTACGTTATTTTCCCAGTCGATGGAGGGCGCTAGTAAAAACAGTGAATGTTTTCGTGTGGAATGGAACATTCTATTCAACGACCAACTTTCTATTCTGCGGTCGCCGAATGACATCATTCTTTCCATTGCACGATTGTGAAACGTTCGACTTGTCTTTTTAACACAGTGCCAAGATAAAACAAAGTTCCGCTTTAATACATCTCTCAATTACACCTTTAAGGGGAATTTAAGTTTTACTTTCCATGAAATAGAACGCCCATTTTAGCAACGCTTAGGTTTAGGGCCCTTAGTAATTTTATCTACTTTGAACAAAGGTTTTGGATGTTTCTTCTTTTAACAGATTTTATTTTACAATTGTGGAAACCGCGTTCGGAGGCTCAATATTTGGAGGAGCAATACGCTAAAGCATGTCACAGCCGAGATGTGCCATCTAAATCTAACCAGGACAAAATAACCGATATGTTTTTTCTCCTTATGACTCCAGGAAAATGAAATCAAGATGACACTTGATCTGTCAATCAAATGAATCCTTATTTATTATTTGATTTCAGCAAGTCGGGTCAATGATCAATTCATCACATTTCTGACATTTTATGTAAAACATCCGTCAGACTTGTGGTTTAGATCTGGCACGGACATGACATGGAACTTAATAATATCAACAAAGTTGGAACTTCAATGAGTCTCATGTTACTGCTGAGTGACCGGTGTTGACAAAAACAAGGGCTTCGAACTGTTGGATGGTGATTTCACCACTTTGTGATCCAAGTTTTGTAATCTGGGATCATAAAAATGTAATTAATTTGTGAAATTTAAGGCCAAGTGTACAAAACAAAACAAAATCGATGTGAAAATCCACAATCCTATCGGGATTTCAAATTTGCATCTATAACAGTTCAAATCTGTGACATCTCATGCTTATCTTGACTTCCAGAAGTCCGGAGGTCAGGACAAAATTATTTTAGAAAAAAAGCTAATAACTGCTAGTTGACCTTGTGAATGCCAAGAGTCTATAACTCTTCAAGTTGATGACACTGGAAAAGTATGTTACTTATGTCCACACTTTCATCTAAACCCTGTGGAAATTGCAAGCATTTGGTCACATTAAACAGCATGCATCAAAAGAGAGATCACAGCAAACTAAACTGTACCACATTTGATCAGAAATAATCAGGTTCATCTCACTCACATTTATCCAACATCTTATCAACATCAAATCATTTAAACAGAGAAAAAGTACAGCATTTCAGAGACCACTTCCTCATAATCTACACATCAAATGCTACTTTCATTGTTGTTTCTGTTGTCATAAAGTCTAACACCTCTCACGTCAAACGCCACAAAAGTCTGACTTTTCGGACTGACGAGGTACCTGACTAATGAGGCGTCGGGTCTATAGGTCGAAATAAACTTATAAAAAATTGTTGATAACATCTCCCCAATGCAAAAATACATCTTGAAAATAGTTCGCGGTACCCGCTGCTTCATTTGACTCGGACCGGCTAGCTGACCCTGGCAAGCTCGGTGGTCGAGTGGTTAAGACATCTGCACTAGTAAGCAGGATGTCGTGGGTTCGAGTCCCACCCGAGTAAGCTTATGAGGTTTTTTTCGCAAGCTCTCGAACAAGCACTGAGCATACAGTGCTTATTAATATTCGTTGGGTAAGGGCAAAACCTGTTATATATAAAGAATTGTTGGACTTTTGAGGCGTCTGACTTATGGACTTTTTAACGCATTTTTCAGACTTATGAGGCGTCGGATCTATGAGGCGTTGGACTCACGAGCTGACTCCCATAGAGTAACCTTGTAGCTTATGGCTAAATTGAGTCACCTTCACCAGCAATGGAGAAAAAGGCTGAGCTAGCAGGGACCATTTCAACTGGCCACCGGGCAACCATGCCGAAACGGTGTATTCCAACGGAAACTTAGCATCCCTTTACCATTCTTATGCCCAGAACACTGTCCAGGCATGCTACTGTGTAGCCCAAATGAGACATTGTTACTACGTAAAAAAAATGTGCCATTTCTTATTCGAACACACAGCTAATAAGAATCTCATACACTGCATAATTACTTTTAATAGCTCTAAAAACGACCTACAAAATTTACATGTATAAGTATATTTGTTGGATACATATGAATCTTTATACATTTCAACCAACAGTTAAGAAAGGCAATTTACGAGACATGGAAATATCTCTTTTGACAGAGAAAATAGCTCATACAAGATCTATCACATTACACTGATTACTTTCCTCTGATGCTATTTGCTGATGATACAAGCTACTTGACGAAGAGAACTTCTTGATTATTGACAACAGAAAACAAACCTGTAATCAAAAAGGTCAAAAAGAAAACTTACAGAGCATCGTATAGAAATTCACAGGAAAGCACTCATAGACCTCCAAACTTCATTTTCTCTTCAGAAATAATGAAGACATCCCCGCAGGACCCTGTGAACAGGTACACTGAAGAAAGACATCAATTTTGGTATCAAATCTAGGAGCACAAGTTTGAGAGACACCCATTTATCGATCACTGGTCGATTTCCTTGGTTAGTTGTGCACAAAATACAACATGGGTACCGGGCAAGATCGATCGGCGGTTGACAGATGGTCATCGCTCAAAATTTGCCTCACGGTGATACTGGCCCTCCTCAACTTATAATTTCAGTTCAACGATGGGATTTCTGTTTCAAAGTAACCCATAAAATTGCTGTAACTTCACTGAGGGCTATTTATTTGATGATCACACATAAACTTCTTGGAATGTCACATGATCCATTCTTGGCCAATCAAGCTGCACATTCAGTTCATATGGTAGAACAGCTTTGTTCAACTCACCAGCAGTCCCATTTTAGTGTGTCTTGTCGTATGTATCTTTCCCCTGGTAGCCTCCAACGTAGCCAGCTGAAGCTTTTTCGTCAAAATCTTTCCGCCCCTCCAGGCCCTTCCCTTTCCCCGATTCGTCAAACCGCTCCTTGTGCGAGCCAGTGTACTTGGAGGTGTCGGTCAGCCTGTCTACGCCCCCAGTCTTTACTGCTTTTGTGGCCTTAGGGTAAAAAACAAGGAAGAGAAAATTAAAGTTCAACAAGACACGATTTCTGGGATGGACGTTCTGTGATTGGAATAAACTCCAACCCTAACAATGAAGTGTTCTGGTTCTCGAAGCAGAAATCAAAGTAAGGGGACAGCTGTATTCACGAACATGTGAAACACAAGGCAGAGCAAATTTCACTGACGCTTGTTCTCATCCGTGTTAATACCAAGGGTATCCAACAGAGCCCTTCAATTTGCTAAGCAATAGAGGGTTTGCAGGGCTGCCATCTTGCAGGTCAATGCTTTTGTTTCACAGGGTATGCACAAAGGAGGTTTCCCCATGAAACAAAAGACCTGCCCAGCGACATGGCTACCACGAAAAGCCTCTTCAGGCTTCTGCTCACGAAAATTCCCCCTTCCTACCCAGATCTGAAAGAGCAGACATTCCTAGCAGAAATGGAAGATTTGAGGAGTGGGACAATAGATGTACTGACCCCTGACGTGCCTGGCCCTTTACCGGCAACAATCTTGTCGATCAACTTTTGGACGTCGCCCTTGCTGCCGTACTTTTTTTCGGCGCACAGTTCCAGGGCTTTCTTGAACTGGGAGAAGTTGATCTTCCTTTCAGTTTTGGATTTTACCTCGGGCCTGAAAATTCAATTTAAAAGAAAAAAGTTTCTTTGGCATTTCATTTCACTCCCTTCCGATGCTGAAATAACAGATTCTCTCAAAACACGTGTACCTCAAAAGGAAATATGGCCTGTGGATTCCAACCAATAGGAGACAATCATAGAATTATGATACATTTGAAGGAATAAGAGGATTACTACTACTACTAATAATAATAGAAAATTTATAATGTGCCGTTTCCATAAAAATGATCAATGGCGCGGTACAAGTTAGCATAAAAAATAATTGATTTAAGAAATGAAAGGATAAATGAATGTCATCGTGCTAGTAACCAAACCACAGTATGGGGATACGTCTGCCCTGCCAACAGGGAGAACCTAACCCTGCTGGCATCGGTGATGTCTCGATCTTTCCCGGGGACAGACACCTCTAACCCTACCTCCAATAAAAGAAAAGTATTATACCAGACATGGTGACACTAAAATAACAAATCACAGCTAAACCTACATGTACAATGAAATTAAAAATAATAATAATCTTACCAGATAAAACTAATAAACTCAAGAATCTTGCACTGCAATATCATTGTGCAAATGCAATATTAAAAAGGTGAGTTTTTACTTTACATTTAAAAACGGCAAGGCTCTGCTCGCACCGTATATGCCGTGGCAATTAAGGCATTCCATAATTTTGGAGCAGCCATTGCAAATGCCCTGTCACCAAGTGTGGGTAGCTCTTTACCGTTAGGGTAACTAAACAAAGGACCGTTGCTTGCTGACCTGAGATGATATCTAGACTCCTTCTTAATGATGACAAGATTCATTAAGTATCTAGGAGCAAGACCGTGGATGGCTTTGTATGTTAACGGGATGATTTTGAAGTTAATCCTGTACAAAACAGGTAGCCAGCGAAGATGATACAGTATTGGTGTTATATGTTGAAACTTGGGTGTATTCGTATACTTTAAGCAAATGTTCCAGGAAATGCACTCAATTTGAAAAAAAAATGGAAAAGGCTAAAACAAAGAAGATACAATGAAAACAGTTTAAATACATGTACAAACAAATATCACAGAATCTCGTTACCACTTCCTTTGGATTGGAAGGGGCTTACCTCTAACAGTCTTCAATCCATCACCAATTGGAGGATTGAGGAGTGTTAGACTTCAACCATTACACGATCGCTCCCCCCCCTTCCCAGACATACCTGTTGAAGATGATGTCGGTGTCCGTGGATGTAAACTTCTTATCGTAGAGTTTGAGGTCCCTGAACAGCTTGCCGAACTTTGCGTTGTCCATGGCCGCCGTGGTGTCTTTGGAGCCAGCGCCAAATGCGCAAAAGCTCTTGAAGACCTCCTCCAGTTCAGAGTCCGACATGGCTACGTGTCAGGGAGTGTCTGAAGTGATGCGGAAATCAAAGCGAGGATCTGTACCCAGAGATTGAAATAACGGAAGCTACTTACTAACGAAAAAAGTGTGCGTGTATCATCTCCATAGACACGCTAATTAATGCAAATTTCCTTATAGGAGACACTCCTCCACCATGCAAGCTTCCATCGAATTATTAGGTTAAAAAATCTATCACAAACTGGTCAAAGGCTTCTGTCGTGTCTGCTCTTTCAATGTTGCAGTCGTATTTTTTGCTACCTGCCATCGGTTGGGAAAGCAAAAGAATAATTCAAGACTTGTTAAAACTTGCTTTCAGAAGGGATGCATCCCACTGGGGCTAAAATTTGTTTCGCGTCAGTGAGAGGCAGGGAAGTGCATGTACCCGTACATGTACTTTTATAAAAAAAAAAGCAAGAGTCCTGCTTCAGGCTGTGAATGGACGGAGTGACCTGATGCTGGGAATAATGCCACAAATGACCCAAAGAACTGGTCTCCGATTTGGTAGGAACATTTCAACACATTGAAACAGTACTCGGAATAAAAGGGCAGTCGAACCTCATTAATAATAAGAGCACTGTTAATACAAGAGTCTGCTTGTAACGAGGAACCGTTTAGGTCCAAATCCTTTTTTTTTTTATTCCTGACAATACAAGGTTCCTGTTAAAACAACGGAATTTGCCAAGTCCGAAGGACCTCTTATTAATAGGGTTCGACTGTATTTCACTTTGAGTAATTAGCACATTTCTGTTGTACGAGTAAAACTTCAGTTACTCACAACTAGGTGAAGATCGAGGCAAATGCTGCCATTGATTTTTCTCTCTATAATTTATTAATCACCGAGTGGGGGGGGGGCCCATTGTACGTGCCATGTTAACCGCAAACCATACAGTGGTCTATTGTTATCAAACAATGGCCATTATTATGTGGACTGAGATTATTTATTCATTGAAAATAGAAGCTGCAGCCACCAGACTGGATACAGGCATTTTTAAATAGCCTGCGGCAAGTAACCCCGAACCAGCAGATTTGTGTCAGGTGTAGGGATCCATCGATTGAAAAAAAAAAAAAAATGTTCACAAAATCGTTGGTATGATCATGTACACGGCTAGGATTATTGTATTATTTGAAAGAACAGGCAAGTTTAAATGAAAGCTGATGATTTTTTTAAGGACCACTTTTATCGTGATGATGAGATGCTGACATCAGCTAAATAGGAAGGCTTTGAAAAGATACGAAGTGAGCAACTTCAGTTTACAAGTAAACTGATGTACACCAACTCACCCCAGAACATGCGTCTACATGTTTAACCAATAACCACATAGGACAATTTGCATAAGAGTGCACACGTGCACATACAAATTTGCCTCCATGATGGGCGATGGGGGGGGGGGAATCCATCCCCAGAATCTTAGCGAGATAGAATCCCAGTTGCGGATTTCATCTACTGATTTCAAACTTGTCTCAGTCTTCGCATCTGAATTCGGTTGAACCTTAGTGTTGCTTTATTTGATTTCTTTTGTTTGTGTAGGAAAACAAAGAAGTGCCCCCTGGGTGAGAATACATTGCAAAGAAAGGTAGTGCATTCAGAGCAGCATCGCACCTTCCCACGGTGTTTATACGAGGTAAACAACCTGCTTTGGGTTCAGTTAACAGGACTACAAGTTGTATGGATGCCAACATTTAATTTCTTTGGGCACATACAACAGAAGGGCCATGCAACCTGCCCCCCCCACCTGATAAAATGGGATATTGTCATGCGGATGTTTGTTTGAATCCAGGATTATTTGCATTGGAATACAATACTAGCCTAGCACGCAATAAATAAATGTAGGCTCCTTTACTGCCAAGGGTGCACATGACAGTGTACGCGTAAAGGTGTACATGTACATGTAGGCCAGACTAGCTGCACTGAACCACGGTAAACATGACCAAGCCAGTGTTTGTGCTTGATTGTTAGTTGCTATGGTTACACCAAGCTTCCGTCTGCTCACGTCTGTGTTGATAGGCTGCGGTCCCTAGCAACCAGTCAGGAGCAGAGTGAGCTGTGTATTGAGTTATAATTGGCAAGCTTTTTTTTTTTTGTCACTGTAATTCTAGGTCAACAATTCCAAGGTGTGTGCCTCAAATGCAAGTACTAAGTCTGTACGGCTGCATTTGGGATCTTAATCTATATCTTTTTCAGTTAAGATTACTACATTAAGTGCAATCCTCAGTTGCACGGAGTCCAACTGCCTTCTTTCTGTGACATTAGATCGCCATCCAAAGTACAAAGGGCATTTTGGTTTTATCTCAGAGGAAGCAATTCGTTCACACCATCCAAATGTGCATGAAGTGTACATTTTCCTGACACTGTAAAAAAGTGTCGAATCCTAAACTCAGAGGAGTGGAATGCAATCTGATCATTATCACCCGTCCTCAGTCATGTCAGAGACACAAAATGAGTATATCTGCAATTTATGTCAAGCTCTCTGGACCCCCCCATGTAAATGGAGGATTTGTGGTTTGTTACTATAGATGAGACTACATGTATTTCAATGAATTTAAAGTAAAATCAAATATGACAAATTTACTGGATATTACAGAATAAATGAATCTATAAGTAATGGCCAAGCTTTTTTGTAGCAATGCATTTCATTTTCAAGCCTTCTTTTTCAAGCCTTCCTGCTGGATAAGTTCGCCAAATTAAATAGCTGCTAAATCTCATTTTCTTAATTTAACTAGATTTGGAAATCATGATGCTTTTGAATGTAAACAGTCATTGGTTTGATAAATGTAAACAGTATTTTGAAGTTCTCAAGAAAGTGTTGTAATTTGCTGAGGCCTGGAAGTTTTTCCAGCCTCTGAACAAGCACTTTTTATCAAAATAAAATTTTCTTGGGCCAATTTATTGGCAATGTTCCTACTGCTACTGTGCCTACGACAATGTTTACACCACTGAAGCATTCTCCAAAGCACATCTAGACACTTCCATATCATTTTTATATAACAGAGCTCCCCAACGACAATCGGTGCGATCACACCCCTCAACCACAGTAAGGTCACACTGTCAACACTAATTAATCAACGGATTTGAGACGATGCATTCTGTCTCTCAAGAAACTTTCCTGAATGCTCTATCTTGTAAAGAGCCCACCACAACAGATTTCTCCTGCATAAAGTTCAATAAATTCTGTCATACCAAACCAAATCAAATGAAAATTAAAAAAACAAACAAGGAATACACCTTACATCAAATGTAAACCAACCTGATGGATACTTGACACAATTCTCTGTGAAATTGCGACCTGTGGGGGTACACTTGATTCTCACTTGTAGTAGAAATAAACATTGCCATGGTGCCAAACAACAAGTCCTCTCAACTGTACCACTGTGAAGCATATCTCCCCAACCCACTACATTAAGGCTTTGGATGGCATTCATAATAACGATGAGGGAAGGGGTCAAATAATGTGCAGTGAAGCATACAGTTGAATGATGCGATTATACCATAGAACAAAAAGCCAGGGTGTGGTAGAAACAGCCTTGAACCGTCCCAGCAAAGGCCTAACTGGCAAATTTTAGACTTCAATTTCAATACCAGACCATAAAAGGTTTAGAACAAAAAAACATCTTGTTACAAATATTGGCAATCCTTACTTTTTAGGACACTTTCCCCCCATTATTAAAATCAGAAACAAAGACTGCTCAGGCTGCAATTAAGCCGTACTTTAGTACAAGCTGTAACAAGTTTTAAAAGTTGAGTGTAACAAGCATGTAAAGCTTCCCCCAAAAGTAAGGATCGCCAAGAGAAAGTCATTTTGTAAAATTCATACGAGTTCCGTGATCAAACTCCTAGGTTATTAGAACTACTTATGTTTTTCTTTATGGGTAAAAATAAGGCATAAGCCTCTCTGGAGGCAATGCGTTTGGGCAGAGAGTTGGAGGGTAAGGATTCTGTACACAAGGACATGCTCAAATAACTTTTTATGTTAAAATAACAAAAATGGCACCAGCAGTGCATAATCTCTATACATAATGTTATTGATGTCAAGTTCGTGAAGGAGTCCAAATATGTTTGAAGGCAAAGATTTGGCATTACAACAAAACTATTCTATATGTTGATGACCTGTCGGCTAAAAAATCGATTCCATAACTTAATGATTTGCAAAACCCCTACACGCCTCTCATTACTCATAATGATAATGTTGACTGAGGCAGAATCAGTACAAATATAGCCGCAGTGGGGTCGGGGGACGTCAGCCCCGCTCCCTCCGCCCACTAACAAGGAGTGGGGCTGACGTCGAGCCCCACAGTTCAGGGCCAGGGGTATAGTCCTAGTCAGTACGTGCATGCAACTAGTAACGTTACACTGAAACGCGCTTTTTGCGGGTGGTCAAAGAAAAAAGATGCTGAAAGTAGATATGAAGAAAAAACATTCCTAAAATGTGAAAAGATCGCTATAAAACTCACCCGCTATATGATCCTGTGTTTGGTGTAAGCCAGGTAAGCTTCCCTTCGGGTACTGATGAACGAGAGCTCCGACAGCAAGTGCCAAAGGCGTGTCAGGTGTAGGCCTTTATTTACGTTTTTTTTTGTCGAGAGAGGGCGCACCCACTGAAAAGAAATCTGAGCTGAATGCAAGAAGCTGACCGCGAGACGGTAGATCAAGATGAATATTCTTCCAAAGAAAAGGTTTGTTTTTATGTAATTTGACGGATTTTAACATTTTTATTAAGTTGGACTTCCCCGGATTACCCCCATTATCAGACATGGATCATGTATCGTTTTTTTTTTTGCTGTAGGCCTAACGTTCGAATCTAATGTCCGCCGAGTAACTAAAAGTACTTTAGGTAGGTGCTGCCCATTTTTCGGACAATACAAAAATGTTGCAACTAAAACTTGGCTACTGTACTGAACTAGGCTTATTCTTCACTTTAATTGGAAGAATTGCAGAATACCCGCCACTCCAAAAAACGACCCCTGGAATCTGTAATTATATGATTTATACTATAGTTGTAGCCTACTGGTGCGATAGATCATGAGTTAGGCCTGTCCCAAGTACTAAGTAGCGCTATAGCCTAGGTCATGTAAGTCTGGTTTTCAGGTTACTGCTTTGTAATATGGGAGGGCCTGTAAATCAATAATGTTATTGCCTTTTAGTCATGCAACTTTGTGTAGTTTTGTGTGGATGATTCTTACCCCCAGAACTGTGGGGTCTGATGTCTGTCCCCTCAGTTCCCAAGAACCCAAAGAAAACAAGCCTTTTCGCCATAGGCTCTGCATGACGTTTAACAAGGGTTTTGTGGTTGTTGTGTACCCATGGAAATGTTGCTCCACCCCCCCCCCCGAGTTAGCTTACATACCTTATTTTGTACCAAGAAAAAATGGGCCATGCTGATTTTGAAAAAAAGGTGCAAATATTTCCCGATGGACGTCCGAGAGTCATGCGGTTCACACGTGTACATGTGACCAAATGGTTGACTACGACTGCGATTGATACACAAGATACAGAAATTGGCTGCTGCCACTTTCCGTGTATGGCTGTGGTGCGCTGGGGGTCACACTGACCAATCATAGGGCTCCGCATTATTTATGCCCAAATGGTAAGAATGACAAGCAAAAGCCGTTAAACAAAATTCAAATGTGTGGGGGACACTGGAGCGCGTGGCCCAAAAAGAATGTCTGGATACTCACCAAACTACTTTTCTTGCTACTCCTTACCTTTTTTTAACAGTTGGCATGTAAGAAGCCTGAGAAATATTGAACGAGTAAAGCGGGATGAGGCACGGGCAGCAGACGAGAATAAACAACGTCAGGAACGGGCCGCCCTGGCAGTAAGTCAGTCCTCCACTCAGAGCCCCTGAAGATTTCTCAGGGGTCGACTTGCACGGTGGCAGTAACGTCTTGATATATGTACATGTACATATTACAAATGGATCGTGTATACTTGCCAGAAAAGTTTGGGTTTGCAGCATCTGTTTATCTCTCTCCCTTCAGGAGCAGGAGGCCAGGACAGCATTACTGCGGCGAAAAGCTCGTCAGTTAACCTCCTCAGATGACTCACCACCCTCTGGATCTGTCCAAGATGATCGTCTCGCTTTAAGGGCCTCACTAGACCAGGGCATCCAGTCACTGCATGTCGATCTTTTCAGTGATCTTGGTTCTGAGAAGGTGAGTTGAGTAGGTCTGCACGAACCTAACATCCAATCCATTTATTTCTTGGGGGGGGGACTAACTGAGATCTTCCTGTTTCTAATGTTTCTATTTTGATTGAACATTAATCTTAGAAAGACCTTTCAGAAAACTCACTTAACTGAATGTTACAAATAGTTTTTTAATGGATTTGTACCAAATTTTAGGAACTGAGGGGTTCGAATCCCTCAGCCTATGTGTATTTAGCCCATGTGTTAACTCTCTACAGAATTTGAAAAATGGACTTTTTACCCTTGCAGCCCAAAGGAGAAAAGAACAAAGAACACGAGAAAGAGGAGAAAGCCGCCAAAGAGCAGTACGAGAAGAAAATTGGTCTGCTGGCCTACCTGGGTCAAAGTTCCGCTGAGGCGCAGACAGCCAAGCCCTGGTACTTCAAGCCTCCTGACCGAGTTGCTAAAACCGCGGCATCTGAAGAACAGAGGTAAAGGCTTAATGTCCTCTTGGCTGTAATATTCCTTCAAGTACTGCTGTTGACCTTCATTGTGCCGAAGACAAAGACATAAGTCTCTTATTTCTCATGGGGTGTGGTACCAGACCGGGCCAGGGCTGCCCACATGATATGAGGCACTGCGCACAAAGTAAGGCGCTATACTTCACAAATTACCGTGAGGTACTGCAAGCTGGAAGCCCGTTTCGGACACAGCCTGAATATCAATACATTGTCTACCCTGGAGAAGGAAAAAAATTAATAAAAAAAAGTCGCATTGCCGCATCGATTTCAGAAACTCTGTCTGACCAGAGACAAACTAGTATTTTGCCTTATTTTCCTGGGCACCGATATACCCTGCCTACATGTATGTAATGGCACAGAACTCCCTCATTGTCACTTTCCAAGTTACATGGTCCTTCTTTGGTCTACTTGTATCTCTAGCTGCATGGATGTGAAGAGGAAGGCGAGCCTAGATCCCATGGTGGAAATGGAGAAATACCTCAAGGTGAAGAGGCCAAAAGGAGAGACTAGCGTGCCACCGATAAAGTCCACTATGAAAGATGTACATGTCGTCACCAGCAGAATCCAAGCAGGTTTCCAAGTTGGCGTGGATTCAGATGTCAAATCGCAGTCAAAAGAGCTGAACATTAGCAAAGCCAGTTCGGACGATAGAAGGTCAAAACACCGCAGCCACAAGAGTAAACACAAACATAAACACAGACGAGACAAGGACAAATCTGGAAAATCCAAAGAAAGACGAGACAAACATCAAAGCAGAGGGGACTCCAAAACGAAAGACGTACGCAAAGATCCGAGCCGCGGGGGAAGGGAGGCGACGCAGGGGCCCAGCGTACAGCAGCTACGGGAGGAGCGACTGAGACGCGAGGCAGCTGAGAGAGCCAGGACGAACAGGCTACTGTCTGGGGAGAAACCTGAGGGTGGAGCCCAGAGGGATTTGGTGGAAGAGGTGGACAGACCGGGACGGTACAATTCACAGTTTCACCCTGAGCTGGCCCGTAGCCGACACAGGCAGGCCCACTACGGTGGCACGTGACGGTAAGCCGTTTTTCAGGACCAAATGAATTCTGGTACCAATCTGTCGTACTGTTTAGCAATAAAGCTTAGTAAATTGACTTATTTCAATAGCAAAACTTTTTGAGAACAATGGCAAGTAATAAGCATGTATATTGAAGTCGATCGTTGTGTGATTGGTCGATCGTATTGCATGATTTGACAATAATTCCTCCATCAACCAGTTACGATATCTTTATGATTCGTGTTTGTGGAGGATTATATCATGATGGGGAAGCCAAGTTGGAGATGTCAAACAGAACTGACCAATCTTACATAGCGATAGGGCAATTGTGCAAATCGGTCGATCACGCTCGACATATAAACACTCACTGCTGGCTTGTAAACAGTTTTCCTAAGGAAAACACAAATGATATTAGCACTAACTGTACATATGTGTTTCAAGATGTCAGTAAGGACTCTCTGAACAAAGCGCCGGATCCACTGTGTCATCTCAAGTTTCTGGTCCATTTATTTCCCAATCCCCTTTGCAACACGTTTTCAGTATAAATGCCCATTTCTAATAGGGCTCTAGCTTTAAAACAGGAACTAAGTGAACCATCGAGGATCGAATCGCACCATTTTTCATGATGCACATGTAGATGTGTACCCATGCCACAGACAGATCTGTCAATGTTATAAAACGTCGTGGCAGTGCAAGGTCATAGTAACTCGCATTTGTTTGGTACACGAGATACAACCCTGTTGCACTGACTCGACAAAAAGATGATTAAAAGTTTGGTTTTATTTCAGATAACTGATTCATTGCATATCAAAAAAAATATCGCAGAATGTATAAAGTGCTAAATAACAATACTCTTGATGTACGGAAAGACATCTGGAAAAGTAGAAAACAGAGTCCAATATACGATTGACAAGAACAAGAAAAGCAGACAGAATGAGATGAAACAGATCACGAAGGAAAAGGTTTAGAGCCTGTGTAACCGATGCAAGTTATTAAAATAAAAACTACTTGCTAAATGAAAACTGACTGCTAGAGAGAATGGCATACTGTTTTTATTTGGCCCGTTTTTCAGCTGCTTAGCACAAAAATCCGTGGAGTACAGTAGTATTTGCTGCTTACCAGCGCCTCTATGAAATTGAGACCTGCTGGAGTTGGAGTTCGGCAACTTTGGCACAGACTTTCTTCACGAGTTGCCCATATTGAATTGAAAGCGCCGTTAGCATTTGATTTGGGGAACCTGAGAGTAAAACTAAACACAATAATGTAAAATATCAATGAAACTAATTGCTGATTGACGTTGACGAAAACGTAAGGTGGATTGTAAGGCTTGGAACCCCAAATAGTCCAGCACCACCGCCATTTAACAGACTACTCTGAATAAGACTGATTCAAATATACATGTATTTGAATAGGTAAGGGTTAAGCCATGAGGCAGACAGCGAGAGTAGCGCATTGTAAGACTATCTGTCGCAAGCAGAAGCCCCCCTCATTGGTTGGAAAGAGCCATGTTGGTCTGGAGTGCTCATTTTGTTGGTAGCGATGAACATACAGGCATTTCATACTCCACGACCCATCCAAGTACAGTTCCTACCGAAGGAGCCTGCGTTGCTAGGGAAATTGCGCCCTCTCCTGGTCTATCTTGGAGCTCATTCTAGTGATTGTGTGTTGGCTCTTGTAGTCAAGTAGACACAGGAGCATTTTTTGTCTTCGTCAGTCTCCCATGAGCTCCCGTCGTCGGATCTCCTGTATGTCCCTCCATGAGGGCGCCTTGGCAGCCACGTTGCTCTGGAACAGCGTCAGCTCCTCCAGGTGGACGAACGGGACCTTATCGCAGATGTCTCGCCATCGAGTCGCCTGGCACTTCTTGTAGGAGGCGATGATGACGTGAAGGGCGGGCCTGCCCGGCTTGTACCTTGATTGGTAGTGCAGTGGTGGCATTGTGTCAGATAAACAAATGTTGATCTTTGAAAATGAAAACGTTGACCTTTATAGAATTCTTGGATTGGGGCAAAGTGCAGGTTGTATGTATCTTGTCTTTGCTTTGGGGTTATTGATCTTGCGTATGTATTTTTCTTAAACGAGGAGGAAGACTTGAAACTTTTGAATTTGTTTGTAATGCTTGCATGTAGTTTGGAATTCTTGTACATGTACACGGAAAGGGTGGGACATTTACAGGTTAAAACCTTTAAACCAAAAAACTTCTAAATCCGTGTACCTATTGTCCCAAACGTTTTAGAGGTTTGACATTTTCGTTGATGCAATCTCAAATACATTTTTATTTTAAACAATGCCTGTAAAATGTTATCCGATTTTCGGAAACTTTACTACTGCGTCATATCAAAGGAATACCAACTATTAACATCGTAGGCAATTTGTTGCTTGTTATAAATGCCCCAACATCAATCTACATTTCTTCATTGGTTGGACCACGTACATTATTGAACTATATAATTATGCAAATTGAAAACACCGAGGTCAAACGGTTAAGCGGTGTGGGAAAGTTTTTAAAACGTTTTTCAAGTTAACCATAAATTTCCACCCTTAGTGGGTGGTCTGATCTGGTGTAGTTTGGTTTAAACTAGATCGATTTACCCCAGGAATTTCATTTGAGATTGGCCTGATATTTTTTTTTATACTTTGGCTGTGGACTTCCAGTGTAACGCTCTCTGCTTTTCTAAAGTATACAATGTTGAGGACGATACTTACTTGTCCAGTAAGGTTTGCTGCCACTTGGCACAGGTTTCAAAGTAAGAGTTGCAAATCACTTGCAGAACCATCAGATCCTGGCACTTGTCCATTACATCGTCCAGGTCTTTGACGTGTAGAGATTTAAGTCTATCCAGATCACAAAAATGAAAAACGAAAAAAAAAGGGACAAATCCTTGAGACTAGATCTCAGTGTTTGAGCCTTGAAGATGCTACTCTTGAGGTTCGGAAGTTTTTAGGAATAATGACAAGTGAAGGAGGGCATCAGTATTTGATTTGCTAAACATTCCATCGGACAAAATGTTTCACTAGAAGCAAATACTCAGAAACTCAGAGTACCTACTCGGAAAGGCTTTGGGACAACAGACAACAGTGACTTTGTGTTGAGATACTTAATGTGAATAGTATTGCAGTTTGGAACATGGCAGAAATACGCAAGGAAGGTTTTAGGGACTTACTCCCTTGGAATGTATACCACCTGGGCGCCAATTTCAAAGCTCCACTTATAAAAAAGTACTTACCGCTTAAGCGTGAAAAAACTTGCTTAAAAAAACAAAGGCTACCAGCTCAAACTCTGTCTGATTGTCATGGCAACCAAAAGACAGCTAAATACGATCCCTAAACAATATGCATCACATGGAGTTTTGGCTGGTTACCTGATTTAACAGGCAAGGATTTCGCGCTTAAGCAAATTTTGTGCTGAAGCAGCTCTATGAAATTGGCCCCATGGCTGCATGAGAGAAAAACAGAAGAGGAATGGGCTAGGTGGAGCGAGCCTGATACTTGAATCTGACGGCTCATGGAGACAGTGCTGCAAGAGGTGGACATGCATACAGGCTTCTTACCCTCCGCACTGTGTGATGACGCACAGCCTGCTCAGTCGTTTACAGCTTTGTAAACTCTGCAGCAGTGACGCCATGCCAGTGAGCTTGGGCTGCTCTAATCTGGAATGACAGTTGGGACAAAAAATTCGGTTGGAATCTGGTTATCGGTGACACAAAGTCATCAGTGCAGAGTTTTTGTCCATCATACGTGCAGGTTTCCTTGGATGCAAAGTGCAGTGGTCCCTGATTTATTTGCATAGGCCTACTTTATGTAATGAAACTATGGATTTTTTTTAAAGTGCTGGTGACGATTTACATTACTTCTCAGGTTATAAAAATCTGTTGAGAGATAATTGGGAGATTTTTAGTCATGGAGGTTGAGAGAAAACTGATTGAAAGCTCCTCTCTTGGGGGAGGGGAACTGACTTAAATAGGTGCTGGACAGTCTCATCAGAACATCTGCCTAGATTTGGTTCTAACCTGATTCAGTCAGTCCCAAAATTTGACCGTGTTTTGTGAGAGTGACCCACTGCTTCTTTTGAGTTAAATTGTCGAGTTGAACTGACCTGAAATCCTGCATTCTTTTGGCGTATTTCAGCGCCTGGCACAGACCCTCCATGAACAAGCACTGGTCGTATGGGTGGGGCCCAAGATGAGCCAACGACAGCCGGCGGAGCTCCGGACAACCCTGGGTAACGGCAACCAGGCTCCGCCCGTGGAATACGCTGGGTAGCCCCGCCAGAACTAGCGAGGTCAGATGCCTCCATCTTGAGATGCAAAGGAGTGTACTCTCGGGATCCATGATGTCTCCACTTGGTTTGAAAGGCAAGAATATTGTAAGATCGTTTGGTTCCTGTGATTCCTCAATTCACTGAGCACTACATGGTCACAAAGGAATGCCATGATCATTACTTCGAAAATTTTGGTTTAAGAATTGGAACACTCGCAATAAACCTTACAGCTGTAACAAATACCCAAGTACATGATATCCTTCGGAAAATAAAAGGTACTGAACTTTTATTTCAGTTTTTATCTAAAAGAGATACACCAATTCAACATTAACTATTGACGAAAGCATCCATTACTCAGTTGCTAATAACATGCGATATAAAAGATGTCTCCTGTCTGAAAAATGCCTCCAAAATAGCAGCATAATATGGCAGCAAAGCGAGAGAAGGTAGTAGTAAAATTCTCTTTGATTTTGCTTGAGGTTTTTAATGGTACATGTACATGGACTTACAATTTTGTCCGTACTCTGCAATATTGGACATTTTTTTTGAAAAAAAAATAACACTACTGCATTAATACCCCATCATCTCAGAAGGTGATCGCCAAAATGTATGCATGGGTAAAGTCTCTTGTTTTGAAAGTCAAGATGAGAAGTCCTCATTTTTTTTGTGATGCACTGACCATCGTATGACGTCTTCATCCTTGGAGGCTGATCTGGGGCTCAGGAAAGATACAAATCCCGTCTTGATCAGCTCAAATGATTGCATCTTGAGGCAACCCCTGACGAGCTCAGAGAGGTCACTGGTGCAGTACGCACAGCCTTCTTGCTTTGCCAACTGAGAATTGCAAAAATTTTAGCTGGTCAAGTGGTTTAGGATCTGTTGCCTCCAATCATAGGGGTTGGAGGTTCGAATCCAGCTGCTGGCAGTATGTTGTGGCCCTTGGCAAGCCACTTCACCCCTGCCTGCCTCCCTCCACCCAGGAGTATAAATGGGTACCAGCGTTAGCTGGGGAAGCAACCTGCGAGGGACTGGCATCCCATCCAGGGGGGAATAGAAATATTCTCAGTCATTTCATGGCTAGGAAACCGGAGATAAACACCGGCCTGATGAGCCAAATTGGCTCCGACCAGACTTGCTCAAACTATAAAATTATAAGAACTGGTTCTGTAGAATGGCGTGGTACGAATGGTGCCGCCAAAAACTAGCCCTCTCTTGTTATCCTGGAAAAGGTCCAGGGATACCCAATATTCAGTTTTTGTTTCTTATTGTCAGAACTTTGATAGTGTGATGGTAAGATGAGTGTGGTTGATCACAAAACTGTAATATCTTAGTCAGAAAAATGTAGTTGAAAGCACCTGTACATGTCAGTTGATCCATCAAACTGATTCATTCACTTTAACTTGTTGCCAGTAATGGTTTAAAGTTTACCTACATCTTTTGTGATACTGGTTCCTGGGCTTCTCCATTCGTTCTTCAAACAGTGGTCGCACCTGGTTTAAAGAAGCCAGACTATACAGTGATCAAAAGTGTTACACTCTCTTTTAAACCTCTTTTTGTCTGCATTTATGAATAAACATGAGATGAGAAGTGAGTTGTTACTTTCAAAAGTATGCTTCTGAGAGACATTTCTCAAATTCTGGCTTTGTTTGTAGTGATGGCTCCTGCTTTAATGGTGTGTCTGAAATGGGCTTTGAAGAGCCACAGTTGTGATACATCTCTTGGCAGCATAAGCCCAAATATTTGCGACAGGGGAAAAACCTTCGGCTGAATGACCAATCTTTAATTTTTCCAATTTTTGTTAACTTGTTAAGTTTATTGATTGCCTGTTCAGTTCAAGTGGGAAATTAACTTACTTGATATCAACAGAACCGCAGCTTCTGCTCCTACTTCGGATTTGACTGAAGGTCAAACCATCAACAGGTACTGAGCCTCTCCTCTCCGGCAGTCCACAGACTGGCAGTGAGATGGAAACCAGACCTGTGTGGGTGTGGGGGGATCATAAGTCTTGTCACCAGTGTTTGGGAAGGGGATGGTATCGTTTTCTTGTACAGAACACCAGTACCCTGCTCTGTGCTGCAGTTTGGACCTTTTAAGGTCACTGACCAAAAGATGGACTTATGATGGGGTGCGTTCGTGCGGTTACTCCTGTTAACACAGTGAGGATGCTTGTGCGTCACTCCCGGGTCCGGAGTATACTCCTGCATGACGGGGAGTATACTCTCGCCGATCCAGGGGGCGTACTCCTGCCGTTCGTACGCTTCGGGAGAGTAGTTGTGTTAACACGAGTAGCTTGCTCGAACGCACCCTAGATTTTATATAACGTAGATAAGGTTGATGTGCTAATATTTGCTGCCTGCTGGATATGGTCTCAGATGCAGCAGTCTTGGAGTCTGCTGGAAAAATGCTCAGATGGAAACAATTGCTAACAAAAATTAAGTTGTCAAACAAAATGCCTTTGAAGTGAGTTCATTGGTTCAAATCTTTTTCCCGATACAATAAAAAGTATTCAAAGCATTGTTTAGCCGATAATTGCGCCCCGGTCGTTTAACAAATGTCTTGGCACTGGAAATGGAAAGCTTCATTGATCGAACCCTGAAAGATGCCACAATACAGAAAAGGCCGATGTTGCCTCCAGTAAGTGCGACAACCCACATGCGCGAGCATCCTGAATTGTTCTGGCATTGGAAATCGATCTTACCGGGAAATTTTGCCAACACTTCACACAGCTCGTTGTCTGGGAGATGAAGATGAAGGCCACTTATATTGAGATGTTTCAGGGGCGTCTTGGCCTCGGCAAAGATACGGAAGGCCGACAGGTCCGTCCACTCTTCCCTCTTGTAAACCTGGAAAAAGTTAGACCTAAGACTTATCGGCGATACCGGACAGTGATTCTTTTTAAAACATCGGTAAGAACATTATATTTCAGCAGGCATGCCTACCCTTTTCAAGGCATCCCTGCAGAAGCTGATGTTTAGACTTTCTAAGAAGGGGCAGTTTGCGGCCACCGCACGCAATCCTGTGAAATGCACATTCCCAGCAATATTCAAATATCTGAGACTGTGATACAATGGGAGTTTGAGGTCGGGCACACGAACCATTTGCAGTGAGAACATCTTTGGTGAAGAAGCAGTTGCCGTGGTATCCAGCTTATTATCCTCGTGGGAATTTACTTGGCTGAAACGGCCGTCGGCGAACAGCACAGAACACTGATTGGCTGTCAACTTCAGCGAGTCAAAATCTAAGCTCCTCCGGTGCGAGTCGCGCGCTCGCTGTCCAATCATCACGTGTTTGAGATTGTCAAATGGTAGGACGTCATCGAGACGTACACTACACGAACATTCCATGTCGACATTCTCCGTGTCTCTGGAGTCCACGCTGAAAGCCTCCAACTTTCTGTAATGGCTCCCGTACTCCAGGAGGGACCGCTCGCCGTTCTTGCCCACGCATTTCCCGGGGACGCACACCACGTTCAGCTCCCTCAACCTACGGAGGTTCCGCACGGCTGGCCGGCTGATGTCGCACAGCTTGACTCCGCTGCTCAGGTCACAGGACAAGCTCCGCAAGGATGTAGTGTGCGAGAGGATTTTGTGGAGGGTCTTGAAGGGGAGGTCCGTGTGGCGGACGTCTAAGTGCCTTAGCTTTGGTAGTCGGAAATCTAAGGATCCGAAGTCTTTGGAAGACAGCCAGTAGCAGTTGGAGATGTCTAAATATCGAATGTCATCCCTTCGTCTCGAGAGCAAGAGTTTAAGTGTGTCTCTAGTAAGGTGGTAGCACTTACTCAGAGTCAAAGTCCTGGAAACATAAATGAAAATCGTGAAAAAGGACCAAAAATTCGATTAGAACTACACAAAGTTTTATAGTCATGATCTAAATCTGATAGGCCCATATATAAAAGCAAATTTTCAAATGTGAACATGTAAAGGAGTGATTGCATATGAGCAAGTAAAGAATTTACGAAGGGACTCGTTCGTGCGTTTAAGGGCAAACTTTGGGCTGTATACGAAGGAATATAGACTTTCTTCATAGTCAGCGAACACAACTGGATGGAAGAACGATCTAATGCCTTTTACCTAAAAACCGAAGGGTCTGCAGCGATCCGGCCCAGCCTACAATGTGGCCCCAAATTGGCCAAGGTTAAGATGTCCCCAACCGGCAGCAAGTCCAGTATCTTGAAGATGATTTCGGCCGGTAGACTGTTCAGTGTCCAACCAGCAATGTCCGTGTCCTGTTCTGCCGCCATAACTGCATAGTCATCAAATGCATGCGGCTATCATTGTATCGGATTTTTTTGTTACATCACGCGTCTAGAACTTGAGCGAGAGAACGTCACCTGAAGTCCTGCGAGTATAACGAGAAAAACCGATTAAAGGTGCAGTCTTGCCGGTCCTTTATAATGTGCATAGAAGACCAACATTAACGGTCAGTGGGCGGAATTGGAATTATTTTTGCTCATGATTGACGTCTTGGAAGGGAATTAAATCCCGTGTATGCATTAATTAGGCCGGTGCATCCGAAACGGCAAAGCAAACACGAACGCGATTTTGTAACATCCGATCAAATAATTCGCGAATTAATCGAATACATTTTCGTGCCGTCATAATGGCTTTCGTTTCGCTCCTGTAAAGTTTGCTGTTGTCAAAACCGATCGGCCAACAAGTTGGTCAGATAATATGCCAACACAAGATAGTGACGGACACATCACATATTGTGCAAATCTACCGGTTTTATGAGGTGGCTACAGCAAACTAGACAAGTGTTGGTAATAAACAACCATGACCAGGCCATCGTCGAATGTTAATGTTATGACTGCACAAAATACTACGTTGTACAAGTCTTAAAAAGTCGTTGTGTTGCAAAGTGTAAAAGTCTTTCCCTTTAACGTGCCACATGCGCGCGTAAAATATAATTGTATGCGGAATATGTCCCAAAGTCCAACTTTGTAGGTCAAATTTCACGTTATCGTGCGGCTTCTTTTTTCTTTATCTTACATGCAGTGATGGACGTGTTATGAGAATTCAGATGGGAGTGTTTAAGTGTTTGTTGAAATTGAATATCATATGAAACAACAGTCCCCATTCTGCCCATTAGAAGATTGATTGGGCTGATTATATCGCTCATTATGCGATGTACCTTCGCAGTTTATCTGTGATGACGGTTAACATTTCCAGCATAAATGTATCCGTGAAAACGGATACAGCAAGTGCAGATACAACAGCGCATGAGTGGTAGGTCATCTTTGATGGGGGGGTTACGTCTGAACGACTTACACGCCTTTAGGTCGGTACACCAGGCAAGATATGGGACGGAGGGGTACCACCCTTAGCTGTCCAATCCCTATACACACTCTAGACTATTGTTACCTAACACCCCCCCCCCCGAAGTCTGTAAAAGAATTCCTGAGATTCCGATCAAACAATAACCAACACAAAGGCGGGGGGGGGTCTCTCCGTCCCATATCTTGCTTTAAATGTAGGTCGGAGCTCGGAGGAATAATTTACATAATATAGGCCTATATTAACACGTGTTCTCCATGAGAGTGCCTTTGATGGCTGGCATTGCACCATGTTGCCTTCCCACGCACGCGTACAACGCAACCGCTGTACTGATCTGATGAGGTTTTAACCGGTTTATTGGGACTTGTCATGAGGCAGGTCGCTAATGGGTACTGTAATCTTTAGCGGGACGTGCTTTAATTTTGCCTGCCTTCACGATGTTCCTTACGCCTCTCAGTGTTTCCTACCTTCTCGATTTTACTTGCTCACGCCTATCGGTTGGCGAAGGAACACGAGGCCTGGACCATCTGCCCCAGACTCTGTCTCGGTCAGTGGCAGCGTGTTCTGTCCCTCTTAAGACCAAAACAGCTTCTAGGTGGATCTTCATGGTTTCTCAGTATAGGCCATAGCTTTTATTACCCTCTATTGCCTTTTGATAATAGACTTCGAAAACTGCAATGGCACCTGGATTTTTCCCCTTAGTTTTGTATCTTCTTTTATTTGCTGTATGTATTAAGTCCAGCACAGCAGACCTGATCGCCATTTGACGTCGACGGTATTGAACACGATTGAAGCAAGTGTGAAGGGGCACGGTGTAATTGTTCACTTTTGATTTAAAAATTCTAAATGATTATATAAATATTCTAAATGATAAATAATTTGTAAGCACCTAGTCAGTTTTCCCATAAAGTTTCTTTCATAATATATGTTCAAAAAGCCATATCCTCTTTGAGTGATCCCTGTTCACCACTTCCCAGGTTGTATCGTGTTATTGGGGTGTGATCCCTGGCTACATGGTGTTTCAGGTTTAATTAATGGCTACTAGTTAGCGCCCCCCGAACAGAGATATTGACAAATGGGAAGAGCCACCAACGTAGGGCTGGATAGCTCAGTTGGTAGAGCACTGGTACGGTGTTCCAGAGGTCGCAGGTTCAAATCCCGCTCCAGCCAATTTCTTTGTTCATCTTTACAATCATTCATAAGCACCTAGTCAGTTTCCACATAAAGTTTCTTTCAGTTGTGTCAAGTTAATGAAGAAAAGTGTATTTAACCTAATTATTGCGTGACCAACGTGAGTTGTCTGAAAAATTCAGTCTGTAGTCGCAATTCAAGGCATTGCTTGTATTGTCACTGACTGTGTGGTGCATGAAATATCAAGTTGGGTCGGCTTGAAACGAAGCTATGTCTTTCCTCGTGTCTGAGTGTGATTCAGCTTTGGGAAGGCGACAAGGGGGAAACCAAGTCCTAACAGCTGTTCTCGGATATAGCAGACCGGAAGAAGGAATGTACTAGTCACGACGCTGGCCTCTGTAAAGTTTAACCACGTATTTTCACCCAGTACTGCCGGTGTATCAATTTAGTTAATACACGGGATTGTATGGGGCAGAGCATGACAGGGGTAGCTGTAATTCGGTCCTGTCTCCTGCGATACGGCTTCGAATTTTGATCAAAAGAGGCAGCGGTGGATAGCCGTAGCCAGTGTTCGATACTTGTGCATACCGTCGTCTCACATGGAATTTTCACTGCTCGAAAAAGGCTACTTGATTACATAAGATCATTGACTCACAAAATAATTCATCAAACGTCTCGTTTCCATCACAAAAGCTCACTGGCGTTCCAGTGTGCGACCCTGAACAATAAGCAAAACTAAGTTAAGGAAGGAAACAAACATTTTATCCAAAACGCTGCCTCGACGCGAGGCAAGTGGGAATGCGAATAGGATTTAACGTACACGTAAAAACCCAACCCCCTAGTCAACCCAATCCGACTCGACCCCACCCAACTCAACCTGACCCAACCCAATCCAAACCGGCCCAACTCCATGCATCTGACCCAACTCAACCGGACCCAAGCCAACTACAGCTCCGTGCACATTCCCAGATCAGCTATCCATTGTCAAATCCGCCTCAAGTTGAAGTGTGCAATCGCCAACATAGAAGAAACCAGTTTGATGGGAAGTTATTGGCCGTGTCCGAATGACTTGGATGCGGCTAGAAATTGCGCACGAGTCTCACAACCCTTTCCCTGCATAGCGTACGTGCTCAGCACACGGGCGTATATAAAAAACCTGGACTTGCAACGCTTTTGCATGAAAAAAGAAGTCAACCATCAGCCATTTTACCGAGCCGAATACAAAAGCGTGGGTTGGCTCCCTACTATTGACGTCAGGAAGAACAAAGGCGGGCATTGCCAGGAAAAGCTTTGTATTCGGCTCGGTAAAATGGCCGCGAGTGGATTCAATTATCTCTATAAGCTGATTAAGGGCATTGTGAGTCCAGATTTTATTATGCACCTCCGTGGCTCAGCACTTCACGGACTCCACGGCCTCGCTCAGTTGTGTACGATTGCGTGCATATCACTTGTAATAAAAGGCCAGTTTGAGTTACACGGATCTTGATCAGTGATCTTGGTCAGCGCAATCTTGAATCTTGCACAAATGTATTGTATTCGCTCCACCCAGACTTGATTTGCATTTGAATGAAACCTATTCATAGGATAAACAACTCAGGAGTGGAATACAATAAATTTGCGCAGGTCAAAATTACTGAAAAATCTTGTAAGTGTTGGTTTGTTCCTTCCATTGGGCGCGTTCTCGTGTCTGAACCAATTACGGATCACTGATCGAGATCCAGATCGGTGTGTAATGTTTGTTCCATACGGATCTGGGCTCAATCACTGATCCCGCCGCTGGTTCGCTCTATCCATTAGGCGGATTCTGGTTTAAGTGGACCACTGACTGATCGTAATCTGGATCCACGTTTAAACAAGACAAGCCCAAAAAGATTATACATGTATACGGTATGCCAATACGTGGCATACATATTGCGCTGTTGAACGTGCCGCATTGGTCACTGAAGCCACCGATGGCCATCTTACCGTGCCGAACATAAAGGTAATACACATAAGAGGCTTGCTCGATATTGTTAACCAAATCGTTCGTCGCAACAAAAGTTGCAAAGGGGGCCCGCCAACGTTCAGGTTTGTGTTCGGCCTGGTAAAATAGCCTTTGCTGGCTTCAGTCGATGCAAGAGCATTGCAAATCTGCACTTGAATCTGCACAGGCGCAAGGTCACTCCCTTCTCGTTCCCAGTCAGAGCGGGTAAGGTAGCTAGATGCACATGGTCTGAGCTCCAGACTATTTCACGTGTAAAGCAGCAAACGTTGGTTGCGAAATCCACGGGCGCAGCTGGATATCAAAGGCTACAAAGAAGAGCGAATTTGCCACTGGTTTACATCGTGCTAAATTCAGGAAACATGGCTGACGTGGATGGTAAGGAGGTCGCCTCGAACCCAACTCCAAATGCAGAGAACTTGGGTGCAGCCGCGGAGGCTGCTCCACCGAAGACCGAGGAGGTATCCGAGGGGGGCTCGGAGGTCCGCCTGGCCCCGCAGATCGGCCTGTTCACTTGCATCACGGTCATCGTCGGCAACATCGCGGGCTCGGGGATCTTCCTGACGCCCGGCGGCGTGGTGCAGCACACGGGCTCCTTCGGCCTGTCCATGGTGGTCTGGATCGTGTCGGGGCTCTTCTCCCTGATAGGGGCGCTGTGCTTCGCCGAGCTGGGCACCACCATCCCAGAGTCCGGGGCTGAGTACTCGTATATCCTTGCCGCCTTCGGGCCGTTGCCGGCCTTCCTGGTGCTGTGGGTTTCGCTGATCATCATCGTGCCTACCGGTAACATGCTCGTTGCCTTTACGTTCGGTAATTACATCGTCCAGCCGTTCTTTCCCGACCCCGATTGCCCGCCACCCTACGTCTTTGTCCAGATTATGGCTTGCCTCTGTATTGGTGAGTTATTCTTCATTAATAAAATGAAAATCTTAAATTTGAAGGTTATGCCAAGCATTTATATATTTGTTAGGACACCTGGGTGGTTATTTTCGAAGAATTGGCTGTTCCGGAGTGATTCTGGTAGGGTATTCAAGCGATATCTTTTCTAAAGACCCGCGTTTGGTTCCAAACAAGAATTTCAGTCCGCCTTTTTGGGGGGGGAAGGGTTGCTTTTGGTTTTTGTTCGCTTCCCGTTTTGACCTCATACCGTGTTTACATTGAAAACGAACCTTTCTTTCTCCTCATTGCCGCAAAATTCATGAATCACAGTGGATTCCAGAATTAAATGTGGCTGGGCTAAATCCTTCAGTAGAGACCCTTAAGGCAGAGTTGGAGAGTAAAGGCTTTGTATCACTGGGATAGACACAAGTAGATCCTTTACGCCGTCGATGCAACTAAATGGAGTAAAACCGCAAAAAGCCTCCTGGGCGCCAGAAGTGCGCAACCTCTATTTTAACGCAATGTTGCAGGCACAATGCCCTAGGGAGAGTATAGTACGTTCTATTCTCCCCACCCAGGACACCAGTCATGCCTTGTTATAACTGACACGAACTACCTGCGTGTTCTTGTCTTTGTGTCCCAACACCGACCCTCCGGGATTGCTGTTTTCATCCCATCCTTAACAGGGGAAGGACACTAAACTTTTCCCGAGTGTTCCCCATCCATGTATTATCATACATGTATACTAATCTAGTCATGGAATCAGTCTCCAAACCACAGTCCGTTATTTGAGGCCTCACAAATTCTCAAAAATCGTGTCGTTGTCCCACGTTTTCCTCTGTTCTGATCGCAGCTGATTCTTTCGTGCGCGAGTGGACTTTGAAATAACTCCATTTTGCCATTGTTTTTAGCCTTGACTTTATCGGTGCGTCATTTTGTCCACATCTGGCCACCGCCGAGTACAAAGTCTTTCCTCTGGGGGTCACACTCCATATGTTCAAGCCTCGACGAATCGCGAACTTGTACGCATGCAAACGAACGCAGGTCACGTCCCCTGGTGTACCTGATTTCTCCCTTGACTATCTAGGTGTTTTTTCAGTGCCCTCAAGTGTATTATGACACAGTGGTTACAGGAGCAGCCGTACGGCATTTTTCCATCAGGATTCTTTCAAATCATAATTTTTTCATCCCAGTTCTTATCGCTGTGGATTTTCTAGGAAAAAAAAACAGAAAACACTTTTGAACAAATGCTCAAGGAAACGAACAAACTTTCTTTTCGTGTTAAAAACTACATGTATTAAAGCCGTTAATCTGTGGCAAAATGCTTCCCGTTTTATATTTGGGTATGTACACTTCTCAAAAAAGCTAAGGACCACTTTTTACTTTGTCATTTGACCTTTTCCCCGAAAGTGTCCATTTGTGAGAAAATGTGCATTTGATGTTTTGAAACAGGCTTTAATTTTTTCATTCCAATGAGAAAACCATCTAGACAAACAAAAAATGAAAGAACTAAACCCCACTCATTGCTTGGAAAAAAATTACAAGCTATGAAAAAAGTGGTCCTTAACTTTCTTTGAGTAGTACATATCAAAGTGTATTTTCCAGGACTTGAAACTAGAAAAACGTGAATAAATTTGCACAGGGGAAAAACTCCTTTTCATGTTCAGACTGTAGCCGATTATCTGCTTTTCTTAACTTACAACGGCTTAAAATGTAGTCTTTAATGCCCGTAAACGACAAAGAATGGCTTAAACACGCAGGCTGGTTTGCACGATAACGAAGACGAATGCGATAGGTGTGAAGAAAAACCCTAACGTCAGTATAAACAAGATTGAAAAGTACACACAAATTTTAACGAATGTTATGAAAATGGAGGTTTTTTGAAACTGGCGTACAGTAATGCAAAAGCAAGAGTCTTGGTAGAGAAATTAAACTCTCTCCCTTCGGAGCGATGCATATTTAAATAGTTCGATTTCTTTACCACGATCTTTTTGTTGCTTCGTTTATTTACAAATGGCTTTAGTTAAGATCACCTCATGCGTTCTGCATCTCGTGTTTCTCTTACAAATTCCTGAGTTTTGGTCAATTTTAATCTGCCTACACTTAGGAAGTGATTAATGTCCTACAGAGACTTGAGTTTCCCGTTGTGAACCCGGGTCAATGTAGTCTTGATTTAAGAGTCACAGGTCTTGTGATAGGCTGTCACTGATCATCAGTGTTCTAGGTTTCTGCTTTTTTTCATGTGATTTGCTCAGGGTTCCAACTTGAACTGTACTTGAACGGTTCAAGGCCAAGACTATAAATTCAGAGTTACCTTACTTGTTCGTCGAAAATAGCCTGCCATTGCCAGATGGAAAAGTACTTATGCCTTGACTTACTTCTCTAATGTATTGTTGGCTTTATGTGATGTGATGTAGGCTAGCATTTATTTCGCCCTGAAAGTGACAAGGATTCAAAACGGAACTGAAAGATAGTAATGCCGACTGTAATGAAGAGAATTTTGCTCGCTGCACAAGCTTTTCTGTCTTTGAACAGTTTATCGAGAAATTCGAGGCCGAGTGTACAGTTGGGATAGGATTCAGATTCCAACTCTTGTGTTTAGACTTTAGTTGCTGGTTGCAAGTACATGTACATGTACGTGGGTTGTGCTGATCCATGACTAAATCGTAACACTAGAAGCTCGGGCCATTTGCTCGTCCCCGACGCTGGGGTCGCACGCGCGAGCTGAGTCGGAATCGGAAAACGGCCTGTACACATGTGCTACGGCGCCCTCATTGTCCTACTGTAGACCAGTTGTTGAACTTTCGCTGATGATGACTGTGCGTGTCAGTACGGCCTTGCCCATAACTCGCGGCAGACAGTGATTCAACCCACGCTTCTCTTAAATCACGCAAGAATACAACTCTCAAGGAAACGGAAGGCCAATTATTCACTCATTTACAATTGATGGGTGACTGATAATTCCATGAAAAGATGCTCATCTCTCGAAACTGTACATGGAGTTCCTTCTGTACCAACCACGCAGGAATTTTGAATTATGACCTCCCCTCTAAATTGCAAATTAAAGTGACGTTCTGGTCATTTCATCTAAATATCCCAGAAAAATAACCTCGCAATTTTGTCAAGAGCTTGGATTTTCTTTTTTCATAAAATTGAAAACCATAACAATGTAGCCAATGTGGTCTTGTTTAGGCTTTCGGTGGCAGGAAAAAAGCAAATACCCCGCCCCCTCCCCGAACCCCACCTCAAATGTCAAACAACCAGTTAGCCGACAACCCCGTCCAAAAAAATAAAACCTTTTGACTGAACTTGCGCAAACACCTATAGCAAAACTAGCACAAACACAAGCCTTCGCTGAGTCTAGACAGTTTTACCTTCGACTATACACAAACATTTAATGTGCACAATGTAAGCCCATTCCGGGCCTGCGCTTCCACATCCGACTCGGCATTAATTTCATTCAACCAACATCTTTTTTTTGTATCTCAAGCGCCACATATTTCTTTTTACTGGCTGGTTAGTCATTAACTGTAGGGAAACACGGAAATCCAGATAACGCGCTCCGGACTATGTTATCTGCATGTGGCGGAAGCATTAATGTTTGGTTCCTTTCCAAGAAAAAACGCGGGAAGAAATGGCTGCCTATAAAACCCCACTGGAATAGAGTAGTGCCTGGCAGTCACTTGGTCTCTCTCACACTTTGATAAAACTGCAAATTCTGGGGCTATCGAGGGCAACACTGATACCAACGAAGATTTCACAGTGCGGGAATGGTACAGGTCATGAATAATGTATAGTCAGTGCCCGGTGTTCATGTTGTGATGAATGAAAATATTGAGCGTCGCAGCTCAAACTGCTTGGTATTCACTTCATATATGCATAAACATGTACTCACGGTGAATGAAACCAGACTGGACAAGCTCAACGGTCGACTCATCCCACGAGGCCTTGAAACTTGTCCTGGACATTCAACAGAGACAGAAAGAGTCTAGGCGTTTCGGCAGCAGACATGATCCACTTCCATCTGAAGAAGGACCGAGCTGACCCTACGAACGAGAATTTTTCTCCAGGACCCAAGAACTGACATGGGTGAATGAAGCGTCGACTGGTCCAAATTGCGACAATGTCATGCGGTGACGCAGTCTATATATGAACCTGTGAGAGACGATACGCATTCCTGGTAAGGACAGGGAGAAAGATGGCGCGAGGGACTCAGACAGTCGATGGTGGGGAACATATAGGGGGTGGTGTCGTAGAGAATGGGATCCCTGACAGACCTGGAGGGAAAGAGGATGGGGGAAGGAGGGGAAGCGACAAGAACAGTGTCCGGCTTCGTCAGGAGATCGGACTCTTCAACGGTGTAAACATCATCATGGGCTGCATCATCGGCTCGGGTATTTTCTTGTCTCCTAAGAGCGTCCTGGACAACGCCGGCTCTGTGGGCTTATCCATGATGGTTTGGGCAACCTCGGGTATCTTCTCTCTGATCGGGGCTCTCTGCTTCGCCGAGCTGGGCACCACCATCACAGCCTCCGGTGGCGAGTACTCCTACATCATGTACGCCTTCGGTCAACTGCCTGCCTTCATCTTGCTCTGGAGCACCCTCATTATCATCAACCCAACAGGGCAGGCTATCATCGCCTTAACATTCGCAAACTATGTGAGCCAACCTTTTTATGGCGAATGTGTGGACCCGTCGACCGGCCACGTGCAGATGTTAGCAATTCTTTGCCTTGGTAAGAGTCCACGAGATTTTATTCCATGTTAGTTACATCTTTGCATTTTTTCACCCGGTTTCATTTGGAAGCTTGCAAATCTACATATCGAAAGCACAAATCTACGTTCTAACACAAACAAGCAACGCGAATAATACATCACGAAACAACTGTTTCTGCAATCACTGTATCATTGCAAATTTGTTTCTGACATGTTCTCTGATAATTGATTTATCATAATTCTCAAATAATTACTAAGAATTTATCATTCTTGATTCTGTTTTAAAGCGTCTGGCCCAGCAACTGGCTCATCAGCGACTGAATTTTTCTCCGTCTTCCATATGTCGCCTATTTCTGGTATAAAATCCACCATGAAATTAAATTTACCCTATATAGATTATCCAAATTATCCACAGTTTTTAATCTTAGAATAACTGGTCTTCCTTTTGATTGCCAAGGGGCAGCTGCACTTTGAATACGTGCCCACGTAAACTGCGCACTCTCCATGCGCAAGCGAGCACAACAAGCTGGCTGCATTGCTTTCGTACACGTCTGGACTTAAAGGGTAGCGTAGCAGCAATGATTTTTCCTGAGATTTCCTGTTTTTCTGCAACTAAAACTCTTCTACAGTGTATAAAAATTGTATTTCCCTTTTAGTTAAATGTGTTGGAAGTGTACCTTTTTCAAACATGCAAGACGTTGTTCATGCTTTCCTGGACGGAATTGTTGCTGTGATGCCATCCACGGAAGACATGGCTCATAGCATTACATTCAAATTGTGAACCCAGAATTGACTCACTGAAAATATTTCCGTTCAGGGTCGCTCAACTAGCAAAAATCTGACGAAATTCATCATTTTTGCATTGTAAAATTTAGATTTTCTTCCATTATGACACCACAATGTAACTCATGAATATAGAAATTTATTAACATAAAACCGAAAAGGCAAACAAAATTGAAAATTAGATTAAATGAGATGCAAAGATGCATTTTGGAGGTAAAATGCATTGCAGAGCCTATAGACACATTTGAAAAGCCAGGTTTCTCAAGTTTGACCAAAATGCTCACCGGAGCGGCAAAATACACATTTATGTATAATTTCACAATGTCATTCATTCACAAACAACCATTCCAAGCTGTCGCCGAGGTCAGAAGAGTCTGAATAAATTAAGTAACTTAATATGGAATTCAGTCGGCGGGAGGTCTTCATGTCAGACTAAGCTTGACTGCATGTTTGTCAACCGCTGGCTGGGTTCACTCCTCGTACATGACGTATACTACGTGTTGCTATGTGCAATGACCGACAATATGGCGGCATCCATCACAGTTTTGGCGGGTTATGAGGTTCAAGTTTCAAGCGATATGTTGGGGATTTCCCTAACGTACACCGAAGTCAGGCCGGGTCGTCGTATTCCCGCCTTGTTTGTATATGCATGGTGTGATAGAAATTCACCATAAAACCTTTTCATTTACATATCGTTTAATTTCCTTGTTTAAGCTCGTCATCCCTTGTCAAACTTGAAGAAACAGCTGTGGACCGTTTCCGTATTTTGCGTACAATCATTCCTGTGTTGTCTCATACTTCAGTATAGTTGGCAAACCTTCAGTGTCTCTGCCATGTTTAGAAAGACATTATATGTCACCAAAATTTTTCGCTATCGTGGAAGCCTGGGTGAATGTATCCTGAAGGGTCGGGTTTTAATTTCCTTCGCATGATGAATGCATGTACGACAATTATGCATGATGTCGTCGTTAAATCCCTGGAATCATTCTGCTTGTTGAAGTTTGGAATGGAAGGTTTTCTTTAAAAAGAGCGCTTTAGAACCCAATGGTTGTAACGAGGACAGTTATTATAAAACACTTTGTTATAAACATTTTCGGCGTTGTGGAAAGCTGTAACGTGGCGAAAACGTGGATAGATTCATTGTCCATTTCTGTTGCTGCAGAATTAAAAATTCGGAGAAATCTTAGACTCTAATACGCGGCAATTTAGCAGTTGGTTAAATTAATGTTTGATTAGGATATAATGAGATTTCATTCAATCTCGGAAGAGGGTTTTTTTCAAATGTAAATGGCATGGCTCCTCTGCGTCATAGTCTTCTTGGAAACCTAGTTGTGTTTACCTTCTAGTCAGTCATGTCAACGAGGTCGTGCAACTTGTACGGAGTATATTTTCTATTCCTCCGTTCTTATGAGCAACACCATGGAGGCAGGAATATTGTGAATTCATTGTACATTGATATGATTACTATGGGTGTTAAGTCCAGTAGATTCGTCCTAGAAAGTTAAAACGACTGTATTTAAAATATCCATGTCCTCTGAGTTGTGGTAGGTTAGTATCCGTGTGAGGGCCGGGCAGGGTTCCAGTGAAGCTGCACATACCCCTTCGTATGGCCCATTATACCCAAACCACGTGCCCACCATTTGCCGGTACAATCGGGCTTTTGAAGAAAGAATTATCGATTGCGTGGGTTAAGATCAATAGAGGCTACGCGTTTATTGACTTCTTGTTGATCACGTTTCGCCGCGCCTGGGCACACTCTTCTGTGTGTTGCTAAGCGGAACGACCAACCAAGTGGCGCGAGACAAAGCGCGCCATAACCGAAATTTTCGCGGGAGTGCTACACACGTACGTTTGAGCATAGCGGTGGTTCGAACAGTACAGACAGGTTTATGTTACCTTTGGACAGGCGGGAATGAGGATATGATTTTGTGAGATCTTGTATGGCTTGCAGTACTGTCTGATGATTCGGTGTACGAAACCAGAGCCTGGCATTAATTCATGTGTTCGTCTGAACGAGGGGCAACGGAGGCCAATGTTGTGTCTTGCCGAGTTGTCGGTCTGCTGTTTCGACCGTATGTGACTCATCCTGATTTCGCATACGTGGACGTGAGCTGCTGACGAGGTCGGACCGCAGATCAAAACACGCTTCGAGTGCACACGTACAGTGTACACCCACGCACCGCGCGAAAAGCCTCGAGGAGAGACGAAGATCCAAAGATGGCGGGAGGACTCGGTTCAGACGGTGAGGAGGTCATCCAAGACCCCATGGTGGTAAAGAAGCAGAGCCCGGAGAGGCCCTCTGGAGGAGGTAGGATCGAAGATGAAGGGGGAAAGAAGGGAGGTAGCACCCTGGATATAATGGACACGAGTTACGTTCGTCTGCGCCGAGAAATCGGCATGTTCAACGGCATCACCATCATCGTGGGCTGCATCATCGGCTCGGGTATCTTCTTGTCTCCGAAGAGCGTCTTGAACAACGCCGGCTCAGTTGGAATGTCCATGCTGGTCTGGGTCATCTCGGGTATCTTCTCTCTGATCGGGGCTCTCTGCTTCGCCGAGCTGGGCACCACCATCACAGCCTCCGGTGGCGAGTACTCCTACATCTTGTACGCCTTCGGCCAACTGCCCGCCTTCGTCTTGCTCTGGAGCACCCTCATTATCATCAACCCCACGGGCCAAGCCATCGTGGCGCTAACTTTCGCCAACTACGTCAGCCAGCCATTTTTCAATGATTGTGGGGGTCCACCAGTCGGTCTGGTGCAGCTTCTTGCTGTTCTTTGTCTCGGTAAGATCCTTAATCTTGTCTATCATGTTTAAATGGGTTCTCTTGGCGTTTTCCAAACTTCAGTGTATACTGTAGTGGTATTGTGTTCACCCCTCTAACTCGAGCTGCTGTTGGTTTAGAAAGGTAAAAAGAAGTAAAGATTGAAAGCTTTGTGTCATGTTTATCGTGAAAGATATCAGAAGTAAGTATACAACTGCAGAATCCCAAACCGCAAGTTTTCTACTGTCAAGATTTAAAATGCAGAACCCTGGCCTTAGTTTTAGTCATTTTACAGTCCATGCTCCTCACTGTCCAAAGTAAAAATCTGCGTGTCTGACAAGTATCACAAAGTGTCTTTTAATGACAAAACACCAACATCCATAATGTCTGTGGTGGATCCAGATTTTACCGACTCCCAAGTACGCCTGGACAAGAAATAAACGTTTAAGTTCGAAGAGTGGACCATAAGTCAAGATGTATATTAACATTTTATTTTTTATTGGCTCCTTGTATTTTCGAAATGTTCCTTTGGAAATTGGAAGTCTTATATTCAGATGCCCACCAGAGACCGTGCTTGCACAAATCCTGTTAATATGGATACTTTCTGTTCATTTCTTATCAGGATTGACCCCACAGCCTGCACATTCCCTATAAATCATCTTGCCTGGTAGCTCCAGTAACCTAGGAGAATTTGTATGAAGCGTGCGGATCATGTGACCCCATGCAATCGACGCCGTTGATAATTCAACGTGTTGAAAATAACAATGAATGAAACTTTTTATAATTGCTGAACATTTTCTGCGCAAAGTGAGTTATTCCTTTTTTTTGAAATGATAATGTGGGCGAGTCTCTCCGTGTGTCGAACGTGCAATTACAGCCAGTTTCGCCTACTGTCTTGTGAATTTTTTTTCTCCGGCCAGTTTCTTATAGACGAAAGTCGCACTAGAATTGGAAACAACCTCGTACTTTTTCGACAAGCTGATATATAGTACTATGTACGCCTCCGTGCGGGTAGGCATAATTGTGGAAGGTGAACAAACACGGGTTAGCTCCTTTTTAAGGCAAAATATACTTACAACGGCCAAAATACAAAGTCGAGCAGAAAAATAACTTAAAAATAGCTTTCTTTATTACTTTAGTGGTAGCAATTTATACAATAAAATAGCGTTTATTGGAGCCTCTTTTATCAATTTTTTCCTCCTAAATGCTGCCATTAAACAATCGCATACATGTAATAGGAAACGTCAACTTATAATTGCATGAATTGACTAGACTTTTTTGCCCTACCTTGACAGCCCTAACAGCCCTAAATCCACTGATTTCAATGTGATTTAACATACACGCTAGGGGTCAGGGTTATATACATGAAAATGGACATGTTGCTCTTGTTTTTAATTTCATGAATTGTGCAACTACCGAGACATACATGTACAATTTCCCTTCCCTAAAATGACGCTCCTATTATAGCACACGATACCAATTTGGCATTTGCGAGTATTTTACCGCGTGTCACCTCCATGGAGTGGTAATTGTTACTGCTCTGTGGGTGTTCCGAAATGCTGTACCTACGGCCTTTTGGAATGGTGGTGTGTGATGAACTTGGCGGGAGAAAATTTTGGCGGTCTTTTATTTCCTCGAGACTTTTTTGTCTCCAGCTCGTTTCCATTGACGCAATTGTTCCTTTCCTGTCGTACGCTTTTCTGGCATTGATCCAGCTCTGGCGAATGAAAAGGAAAAGTTAAATACAAAAAGGTTTTCAGCACCTCCGCCACCTTGTTGAAAAGAAAAATCGAAAACGGAACGTCAATTCGGTCCTCTTGAGTGCACTCCAGGCTTGTGAGGAATATCGACCATGCACGGTCTTACAATGTGCGATGACCCTAACAGGCGCAAAAGCTTGGCTTCGAAATTAGGCTTGTCCGGGGTCTTTGTAAGTTAAAAGTGTATTGGCTTTTAATAGGCAGACCTTTGAAACAAGATTGTCCACGAAACCGTATGTTACCCCGTTTTACTTTAAAGGGATTCTGGCATTCAGCAACTTGAAGATTTCCAAATAAAAGAAGCGATGAAAATGAACCTGGTTCAAGCCGTATAATGGCATTGATGTATCATTCGATTTTTTAAATGAATGAATTGGAAGAAAAAATTGTAGGTCAGGGCGTCAGCACTGGTGTTAACGTTGCCCTCGGCTTGGTCGATTTATTTGTTCACCCAACCTAAATTGAAAAGCCGCTCCACAACACTCGGTATTTCCTTGTTTGGGAAACCACTTTTCTTTGAATTGAGCGCAAGGCGCGCGCACCCTGTTTGCGGCGTTTTATGAATGAACTTAATCTACCCTACGCTGTCAATGGATTTTCCCATGGTGTGCGCCTGCGTCGAATGCTAATTTCTGCCTACGCAATCACGCAGTCACTAGAAATCATCCAGTGTAGTAGTAATGCATCGTCAACAAACGGCCCGACCCGATTGGCTTTTTCGTCAGTACGCTTTGCACTTGCCTCTGATGCCTGAACTTGTGAAGTGGCGGGAAATTTACGATTAGAATTTACCTCAATTCCTGTACCAAAGAGACAAGAATACAGACAAGCCAGAACGTCCAAATTGTACAATTTTTATGGTATTACTTTCGGATATTCACTTCCCTGACATGCTAAGCTTTGGCGTTGAAAACGGTAAACGATAATCTGTTTTTTACTAGTAAGATTTATGGGCATTCGACTTTTCCCCCGCAACTTAAAGTCATGAATTATTGGATTTTAGATTTTACCAGGGGTATGGTGGTCTTGGTGGAATAAGAATTATTCAGGCTGCATTTACCTTAAAATGCTCGGTTGTTTTGATTTGTGACTGCTGTTAACAACCATCTAAAATGAATGTGAATGTGATGAAAAGATTAAAATGGCATAAGACTTTCAGGAAGGGTTAAGAAACAGAAAAATAGTACAGGAGCAAGGAAAGTGAAAAGCATTCGAGGTTTGTTGGGATAAATATACAATTCAACGGTGTAAGTAGAAATCGAGGAAGCGTAAGTTAAAGTCAAACGCTGGCAGAAAAAAAGAAAACTTAAATCTCTTGGGGCAATTTTGAAAGGACCTCCAAGAACAGAACACAGGTCTTAGGAAGCCTTTGTGACCGTCACGACCGTGCGATAAGTATTTCCCGATTTGTTAGACAGTCAAATAGATGAAACGTTGATACGAACGAATTAAAGGTTTATAGTAGATTGAAAACATGTCGGAATATGGAGACACCGTCATGGTAAGATTTGTCTTTCTTTTCCTCATCTTCTTAAAACCATGGAGAATCATAGTTTCTTCCTTTGAAAAAGAATTGTAAGTAGGTGCCAATCGCTGTAAGACAGTTTCAAAATACGTGCATTTCGTGTAAATTCAACTTCGGTTTCTAAATTTTAGCGCACGCGAAAAGGGAATGAAGCTACAGTAGCTTTACATGAAGGCTGCTAGTAGAAAATTGCTGGAAAGAATAATACATACGCGTTTAAGCACGTGGCATGGTCGAAGCCCCGCCCAATCGTAAATTGGAACTGCAGTAGATGGATTCCAGTGAATTTCAAGGACTATCAACCGCACATGATTAGTATTGCTGACTGAAACGGTCGTCTGCCCGGTATGCTATCTTTTTTATATGATAACAAAATGACAGCAGGCGGCTGTTTGGAGTTTGGCATAATATTTATGCTGAGATACGGCGCGTGATGACGAAATCACCAGCTTGATGACCGTACCGTACTGGTGACCAGTGGGACCGGTTGTCGAGCACGAGGTCGACCGTACGGGGCCGATATGTACATGTACACTGTACGTGGCATGCAGATGGCCTTTATGCATGTGGCGCCTATTGGTTCCCGCCAAACCCTGCTGGTATGTCAGAATCCTTAGAAGCCGCTCGAGAATCTCGATCGTTCGTATTCATCTTTGCCGTGATTTGACATCCGGCTACAACTGTCCAGCGAGACGATTCTTCTGGTAGTTGTCTTGATGGTTAGATCGTGTTTTCGGTAATTTTTTGTGGGGGAAGCGGAGAAACATCGATGCCAGTATTGTCCGAAAATCGCCATCCTGACCACAATACCATCACTAGTAGTACATGTGCATTAGTAGGTCTGTAGTTAGTTGCATTGTGGGATCCGGTTGAAGGCTCCCATCTCGATTCACAATCGCAGAGGACCATCAGACAGAGTGAGTGAGTGAGCCAACATCATGAACATGGCAGACGTCGAGATCATAGATCCGAATAGAACAATCGACAGCAGCAGCGATCATCATGCCAGCTCCAAGATATCAGAACCTCCACAGTGTCCACCGTACATGCCCGGCGAGGAGCAAAGGGCCAAGTTGGGGGAAGGGGCCAACAATGGTTCGACGGTTCGACTTCAGCCACAGCTTGGACTCTTCAACGGGATCAACCTAATTGTGGGCTGCATCATCGGCTCGGGCATCTTCCTTTCTCCCAAGAGTGTCTTGGAGAATGCTGGCTCGGTTGGCCTGTCCATGATGGTCTGGGTCATTTCTGGTATCTTCTCTCTGATCGGGGCTCTTTGCTTCGCCGAACTAGGCACCACCATCACAGCCTCCGGCGGTGAATACTCCTACATCCTCTTCGCCTTTGGGTCCTTGCCTGCTTTCCTTGTCCTGTGGGTGACTGTTTTGATCATCAATCCAACTGGCCAGACAATTGTTGCTATGACGTTTTCTTTCTACGTCCTCCAGCCTTTCTTCCCAGATCCTGACTGTCCACCTCCCGACGTGGCTGTCCGTATTTTAACAGTTCTTTGTCTTGGTAAGTTGAGGTAGAGTGACCCCAGCTAAATTTAAAAATGAGGATTGTAACGAGCCTATAACAGTAACATTCAAGAAAGCATGTAACAAGCGAGACTGGTAATGTATTTCTTATGCCGCAAAGGTCATCTGGTCATGGTCGGATAAGTCTGTTAGTTGATGTCTGTCCATGCCTTGAGGCCTGCATATGGCTTGGCATGTCTGTTGATCCATCTGATCGTTGGCCTTTCCACAAATACATGCATGTAAAAACGACAACATTTCAATCAGCCTTCCATCTTTTGTCAAGGAATTTTAACTGTTTCGATATGATATATTCAAACACATCTCCTATGTACATGCAGTTTTTAAAACCTTGAACCAACATCTGACATGTCTGAACTTACTTTCTCTTTAAACAAGAATGAAAAAAATACAACTTACAGCAATTCCACTACAATTCCATTACGTTTACGCCACCATACAAGGAGTTCCTGGATGGCAGAATCTCCACTGTGTGCATGTTTGTATTTGAGATTTGCAGAACTTCTAATCACTGGTATGAACTCGAGTTTTGAAAAGAAAAAATCTCTTTTTTTTCCTTTGAGAAATTTTCCCTGACAGTAAAGAGGAGTCCAAAAGAGGAGAGTAGGTTTTAAAGATCACAGAAATCCATCTTTAGTTATACATGTAATAATTGATTGCAGTGTATTTTTGTCCAGTTTGCCTAAGGGAAAGTAAATGATGGAATGGGAAAAAATACCAAAATAGCCCGCAAAATTGTACTCAAGATATGTGGTCTGCCGTGAACCAAGGTTAAATGTTTTTTTCATAAAAACTTCAAAGCGTTCACGTGCGTGCTTTATGAGCTTACCGAGTGTGTGTTCACCTGGCCAAGGCTGTTCAATGTAAGTTGATAGTGAACAGACCTGCTTGAGGGGGAAACAGGGACTTGCTTTACCTCGGTGGGCTAAAAAAAACACCTGGCCTTGCTGTGTCGCCAGCTGTTACATTGGTTTTTGTTCTGCCATGAAGAATGAATTGAAGTGAAAATGGCGGGAAACTAATACCCTGTGTGGTGGCAAATTCAAGGTTAAATTTGTTAGATGGTTGCTCAAGCATTAGAATCGAATCTCTTTTGTTGTAAGATGGGAAGTTGGTAGTTCCTTGACTTCAATACTTCATTATCTTCCTTGACTGTGTGGTTAGAAAGTATGTCCTTCAGAAATTAAAATGAAAGCAGAGGCCTTGCAAACCTGACTCCTTATTAAACTGCATTGAAGGTTGTTTTGAGGAGTTTAGTGTTCCTGAAAATAGGACAAAAGGTTGTCTTAATTGTTCAATCATTAGGGGGAAATAGTTTGCATGCAATGGCTGTAAAACAAAAGACTTTAAGTTTAAACATGGCATCCTAAAAAGCTTGACCAAACATTGGAAAGTCTATAGGAAGCGGTGGCTAAAAAACTCCAGATCATGGAAATTGCCAATGGAACATTTACATTCCATTGTTATCAGCATTGAAAGATTATTTGACTAGATACATAATCCGCTTGCACATGGGCAGGTTGGTGTCAGCCTGCGTATCTTAGACTTATCAACATTGATATCGAGGTTCTGTGGGATATTTTTGTATTCAGGACTGCATCTGTGGGATTTCGATTTAGGTGGAAAAGTTGCCTTCAAAAATGTCACAAGCATTTGGATCACAGCCATCTTGAAATGCATTTCTGAGTTTGTCTTTTTAAATTGAAAACGTCAACCTCTCTCTGCAGCTCTCCTGACCTTTGTGAACTGTTGGAGCGTGCCTTGGGCAACCAAAGTGCAAGATGTTTTCACTGTCGCCAAGGTACTGGCTCTCATTGTCATCATACTCTCCGGCCTCGTCTACATTTGTATGGGTAAGTGCCTTCAGTTTTTCCTGTCAACCAAAGTAACGTGAAGGAAGGTTGAAGTATAATGTGTTAACCACCTAGTGACAGATCTCCAATCTGATCTCGTGGTTTTGTTGAAGCTGACGCGAGGGCCGAAATTGGACAGCTTCATGAGCAAAATAAAAAAAGCTCTGCTTCTGGACACTATTTGCAAGGAAATGGCATGACCCAAAGTTATTTGTGGAAAATTTTCTGAAACTTATTGGAAATGAACGTAAATGAAAAACAAAGTGTGTCTGGTTCACTGTAGCCTACAATTGAAATTTGAACGTGGTGTGAAAATGTTCAATGAAGTTAACTTATGGATGCAACCCATAAAAAGAGAAAACTTTTGAGGGCATACTCCACTTTTGTACTTTACCCAGGCCGATTCCATCGGTGCATACACACACTATGAAATGCACAGTAACATTTGGTTGTGACAAAGCTGCCATGTCAAACAGTGATGAATATGCCTCCCTTCAAAAACTGGGAAAAATCTAAGTTTCTCAAGTGTTTTTAAAGGTGCATTAGATTAAAGCGTGTTTCCTCATCTTACAGTTTCTTGTTATGTTTTATGCGGTTAAATGATAACATGAGATATTTCCACCCAGAGACGATCACTCCGAAACCAGTTCTGAGGCCCATTGTAATTTTGAAAGATGATGCCGACACTTGGGTGCAAAATAAAGCCATTTGCAGACCCCATTTTGTCCACTTTCTAAAGAAATACAAACAGGCATTCCTGCCACCATTCATTTGAAACAAATGCCTCCTGACTGACGTCGCTTGCTGTTTTTTTTGACCAGTTAACTCTTTGGCTGCACACTAAAAGGAAACCCCCCCAAAAAAAGTGTTACTGTGTTATGTACCAATATCTACCCTATTTTGAGATGCCATATAACGTACAGGAAGCAGAACTTGTTTTTCTTTTTTTGGGGGGGGGCTTATCCAGGATCTTGGACAACCTAACCCTGTGAGGGTCCCAATCTTGGTGGCAGCACAAAAAATAGGCAGCTGGTTCTGGTGGAAAGTATAAGATTTTGTAGGATTTGGACGGTCTCCTGGAAACTAAATAGATTTAGGATCAGAGTTGTGTGTTTGTAACACCCCCCCTGAAATTTCAGTTTTCAGGTGTCGTCATCCGGAAGGACGTGTTTAAATAGCAGGTGTATTCATGAACCTTTCGCGGACCAGCTTATTTCCTTTTTTCAATCCGATTGGTGTCCAACAATACTGCTGAAATGTCATCTGCTTTGGAAATTACCCGAGTATGAAGACTAGTGCCAAAGAATGCTGGAACAAGCAATGGGTCTTTTTTTAACGTAACCCTCCCATGCTAAAGTCACACTTTGGGTCAGGTGGTAAAAAGATGCACAACTGTGTCATAATATTGTGCGCTGCCACAAAGGCTCCTGCACAGGAATATCAGATTGCATTTTTTTGCGCTGCCCAACAACTGTGCCTCACTGTTTCATGTGCATAATTGTGCAGTGGACCAACTAACCGTAGTGATGCGTACAGTACCAAGTCTGTGTCCTTTTGTGCTGCCAGCCAACTGTGTACCCACAGAAGTGTGCATATTTGTGTTCCATATCCCCCTTGAGCAGAAGCACACCCCTCCCTTCTCATGGGTTGAAAAAGAGCCATGTCAGTCGGGAGTGTCCGTTTTTGTTGGCAACCATGCGACCGCAACGCACACATTTCATAGTAATTTTTGTGGACCAGTGAAGTGCACTTTCTAGAGGGTTAACAATGTGGACATCAAGACCATGTTGAATATTGCCAGGTTCTAGCAAAACTGTAAAGTGAGATGCCTGAGTTTTTTTGAAAAACAAAATCCCTTGAGCTTTTTATTAAAAAAAACCTGACGGAATAATTGTGTCCTCGATGTCAATCTCAATTTCAATAATGGCCCGCATGCTGAATTTAGACGTGTTACAACGCCCACGATATTATGACGATGCGGTAACTATGACTATGTCGCTCTAGTGGAGCGTGAATATCAAAAGCTCAAGTTGATTGCATCATCCGTCTCCTTCGCTACATCCTTCCTTGCTCCATCACTTCAGCATCGTGCAGATGAATCCAAGTGCTTAACTTTATTCGAGCATCTCATGTTTATGAATGACCTGCGTCAGCTGAAATGGACAGGTGTTTTGATGTGTCCTTCTTCTTTTTTCAATTTTGTCACACAGGTTTGTCATGAATGGTTTGATTCCTGAAGTGAAACTGAAACGAAAATATGCTCTTTATGGGGTCTCAAGCGAGGATTTTTTTGTGCTGAAGGAAACAGAAGTTTCATTAAATATTTGTGTCTTGAACTTAAATAGTTTTTTTCAAATGGGTTTCATACTCAGCAATATTCATGACTAATTCATGAGGTTATCTCATGGATCAGAATTCCAACCGTTTAAAGAGTTTCAGAGAACAGTGACCATAAGATGAGACTTGGGGACAAGTGTTGAATGGATCAGATGGAGCTGAATTAACATGTAATTTCAGTCAACCGTAAATCCTGCAGCACTTGTGGCCAACCAATTTATTTGCAATTCACATGAAATGCAGACTCCCAATTTTGGCATGTTGATTGCTTGCTAAATCCCCAAGATTAAGCCCAGTGTAAAGTACATTAACCTGGCTTGCCCTGTTCAGAATTCACCAAAATACGCAGTAACGCAGCTGGTTATAATCCTGAGCTTTGGGGAGGATATTTAGCACTGCCTAAAAAAGTGCATTGGGTACCTGCAAAAAAATATGTATTGGGCCAACAGCATGGCTATTATTTAATAATGTTGATAGACTTCAACATGTTTTGGTTTACAATTCATTATTCCTGTGTTGTCTCACTAAAATACGTGAGATAAATACATGTGCTGGCTGCCTACTCTTTCAGTGGGAATTCAAAATGTAGCTACTCTCAAATGTGTTTCACCGACCCCCACAAGTTCTAGATAAGCGCTTTTGAATGTCCACAGATGTTGTGTGACAAATATTTGTATCATTTTATCTTGAAAGTATCGATGTAACTTGTGTGGTGTACATTTCAAGGTAACCCATGGAGGCGCAGTCTTTCTGATATACATATTTGACGTCATTACTCTTTGTGCGTAGTAATCTGCTCATTATCCATCAGCCCACAGATAGACACACTGGTTGCACGCGCTGTTGACAGTCCGGCGCATCCACAGCTCCTCCCTCTGGGTGGACGTTGTTTGTATGCCTGTGGTTTAGACAAACGTCTGTACATGTAGGCTCCCCATCTGAAAGTGTTTACCTTGGACAAATACACAGCCTGTTTGCAGTGTGTTGCATCTTGCTTGCATCCAATGCAAACAGGAATACTTTTTCTCTCACTGTAGAGTTACACAGTTTATTGAATGAAACAGAGACTTGTGTGAAATCACGCAAGTTCGTGGGTTTACATTGTACATCAAGTCAAATTTCTTTGTGTTTGTACCAGTGTTATTTTCTTATGCCAATCAACCAGTTGTGGACAAGAAAGATGGCTTTAAAAGTTCAAATTATGTACTGCTAGATTGGTTTGGAATGTGGAAAAAAGTGGAATATTGAAAGATTCCATATTAACCCTAGGGCCGGGGCCCTTGTGACTGGGATACACCCTCAATCCTTCAAAACGGCCTCCATGGAAAATTGGCTATAGCCTCAGTCCTCTAAAAGTCTCTGATATTTCCTGAATATGTTCTGTGGACAGTGGACTCTTGACCACCACCTCAATCCTTCCAAATCCTCCAGCAATTCCTTTCAGCATGTTGAAGCAGCGTAAATGGTATCCATATGGAGCAGTATCGATGAATTCATAGACCTGGGGATGAATGTTTGCATGGTTGAAAATTAACAACACAAGGTCTAACCCTCGACCTTGAGACAATGCATCCTTCGCAATCAATTTTTCTCATACAGCCTCAATCCTCCATAACCGCCCAGAGGAATTTGGATTGAGGATAGCTAGGGTCAACTTATGATTAAAATCTCTTGAACCTACCTCCTTTCTTTTGAAGGGATTTTGCTCACAGCGAGTCAATCAGTAAAACACGGCACTTGCTGCTCCGTGAAAGTTTCAGTAGAGAGACTGTGCCATCGGTTTCCTTCACTGGTGAGGATTTTGGAGGTTAAATTAAAGCTTGCCAAATGCTTTTGGAGCAACGATTAACTTGAAATTGTTCTTTCTGATTCACTTTTATTGTATATATATTTTTTTTCAGGACACACTGAGAACTTTCAGGAACCGTTTAAGAACAGCAAGGGAGGGACTGATATTGCTCTCGCCTTTTATGGGGGTCTGTTTGCATACGCAGCATGGTAAGTAGGAATGATAAACTCGGCATCTAGTCCACGTACTTTCATGGAAAGTTAAAAGGGGAAGAGGTCACATAACCATTGCCACTGCTTACATGTTTAAAAAATTGTACAACTATCAATTAAGATGGCAAAGTATTTCAATTGACGCTATCAACTGATTATTAGTCACGTTTTGATAATTTCTGCCGTATTATTTATGAAATTTTTAGCCTAATCACCAGTTTGCACTAACCGAAATAGTACATGATAATCAAGTAAGGAGCCAGAGATGCATGTATTTTTTAAAAAGTGTACTGATAAAAATATTTGTAAATGCACAAATTACCTTTTTGCGTGAAGTGATCTGTATTCTGAAATTGTCACAGTAACTTTCTGAAATGCTAAATGATTGCTTAGTTTCTGTGACAAATAAAAGCTATAATGATATTTGTAATGCAAACTGTAATTGAATTCATTTTTAATGGCCGTCTTTTTTTTATGGTGGACTTCCCGGTATGTGTACATTTAGGTTTTCCTATTATCAGCAGGTAATCGGACTGCAACTTGAGCAAGAATTTTTCCACTCTGGATGTGAATGCTCTTGTCAGAATTGGAAATTGTTCGCAGTTTTTTATCATTTATCGTCCTTTTGTTCTGGTTGAATTCAACCTTATTTACTGGCCTCAGTTGTTTGCTTTGAGAGAAATATGCTAGTCTCACATACCCTCAAATTTTCCCGTACTAGTAGCACGCACTTGTGACGAACCCAAACTATTCCTATTACAATTTTCAGCATCGATAATGAGCCTGTTATGAATTTGTTCCAGGAATTATCTGAACTATCTGACGGAGGAGATTAAGAATCCACACAGGTAGGTTTGTGTGGTCGGATATGCCGCTCCCCACCACAAATAATCAATCATTTATCAACGCTTAACCAGCCCATCAGTTGAGTACAGATTGTCAGAATTATTAATAACGCCTTGCTGTGAAGTGTAGCTGCATTGCCTGATGTTACACTCCCAGACCCAGCAAAGCCGTAACAGGCTTCCTGAGTAGGAGCTGCATGATTCAAGGCTAACTTCTGACCAAATGTTGTCATCAAAATCTCATTGTAGGAATTTGGACTTCAAATGCATGTAACACAATCCACCTGAAGTGAGTTGATAATATCCTTTGCTGGCACGGGAACCATTTCCTGGTTGTCAGGGGTGTGTGTGGTTTTTTTTTTACAAAGGTTGAGTATCAGTGAGCCCTACAGGTGACCTTTTGACCTTGTAATATTTCTAATTAGATTTGACAGGCAGTAAGACATATTATTTGACACAGGAGCCCCGAGGTAAAAAATCGGACAATGTTGCCAGCATTCTTTCCTGTCTCTGTAACTATTGACTTGGGACTTCAACAAGTACCAAAATTCATTATCCCGTCTTAAATCTGACAAAATGAAACCAAATTTATTTTGACAGTAAAAGAAAAAAGTGAAATGCTCCCTGCTACATGTATACACTCACTGTCGAATTGGCCGTGCTGACACTGCCCAAGTAGCTTCATGAATTGCTTCAAAATTTGAGTCATACACACGTCTGTCTAAACACTTCTGTCCGATAAAAGCGCATTAAAATTTTTCCAATTCCTGTCAGAAATCTGAGCATTGGGGAAATAAACACAAACACTATCCCTATTTTATGGATCCTTTTAGTGGCACCAGCTTTTTTAGAAAATTTCAAGGCCTTAGGGTAAAATTGTCGTGACTTTCATGACTCCGTCCATCTATCCCGACACAGACCCGTGATCCCTTTCAACCACCTCTCTGGAGTTGTTGATAAAGCTGCTGTCACCAAAAGCCCAGTTGTTTGACTGGGATCCAAGACAGGTTGACGTTTGTCCTTTTCTGTTCCCCTTTTCTTTGATGTCTGGTTTTCCTGTTTCTGTTGACCTCAGCAGTTTCTGGTGTTCCTTCAGATCTTTTTTTTGTCTAAAAGTTCTTTCACATGCAGCCGGCTTACATTTGATAAAATGCTATCAGATCTCACCAAATGAGACAGAATGAAAGCCAGTCTTCTTTGTACATTTGTTCTTGTTTGCATTGCAGAGAACAAAGTGAGCTATTGGTTTTGATGTATTGGCTAGTTTGGTGTCCTGATGCTGCTGGACAGTGTATTGGCGGAAAATGCCAAGGGTTCCATTTCCTATTGATTTACATTGTGTAGGGTTCATGTGAAGGACTTCAATTCCGACAGTGACTCAGGCAATATACAAACCTCATTTTGTTAAGCTGGGTCACACGTTCTCATTCTCCTGTCACTAAATGAGTGAATTCCTGTCTCCACGTTCAGGAAATTAAGGACGTAAAAAAAGTGAGTTGCTCTCAAATCTTTCACCTTGAAGAAATGGGTCATTTTAGTGTTCAGAGTTATTGCCTTCAGCCAGTCAAACGTGGATGCATACTCCCCTGAGGCACCTGTTGTGAGTTTGCTGTGAGGGCTCGTGTTCCAGCCATGTGTTGTGAATCGAAAATTGAATGTGATCGAAAAGACTCAAAAAGTTATCTCTAGCAGTCCTATATCCTTCATTTCAAAAGAAGTCTCCAGGGGCCATGGGGGGAGGGGGTGTAATCATCGAAAATTGTCCGGTTGTGTTGTCAATCAAATTCAGCTGGTGAGGTAATACGGCAAATAAAAATTTGTGTCAAAGAATAATTCCAAAAGAACCCCCCCCCGAGAAGACCCTTTAGAAAAAGCATTCACAGAGTTTTCAGAAATTTTCTGGAGTGTTTTCAATTGGAGAATTCATCTTAAATATAATTGTAAAATATTTGTTCATGTCTGCCTCAACCTTTTCTCGAGGATGGAGGAGCATGACACTTCTGTCAGCAACAAAATCCTCTCTGTTGTACAGTTGTTCAGCGCTTATTCACTCTTAAACGCTTTGCTCATTTCTAAAGAAAGTAGACTTCTTTTTGTCGAATTCTTGTACTAACAGCAATTGTTTGTTTTTTGTGCCTAATTTCTCCAGGAATCTTCCGTGGGCCATCGGCATCTCTCTGCCAACGGTTACAGTCATCTATGTGCTGGCCAACATTGCCTACTTTGCTGTCCTAACCCCAGATGAGCTGGAACAATCCAATGCAGTGGCTGTGGTAAGCTGGCTGATCACTTTCACATGACGCTTGACACGACTTTACCCTTGACATGCAGGTTAACCCTTGACATAGGGATATATTGCCAACATTGGGAGCTACTATTTTTAACCTTAGACTTTCCCAAAAATGTCTTTGAAGATTTTTTTTACCTACGTCAGTTGACAATTGTCAATTTTTTTTTCTGTCGAACAATTTGAATTCTGCAATGATTACAGGCCAAGAATCTGATCAGATTGAAATGTGACATCAGTACTTGTGATTTTTGCTAGATTTATAGACTAATTTTAGCTTTGCATGCCAGTGACCTTGTGGGGTAGGGTCACAGATGCACGGATAAAGAAAGTTCACTTACCCCCCAGTATGTCTCAGCCTGACTGTCCAGCCCAGGCGTCTGGCCGTATGGCGATTCATATATATTTACTCAACAAATTATCATTCACAAAGTGGACAGAAACAAACATAAAACAAATGGCGACTCTGATGTGTTAATGAAAAACAAGCTGGCAAAAAATCCATGCAGAAGAACAAGACATGAAAAGGAAATTTATCGACAAGGTTCGCACATGTGCTTGGTAACTATAGGTGAGGTGTAGACAGTGTGCAAGACAGAAGACAATTCCAAAACGTACTTGTACACTATATACATGTATATAAGTTCGGCTGCTGTTGGTGGTCATATCATTTTCAGCGGTGACCTGTGGCAAGGAATGTCAAGGTATGGCGTGCCTATATCAGCAATACGTACTTTTAAACAGAGTTTTTGTGCCGCTGCAACTTATTGAAGTTTGGGGGAATTAAGTACAGGTTTTTCCTTGTGTTGGCAAAGTTTTTCTTGTCAAGCCCGATTGACAGATTTTAAGATGCTTGAGGAGACAATTGATTTATTTATTTTATTTGTTTATTTTGTTTATCCAGGGTATGACCAAACAGTTTAAGTTTAAGTATTATCCTGCAACAATGACACTCATGCCTACAAGGGAAGAGCGAAAATCCTACAAAACCAAGCTTTTTTGTGGGGGAAAAAAACCAGGAGAATTCCCTTGTAGGTCCTAGATGAAAACTTAATTTAAAGTGATCAACATTCTGGAGATTCACCTTTCCTCCCTTAAATTGAGGCATTGCACTTTGTAAGAAGTACAAGGTTGGATTTCCCTAAACAAGGCCGATCAAAATTATTTGCCTTTTCCCCTTGGACAGTGCACGGACCCTGCGCTCTCTGTAGTGTGTGTGTGTGTGTGGGGGGACTGAGGTTGGTATTAACCTGTGACCTTTGTTCCTGTGTGGAGATGAGGTCAACAGGTACCCTTTAGCAGTAGGAGTTAACTCATGCACCAGCTGTTTGTTCATGTCATGCATACCCCCATGTGGACTGTTCCATTTCCTTGGACGGGGTGCCCTGCAAAATTCCTTGCCAGAATGATTTGAAGGTTTTACAACCAAATGCATGGTAGCGGTAGGAAAAAAAGAAAAAAAAGTGGAAAGTATATTTATCACTAACTGTCTGTATGGCCTAACATTTTCAGTTGTGATTGGAACTATAGGTTACATATTTCATATTATTGAGTTAAGTGAATGTTTTGCAAACCTAATACAGAGTGTACCTGAAAATATAGTAATGAATTTTGATTTATTTTGGAAAAATTTGTAAATGAACAGATGAACTCTTTGTCCCTTGAAATCTTTGACTGTGTCAACACGATATCTCTAGTCCTTGCACGCATATAGGTTTTGCAAATTTTCCGAAGAGTCTCTCTGTTCTGGGAAGGAAAAGGTTAAATATAGAATAAGTGGTAATAAAATTTAAAAAAAAATTCTCTTTTGATTTTCAGACCTTTGGTGAGAAACTGTTTGGCCCCATGGCTTGGATAATGCCAGTGTCGGTTGCCATGTCAACCTTCGGCAGTGTGAACGGAGGATGCTTGTCGCTGTCCCGGTAAGAATTACAGAGGAAGCCACACCAATAAGAAAGCCTATAACTGTGAATTTTTTAAAAAGAGTTCCTCGTTGGAATTTTGGAGGTCCACATCAAAGTTTGCTTATAACTGTAACTTGCTTATCAAAGAATGCATCACCTACTGGAGTTGAGACTTGCCCAGTAAATGAGGGTACACTGGCCCTAATGAGACTTCTCGAACATATCAAAGATTTACCACGAGTGAATGTCGGTAACATTGCGCACTATTACTCTGCTCTGAGTGACCTTGACCTGTCAGTTTTGTGAAGATAATTATTTTGAGTTCACTGTGGACGAAAAATGATCTCAGCTGATTTGAGTCCAAAATGTAAGGATTTCCTGTTCTGAATGGCTGATTCTTGGATGGTTGTTGGTAAAGTAATGCACTGCTCAATTTTGTGAACTCCTGCCTGCCTTGAGCAGAATCAGCCTTGCATCGGTTGAAAAGAGCCATACTGGTCAGGAGTGTCTATTTTGTTGCTAGCGACGCTGAGGCAATGCACGTATCCAATACCAGTGTAGTGAAGTTCCACCAAAGGATCCCCCAGTTGCTAGGACAATCGAGTCCTGTCCTGGTCCAGCTCGGGCCTATATCTGGTTTGAAAATGTTATTTTGAATGTCATTTCACAGGTTGTTCTTTGTTGGTGCCCGTGAAGGTCAGTTGCCCGGCGTCATGTCCATGATTCAAGTGAAGCGCAAGACACCTCTGCCCTCCCTTCTTTTCACGGTAAAATCATTGTCGCAAGTAGTAATTTCTGAAAACCTCAAAGTGAAACCACAGCGAAGATATCCACACACTTCATGGATATGTTGTAAGCATTAACCGCTTTGAGCCGGTGGCATTTATGAATGCTGATGATGCTTGGACGGGATAATTGTCATTTTCTTTTCTGTTTTCAAAATTCTTTAAAAATTCATGTCTCCATTTACTGGACACTTACACCCACACAAAGGACTGTCTGGTTTCTACTCTAATCTGACAGACAACATCTATCGACGCTGAAGTATATCAGCCAGGCCTGCCGCCTGCAGTCTTACGTAATTTTCTTTTGTTCACGAAACTGGCACAGTGTGCTGCTGACATCTTTTCAATAGGGGCCAGATTAGCGTGCAGCGGTGCTGTGTGGCTCATCACTGCGATGGTGGAGTGCTTTTCAGTGGTATACTGTTTCAAAACAAGGCTGGATTATCTCCACTATTGAGAATGAAAAAGTGTTGATAAATCCCAACAGCCTGGTCTTTTGTTAAGAGTACGGTCTTTTGTTACAAAGCCCAGTTCCCTTTGTCCAATTTCAGAGACCCTGGCCACGCGTATAAAGATACGTGTCCGAAACCAGAATCCCCGGCGGCAAGTGGTTAACCCTAGTTATAGCAATCATTTATTCATTTATAAAGTGCCAATTTCATAAAAAATATGTTCAAATGGGCTGTACATTAAACATCCAGTAAAAATAGATTGACAAAACACATCTACATGTATAAGCACTCAAAACCATAAGATACGGAAAACAGTAATTGCAAACATCCAAAAACCTACTGTACCAAAATATAAATACTTAGATACAATTACACATCAAAATATATGAAAACCAGTATAACAAATACGAGAACAAAACCGACGACAACTACACGTCGCGAGAAGACGAAAAGACTAAGTTAAAAACATTCAGGACAACTGCCAATGACCTTTTAAACCCTTACCCAGCACCCCACATAACCCGCAATAAGGGACCACTGGAGTAATGAATAATGTTGGATTCAGCACAGCTAGGATGGGATTGAGGAAAGGGAAAAGTTTGCCAACCCGTGACACCTCAGTAGAGATCTCCGCAGATGTATGTACGTTCACAGAAGTAAGCAGTGGCATGTAATGTGTACTTTCAAGGTTGAGAGGAATTTTGCTGGAACAAGCAGGTTGGATGTTTTCCCTTTGAACCGTCAAGAAGCACAAGAATTTCCAAAATTTGCACTTTTTTAGTATCGCTGGCGACGAAAGTCTTTATTTTTCTGGCTGATGATAACAATCCTTGAGTGATCTGGTCTCGTCCTTCCCCACAGTGCGCATTGTCCATCCTCTACGTCTTCGTGGAGACGATCGAGACACTCCTCAATTACTTCAGCTTCATGACGTGGCTGGCCATTGGTGTAGCAGTGGCCGGCCAGATCTACCTACGATGGGCCAAGCCAGACCTTCCACGACCAATCAAGGTTTGTTGCTCACAACCAGACAACTTTTGTTTTGGAATTCTGAAAATTTTTCAAATCAGCAATTCCAACTGTATCAAAGGAGTGCTTACCTTGATACAAAGATCTGTTTTCTTTGAGCAGAAAGTGATCTGGAATTGTCTTCCATTTTATAAGTGTTTCAGGCCTGAGAACTTTGAGACTAAGTCTTAAAATCAAGACTCCCTAACCCTTTTGATCTGAAATTGAAAACCTAGAATACCTTTTTCTCAGAATATGCAGTATTCACCGAGCTCAGGGTTTGTCCTTAAGCACCCTTAGATTTTGAGTAATTTTGTTGCTTCAAAGGAACATAATGCATGAATGACAAATGATGGATTGTACCTTGGATGGATTTCATCTTTTCCTCTGCAGTTCAACATCATCCTCCCCATAACCTTCGTCCTGGCCTGCCTCTTCCTGGTCGTCATGGGAACCATTGCCGCTCCCATGGATACCCTCATCGGCATTCTCATCACCTTGACCGGATTCCCCGTGTACTTCATTGGTGTCTGGTGGAAGAACAAGCCCAAACGCCTTGTGCAGTTCAGCCGTAAGTTTGCATTTGTTTGAGACAGAGACAGATTTCAAAATATGCAGGCACCGGGATTTAACACCGATCAGCTGATGTCTTTGTTTTCCGTTCTCATACATGCCACTACAGATTAACCCTCCTTTTGCTTTAAGAGGTACAGTTAAAAACTTCTTCCTCTTTATTTGCCACAGTACATGGACACATCAGGGTAATATGACTTATTTTGACGGAGAAGACAAATTTGTCAAGAATGCATCTTTGCATAGGAGGATTAAAGAGCACTGAACAAAATCTTTTATTCCGAACAATTCAAGAGATCCTTATATCAGAGACGTTTTACATTTCTCTCAGCCCCGATCAGTTTGATAAAAAAGGTTTTTTCAAGATGTACTTGCGTCGGGGAGATGTTAAAACTTAAAAAGTTTTTGTCGATACTTTTTTCTTGCAGAGCAAATGACCATTTTCCTCCAAAAGATGTTCATCATCGTTGGCCAGGAGAAAGAAGAGTGAGGCACAGGGGTGGGACGGGAGGACTTGCATGGATTGAATTCAACTCTTGGGGGCGCTTGTACCTTGTCAGCACAATCATGTTCAGCTGTGGATGGAGCACGCCTGTTTCAGTACATATGCAGAGCTCACATGGGATGCTGGTCCGCACTTAACGCACAAGTAAACAGCAAACAGAAATCTACCTCCTTACCTTAAAGATGTTCAAATACGGGCGATTCACTGTACAGTGCACCATTAGAAGGTTGCCACAGGGAGGCCATTTTTTAACTGTGCCTTTTCACAGCGCATTCATCTGCTGCATGTGGGGAGCTTAAATCGTTCAAATGTTTGTCGGGGAAGAAGGTACTTCAGTGTATCTTAAATAGCAGTAATGAATGGAATGTTCAAATAAATCAAAAATCCCCCAAGTTGTCTGCTGACACATGCTCAAATGCAATTTGTTGCTAGGGGGCCATGCTTGGTTGAAACCTGAAAAGTGGCCTCTCCGTGACAACCTGTTGGTGACGCACTGTATCGTGAATCTCCCCTTTGTGGGGAAAAAAAAAAGGATTGCACATTTGATCGTAAATTGATAAGGTGTCTTTATGATGGCATCGTGATCAGAAACTCAGGAAAATTAAATCTGTTACTTTGGAGCACGCCTTACATCTTGTATCGCGGAGGTTGTTTTGCGGTATGAAAAAACCAAGTTTTGCAAGTGACAGATCAAACTTGTTGGAATATCCATTAAAAACACAGAACAGACCAAGTGAGCGTAGTCATGGGGAAAACAAGGAATCCGGTTAAGACTTTCAAAGTGCTTTAAATGACGGGTCATGCTTTGACAAAATGGATTTTTAATGGAAAACCAGGACTTTCAGCAGAAAAATTACGTGCCACATTTTGGGTTATATGCTAACACAAACAAGGTAACGTGACAATGCGTTGGATATGTACATGCTTGTGTGTATATGTGTAATCTTTGTGTAAATACTTCCAAGTTGAACAAATATGAGGGGAGAAAGATACTAGGAGGAGTTCTCCTCATCTCGGCTGTTCTGTTGACGAGAAGTTGCAACTGAAATTGTGGGGGAAAACGTCACAATCTTAACTGAAGAAAAAAATGATGTACTTCTGAAGGTCAACATGGATGTCATTCATTCAGTAACCATTGATTGATTTAACTGGGAACCTATATACATACATGAATACCAGGCAGGAATCAGACCAGTTGTTGAGTTGATGGTCATCAGTCGAACATTGCCAAAAGCCTGTTCAGAGATGGATTTTATCCTTGTAACAATGTCTGTTTCCCCATCTGTCCGGGCACTCCACTTGGGACAAAGTTTATCCCGTTGTGGAAATGGGCCATATTCCCAAATGGAGCTCACAGCAGCAGAAGATTGTGGCCGTGACTAATTACTAGGCTGTGGCTGGCAAGCTGGTGGACTTCCATGGGAATGTGTGTCATTTCTCAGCCCAAGCCAAGTCGTTTAGACAAAGCCTGTCATGGGCCCAGCTGCCTTCTAAGAAACTGTCCAAGTAACAAGTTGTAAAAATAAATTAATCTCAGGGCTATTTTCTGGATAGTTCTGATTGTCATGTACGCATAAGAGCAAACGTCATTCTTCGTTTTGCTTCACAGCCTCTTTGGCGTAAAAACCTCAGGCTGGACTTTTTAATTTGTTCCCTGTTGAAGGTCCTGTGATTATATCGAAAATGTGCTGCTTCATGTCATTCAATAAGATTCCTATTTTGAAGCAGTACTTCTTGGGATGACATAAACATATGCAATGAACAGTTAATTCAAACAAAAATACAAATATTGAAATTCTTGGGACAGTCTTAATTTTTTTATTGGTTACTAATTTCTGGGAATAATATGCAGTAGATGAAAATGCAGTCTTCAGGGATGACAGTGAGGCCTTCTTTCTGGACCAGAAAATGTTCAATTTTTCAGCATTTATGGTCACACTTCCAAGTCAGTTTTGCCCAATAGCTATGCCAGATTCACAGTAATGAAATAAGTGCATGCGGTGACCAACAGCACAAGTCATATAGCACAAAGTAGCAGGCTTTTGGAGCACAAGTTGTGACCAAGCGGAAACCATAATTTTAAGAGAATTTATCGCCGTTTGTGCTTTTCAGTGTGCCTAGTTTTGCTTGGCTTGTCATGTAAGCCTTAAGCTGTAGCTAATTAAAAAAAAACATGCTTTGACTATTACAATATATGACCTGCTCTGTAAAACTGACTCACAAGTCTCCGGAGCTACTTTTGAGATTTACATTATTTTTGAGGAATCTGAGCTCTTTTTTTTGATGTGTCACTCAGTTTGGTACAATGAAAATGGACGTCGTGGAGATGTGAAAATGTTGAGAATTTCTATTGCTGGCAAGATTTTTTCAAAGGCCTGTAACTCAAAAGCGGCTCAGGTGACCCATGTGATGCATTTTCACAGAAACTATGAAGTATTTAGCAATATGCCAGAGAAATATTTTTTTCTGCACTGTTTGCGAGGAAAGCGGTCAGATATGGAAAATGTTTGAACTGGAAAATGATGTAAAGGGAAAAGAAATACTCTCCTGTTCATTCATTAAAAACGCAGAAAATTAGAAGCTATTTAAGAAGGTTGAATTTTGTAGCTTCTTGGTTGCTTTAGTTCGGACAGAAATGGCAAAAAGAAACTCAGAGTTTTTGGGTGCCACGTGAATAGGTCCATTTCAGGCTACTCTGTCAAAGTAGGTTTTTTCCAAGGCACTAGAAAAAAATGCACTAGTTCACTCATTTCTGCATTCAATCTCAGTAAAATGTGGAGAAAATGAATTATGGATTCGGCGTTGTGTTGTAAACCAATGAATTTGGCGAACTGTGCACTCTGTTGCATAATTTGAATCTATTAAATTTTTCTTGTTTTTGCTTGTGCGTTTATCTTTATTGTGTTTCTGCTTTTTAATTTTCAGGGAGAGAACTGTGACCAGTGCTAAATGTTGGCCACCAACAGTGTTAGTTACTGTTGTGGTTAAAATATAGCTAATATTTAATATTTTAAAATAGTGTTGCAGCTAAAAATTGTCAACATTCGGTTTAGGGGACAGGTATATATTATGCTTTCTGAAATATCACAGTTTATTCTTTGGGTTTGCTCTTTTTATTTCTTGTTGAATAATGATTTTTCATGTAAATAATTAAGAATTAACGATTGAAAAAAAGCATTTTGACCTGTGGGATATTGTTCAAAGGTGCACTCTTGTAATGTGGAAAGAAAACCCTGTGTTCTGAAAAAATTACTATGTGACTGAATAGTGTCACGTAAGTTAGACATACTGTCAGAACTAATTGTTAAGATTATTAGGGCCCGGGGGGAGTGAATTGGTGAAACAATTGACATAGTGTTCAGTATTCCGAATGAGCTATTAAGATTTTAGCATCACAGGAGTACACCTTTAAGAAGGCTTTTTGGGTAATACTTGCTCATTTGTTGAGCTATGGGGTCATTTGGTATCTCTTGCTTTGTAAGATATTTAAGTTGTGGAACAATTATGCAGTGACATTTTATTTTCTGTATAGTTTCCAGAGCTGTCAGTGTATAATGCCAATTGAAATGTCCAGGTTTTTTTAGTCAGGACATAGGGTTCGGTTAGTGTATCTACAGAACAGGGATTACATTAAATGATTTGTCATTAATTTACGTACGCGTTACTTTCTGGATTTCCTCTTCAAATGTTGAAAATAGCATTGTAATGATGTAGGATATACACTGACTGTGGGCTGTTTACAGTACGGTCATACTTGCCTTTTTATATGCAGCTTAATAACTGTGCCGTTCTCAGACGGAGAAACTACCTCCATGTCATTGTTACAGTTTTACTCTGTCATGTCTTTGAGGGATTTTATTCAAATGTGGATTTTTTTCCAGATAGCAATATGTATGTTCATTATCAAAACAACCTAGTCTACTTGACACATTCACATCCAGGTTTGGTTCATTTTTGAAATGTGACAGTTGTAAGGCACAGATTTTGTGAAACATTTCTGTTCCTGTATTGTATACCTCTGCCGACATCAAGCCTATTAATGATGAAGTTTTTGTACAAATTGCTCCAAATAACAGTCCCTAATAATGTGAACTTAACCAACTTGCAGTCAGGAAATTCGTAGGTCAAGTTTGGGTCATTGTCTTAAAAAGGTATTGCTAGTTGCTAGGCTGGGATGGTATTTGTTGCTTTCCATAAACTGCTTTGATCTGCCATCTTTGATCTCGGGCTGTATTACCATGTTACCATTCACTGTGGTGTGGTACATGTATTGGCGGAAACTGATGCTACAAAGATGGCAGACTGCAAAGCATTGTGGGAGAATGCCAAGTATCCAAAGCCATCCCAGTGCGATACTGTAGAGATATGTCAAAGGTGATGTTACTGGCTAATGAGTGTATATCACGGATATTTCTCTCAGGGATCAGTTCAGAAACCTTTACCACTTTCATTCTCCTTGAAGAAGTATGGAAACAAGACTGATGGTGCGTAACTTTCAGTCCAGTGCATGCCTATTTTAGTGTTTACTTGCCCTGTAAAAATAGCTAACCTTTATAATAGGAAAATATTGAATTTTTAAAATAGCTAACCTTCATAACAGGAAAATATTGAATTTTTAAAACCTGTGGAATTTGAGAGCATTTTAATATGTAATGTGTATATTGTCTAAATTTTCTGTTTTACGTCGTAAAAATTATCCTGCTGCCTTGGAATTCCTAAATCCAGAAGGTTTAGTTCCTCAAATCTTCACTTAGCACTTCCTCAGGCAAAGGACTTAATGACAAGTCTACTTTAAGACTGAGAATATGCTGCCATAGTTTCTGCAAATAATTCACGTACATAACAAGTCATGTTAAAATGATGTGGCAAGACACACAGATAGGGCATGACAATCCAGACACCATTGGGTGGAAATTTGTGCAGGTTGTAACACGCAGCGTTTGGTAGTCCTCAGTAATTTGCATATCTACTGTGCATGGGCATTAGGAATGAATTTCATTAACATAATTATTGAGTGTAATTCAGACTATGCAGCATGCATGAACGTAATCCAGTAAGATAGTGCCTTTTTCTCTGATCAGGTTGTAAAATCAAACTCTGTTTTTCAGGCCATTTCTCTGAAGTTTCCAATCATTCCGATTTTCGCTTAACGGAATTCAATTTTTCTACTTGGATGGAATTAAGATCCTCCAAATATTGGCATGGTTGTGAATGTAATATTCGTGGGCACACAGGTAGTCATTAAATTTGGTGTTATTTTTGTTTTTTTACTTCTTTGTGTATGAAGCATGGCTTTTGTTGAACAAAATATGGGAAATTAGGAAAAAAAATGAACAGACGTTACCTCAAAAGTTCCCAACAAGATGTTTTGCAGTTCAGCAAAAGTGGTCAAATTTTGGCAACCCTGGTGAAATTGGATCACTGCATCAGGAAAGGGTATCCGGGTATCTCGTGCCAAAATGATCATGGTTCGTGTAATATTTTATTAATGAAGAGATGGGATGATTCCCGGAAGATCGCATTTCACATAAAGTTTCAGGGTAGATTTTATTTTAAAGAATACGTGCATAGTTTTTAAGTACAGAGATGTTTCTCTCAAGTTAACTCGAGTTCTCCGAGTGAAATGTATTTCTTTTCTTGAATGAACATGTTAATGCAAACTTTTTGAAATAAATCAGTTACCTCTCGATTTCCAAACTTAAGTGACTGGGAAACTGTATTTATTTTCTTTCCGTCTACAGTTTGGATGAAACATTGCATTTAGCATTTTCTGGGGCGAAAGGCTACTTTTGATGGGGAGGGGGGGATTAAATACGATTTCATTTGGAATGACATGTACTACAAGCGGTGTGCTTCGGGATTTAAGATGCTGGATTTATTTCCTCAGGCCTCTAAATCGTTGAGATGTTGACAATATTTCTTACTTGTCTCATAGAATCATGCCTACTTTAGTGAATGATCGCGAGAGCAGTCTGCTTCTCATTATGAACTCGACATAGGGGTTGCTTCCAACTCGTACATACAGAACCTTGAATCTGAATTTCATGTTGCAAGTCTGGTCGGAGCCAATTTGGATGATCATCAGGGTGGAGTTTATCTCCGGTTTCCTAGCCATGAAACGACTGAGAATATTTCTATTCCCCCCTGGATGGGATGCCAGTCCCTCGCAGGTTGCTTCCCCAGCTAATGCTGGTACCCATTTATACTCCTGGGTGGAGGGAGGCAGGCAGGGGTGAAGTGGCTTGCCAAGGGCCACAGCATACTGCCCGCAGCTGGATTCGAACCTCCAACCCTATGATTGGAAACCACAGACCCCAACCACTTGGCCAAATGTTCCCCTCTCTAATTTTATATTGAGCTCAATTTAACTGTTTTTCCAGAAATGAATACCCAAAAAATGGTAATGTAAATAACATGGATTTCAATTATAATTTTGAGGATGCTTCTTTTATTAACAGTTTGGGAATTTAATGAGTGTTGTATTTTCAGTGTTGTATTTGAGTCCATCACAAGTCCTCCAGTCTCAAGCCAATTCATAAGCTATTCAAATGAGCTATGACAGAAGCATTCTTTTGTCATTCAACCCTGGAGAATTTTGCACCAAGCTATCTTAACACATACATCTATCCTAAAGTAGAAGTTTGCTACGAGGGAAACTGCTTATGCGGGCGTGATTTAAATTCCAATATTTGGTTCTACCCTTAGCAGAGGTAATTCAGGAACAGCAAAACCAAAGGAGTTGATTTAACTTCCAAGTGCACCACATCTTCTGGGATGATTGGATGTGGAAGATTGAGAAATTATCAGTACTTCCGTTGTGTAATAGGGTCAAAGTAAAAGAAACTAATTCTGTGAACAAATGTTGGACAATCATCACTGGAATTATACGGTGCCTGTCTTGGCTGATTGACGGTGTACGGCATTGTTACCCCTGATTAACTGGCCAATAATTATTCTGGGGAAGCTGTAACATCCCCTGCTGATGCAGGTGGGGGGGGGGTTAAATACTGTCCTGGCAGCAGTCTTCCAATGGCAATCAGTCCTCATTAGTCAATTAAAGTACTCATTTGCTCTTGGGTGGAAAGAAGCAATTACAGTAATTGGCTTGCTTAGGGACATCAGCATCATTATGCCTCTAGTCAGGTTCTGGACCCACGCTCTTTATGTCTCCACCAGGAAAAAGGAGTCCGGTATCCTAACCATGAAACCCCACCACCCTGTGTATGATGTGTAAAACCTCTCTGGTTGGGGGTAAAATATTCCGAACAGCGTGGATGCTACGTGCAGGAATTGAGGTGGGCGTTGATTTCTGGATTCAGCCAGTCACTAGTGATATCGTCCAGATGATTGTCAAAGTCGACAAGGTCCTGGTAGGTCTTTTCCCTGAGGAGATCGGCGGCGATGGACAGGCAATCGTCAGAGAGCAGTGGACTGGAAAACAAGGATTCCAAATTATGGAATGAGATATTAGCACTTGCAATCATTGGTCTACCTGTAAAAACCTGGCTGTTCAAAGCTGCGCAAATGAGTGAAGCTGTGCACTGGTTCCAGATGGATTCATTGGAATGTGTGGAGGGAACCAGTCTAAACCACTTCCATCGTTCAAAAGAAAAAACAGTCTCTAACAAATCTACTGTTGGTGGGGTGGTTAAACCGAGGATGCAGACTTCACTGCTGTTGGCGTGTAAAAAGTTACTGGAATTTTATGATCGCTGTCACTTTTCAATTTGTATTTGCTGACTTACTTTTCAATGACAGACGTAATGCACAAATCACTGTAACAGCCAAGTTTGAAGTTTAGGAATCTATTTTTTCATTTCACATAATTTATAATACATGAAGCAAATTATGTAAGGAAACTGACTAGGTGCTTACAAATGATTATAAAGATGAACAGAGATGAAGTTAATTCTTTGTTCATCTTTCATAATAATTAATAATTGTTTGATTTTTCAACACTGAAAAACATCAATGGTATTTTATGAGGCTTGAGTGGGACCAACAGTGGCAGAAATTTCCCAGCAATAGTGACAACATTGATGGTTCACAAACAACAATGAAATGAACATGGTATGGTCGTGTCGCTGCCAACAAAATGAACGCTTTTTCAAGATGTATTTTTGCGTTGGGGATATGTTAATTATATATCACGGTTTTGCCCTTACCCAACGTATCCAACATCTGCACTAGTAAGCAGGAGGTCGTGGGTTCGAGTCCCACCCGAGTAAGCTTGTGAGGTTTTTTTGCAAGCTCTCGGACACGCACTGAGCATACAGTGCTTATTAATATACGTTGGGTGAGGGCAAAACCGTTATATATCAAATGAACGCTCTCCACCAACATGGCTCTCTTCAACCCATGAGGGGGTACTTTAGCTCAAGGGGGATACTCACCTATTGGTTGATTTAGGCTTCCATTTGCTATCTTGCACTGTGTACTGTTTAAGTATGCACTGATCACAGTCTATGAGCATCTTGGTGTTATCGATCTAAACAGAAATCAGAGTTCATTTCAACAACTTCCTTTTCATTTGTAACACTATTGAAAGGATGAATTATCCATTTTTAAAGAAGATGCAGAGTACTTACCATGAATAAACAGGCTTCATTGCAGTTGTCATATATTTTATCGGCAATCTTCAATGCAATTGGACTTGGACTAGAAAAATCAATTGAAATAGTGGTAATGCACTTGACTAAAACTGACACAAAACACAAATTTTGAATTAATTCCCTAGGTTTGAACTAATGCAAAATTGTAGTAAGACGCTTGTACAAGAGGACTTTTTGAAAAAATCTAGGTCAAGCTTAGGGCACTCAAAAACAATCATTTTAATTATTTTGAGGAGACAAAAAGCGGAAAACACAGACTCTAAACTTGAACATCCCATCAACAGTAAACAATACTTACTTGGAGTCCTTCAGATGCTCATTTGCATGATAATAGCCAGCAATAATTAAACCGTTCGCTTGGCAGTAGGAATCAATCTGGGAAAACAAATCGCAGACATGACAGAAAAGTGTCACTGGACAATGCCGGGCACAGAGCACAATTGCATTATACACAGCCTCTCACCAGCTCTCACAGTTGCCATATCTAAACTGCTGCCCAAGTTTTGGAAGAGCCCATTGGTACATGTATTATCTTATCGCTCAGTCCGTGTATTAGATATGTCAGTGTATGTCTCGACATGGAACAGCTGTCGAAACGATGAGGGGTCAAGTGACGTAATGTTCAACCTACCTTATTTTAAAGATGGCAACTATGAGAGCAAGCCCGTGAGATTGGATTTCGGTACTCTATAGCCAGAAACAGGGGAACTCTGTTTGGACTTCACTCTGAAAACAGACCTTAGTAAATGGCTGCCGATTTCATCGAAAACGGGTATGCCTTCTGTGTCGAAAATAGACGGTAACTTCGTATACTCACCTGAAAAAAAGCCACCTCCAAAACTGGAGCTAATCCAAGCGTTAAATGGCACATGGGCACACAATCTACAAATCTGAGGATTTTGTTTTCTTTGAGTTTCCTCTTCTCTGCAAGTAACACCCCATTTAACGCTGCATGTGGGTATTTCGCAGCATGCATAATCAATTTACAGTACGCACGATTCGATAAAGTTGTCTCTGCCATTTTCCTGCAGGCTCATTCGCGGCCGGTTCCTGGCAATGGAGGGCGCTATCACCAAAACTTGTATCCGCGTCCTTCAAGCTTCTCCAATACAAAGAAAAAAGAAATTTTTAACAGCTGAGCGGGTCAAATGATGCGTAGCTACAAATTGTTTACACATTAAAATCACGACCTCTTCACAAGTTTCCAACGAAAAATATCGCTCGTCTGATTGAAATGAAACGTGCGGCCGGGGAGTGAGGGTTCGGGTTTCGGAAAAAGGTTGCAATTTCGCAAAAATTTAAATTGATTAACACATAAACAAAAATCATTACAAACAAACACCCCCATACCCTCTTCCCCCCCAAAGAGGACGAGAAATTATTTATCCCCCTCGTCCTGTTTGACGTGCCCACAGACAGCTTATTTTAAAAGCAAACAAACAAACAAACAAACAAACAAACAAACAAACAAACAAACAAACAAACAAACAAACAAACAAACAAACAAACAAACCAGCAAAGCAATAATTTCATTGTCAATAATTTTGATATCAATTTCATTTAAAATAAACAAGGAAAACAGTTGTACACACGATAATCTCGACAACTCTTCAATCAATAATTACACTCAGAACTGCCCTATCTTTTCCGACCAACATGTTTGAGTTTTCATATTTCAACATGATCGTTTTTCCTGTACCTCTAGACCTGAAAATAAATAGCCACTAACGTAATTGGCGGGGTAGCTTCAAATGCACAGTATAAAGAATGAAAGTTGTCCATGGCGCCACTATCGCCGTATAGTGGTCTAAAAATGGGCCGTGACGGTGGTCGAGGAGCCCTGGTGCATGTGGGTGAAAACTCCGACAGCTCGGGGTCTGAAATAGCCGCAGGTAGTTTAAGTCGTAACACCGTACGCTGTCAAAAGTAGCTGGTGGTTTAATTAGTGGACAGGTCTAAGAGTAAGTGATGGCTGGGGCCGATCCAGGAATTTTTCCGGGGGGATGGGTCAGGCCAAAGAATTTTTTATGACTCATTTTTGCGTACAAGCGGAAACGAATGACACATTGTTTACAACAGTATTGGTGTACTGCGAGATGCTATCCTGTTTTAAAATTTACTTTGGTTATTTTTTATATATATATTTTTGCCTCAGAGCGGGGGGGGTCCTGGATCGGCACCTCGGTGGGTTCGCAAGAAGTGTCCAATTTTTATACGACTAACGAGTATCAACTTGCAGCACCACCATGACCTCCTAACTCCGCACGTTCGTGTTCTCGTCTAGAGAAGTGAGCCCTCTAACGACAACTATTTACGGCATGTTTAACCGGCCTTTGGTCGCGGGCTTTTGTAGGTAAACGGCGCGGTGTCTAGCTAGCTAGCTGCAAGCGTAGACCTACAATTTTTCAGATTAACGCGCCAGGCATACATGTAGGTCTTGCAGGAAATCGAACATCTGGGGAGTGTTCGTACTCGTAAACCTTCGTTCAACTCAAGTCTGTTGATCTCGTAAGTATATATTTCTTGTGTGCTGCAGATTGAATCCTGATGATCAAAAATTGAAGTGTAAGTTGGCAGAATGGTTGATATCGGAACAGACGAGTTTTTTCTACTTCCATTAAAAAATAGGCGTGGGCCTAGGCCTATAAACTGAAGCCTATAAACTGTTCTGGTGGAGTTCACCAGTCATCCACTTGCTTGATGATTGATCCTGAAATCAACAAGCCTAGCAATAAATGAAATTAAAAGGCCTTTGCATTGAGCGCGCTAGCGGAGAGGAAGGAATGACTTCAGCATCAAATTCAGAGCATCCTGACTCCAGATTGTTGCCGATGTTGGTTGTGTATAAAGTCTGTTCATGGGTTAGTCAGTGTCACTTTTCATACTATTTTCTAAGAAATCAAAAGAACAGTTTTCAGTCCCAGATTCATATCATAGGGTCTATCAACATTTATATCATGGCTGACCTTCACTGAAATCCTAACTCAAAAATTGGAGACAGGTCGCAGCATTTCTGATTGGTTCAAAGTGGTGGACGGAGTTTCTGATCTCGTTTATGAAAATGTTAAACTAACATTTAACAGGAAATACAGGGATGAGAAACTAGATTGTGAGTATTCTGCCCTACTCTTGTGCCAATCTGCCATTGCTTGTTTTAATTATGGAGGTAGCTCCACGTTTTAATGTATTGTACCCCCCCACACACATCGGCTCTCCCCTTTAATAGGTGACACTTTTCAAGGAAACTTGAAAAATAAATAATGCAAAAACAAATAATTATACAGGAACAACTTAGGGCTGAGTCAATGTGAATAATTCCCTGTTCAAATATCCGACCTTCAATTTGATTGAATATTGAAATATTCAGTTGTACCAACCAGCAGATTGTTGATGAACAAACCATGTACAAAATCAGTTGCAGTAACACACACAAGTGTACATGTACATGTACATTATGATCAGTACAATAGCTTCTCACATCTAGGAGTATCTCCAGCCACGATTTAGGAAGATTGAACAGATAGACAAGACTTCTTGCCCCGTTGAACATTTCTATTCTTTTAAATTGTTTAATGAATAATTTACTTTTTACATTGTTGTAAGATTTCTGACGCTTTTCACTTGAGTCTGGTTGAAACAAGCCTCCAAAGTGCAATTTTTGTTATTAAAAACAAAAGGGAATTTTCCCTTCCTTTTCATGAATTTTTCATTCACATATTCAAATTTCAAACATAATATTCAAGTATTCAAATTTGAAAAATAATATTCAAATATTTGACAATTGATCGAGTATTTGGTGATGCAGATATTTGGCACAGCCCTAGAACAACTGAAGAGATAATGAAGCATACCCGGATATCCCACTTTTTGCAGCTTGATTACCATTAGTTTTGAATGCTTGGGAGAAAATAAATATGCAACAAAGTCAGGCCCGAGGAAATGAAGATGTTTTACATGTATACGGTACAGTAATGATAGTAAACTTGTCCTTTGAAAATCATTGCGAGCCGACAGCCAATTGCCCCTCCAAAGGCCCGGCTGACTAGAAATTCACTGTACACATTTGACTATTTGTTCCAATTTCAGGGTCAAATAATCAATAAGTTTGTTCTGACTCGGCTGTATTCAATAAGAAATCAGTCGACTGTATTTTGTGTGAACTTTGAAAAGGCATCAGACCCCAAAGGGAGCAAGAACATTGATTGGCCTTCTGTGACCCAGCTTGCAAAGCCTCCTGTGTAGTTTTGAAAGGCAAATCAGTTCTTTGGAAATATCGCTGCTTTCAGTAAACAAGTCTGATATCAAGATCTTAGTTGCTGTATGGAAATTTATACATGTCCATTCTAACTACGTGTGTGCGGATTAGAAATAAATATTGAAGTGTTTGATTTAAAGTGATTAGATACTGAAATAGTCAAATGTATGGTACAGCTAGCTGTGTTACTGATCACGGCATAGTCACTAACCAGCCCTGTTTCAGATTGACCCAAACAAACTTTCTTGGGCATCTTCACCGCCTGCTGTGGTCAGTTCAAGTTGATAGACCCTACCACTGGTACCTATGCCAGACGGCCTACTAATGAATCGTCTCCTGTAATTAGTCAGAGCAAATTTGCAAGGTCTCCCAAGAATTCTTGTTATCCGAGACTCATGAATCCAACCAGGAAGCTGCGCCATCTGGCTTTACTAAAAAAACACCACAATCCTAGAGGGAGATTTTAACCGAAAGAATGGGGGGGAGTCTTTTTGTTGACTTCTGTGTCTCCTAGTGTCATGGTCGTTACTCATTTGTGGAGGTTAGACAAAAATTCTGTTCATTTGGTAGGATTACAGAATTTTTATGTTTACAGAAAACTGAATTCCCCTTCTCCGATTTGGAATTGAAATTTGTCATTAAGTTGGATACTATATATGTGCTGCTGTTCTTATCCAATGGAAGTGTGCTTTCCAAGTGACTTCTTCCACAGAAGTGTTTAACTTCTGAAGAGGAGGCTCCACTCCCGGAGCATTCTGTCCCTTTAGAGCAAGAACAGTTCCACTCGTGTTAAATTGTGTAATTATAAATTTATTCTGTCAGATCACTCTTAGATGGTTGGCTCAGAAGTCAAATTTTTTTTACTGAATTATTTTTAACTTCTAAACAGAAGTCGAAACGAAGGAAAAGCAACAAGAAAGGAATAGCGTGCCCAGTAATCTAGGTCCAAGTGGCCATGGCCTAATTTGAAGAATCTGGAATCATTTCTTCTGGCTCAATAAGAGGACAGAATCGATCACCACTGCAAGGGTGGGGGGGGGAATAAATCCCACTGAGCTAGGTTAGATAACGAGAGCGTGTGCTACCATCTGGTCAAGCACGTTAATTCCATTACTGGAGTAGCCATGGCCCTCTAACCTCTTGAACTTGAGAGTTGTTTGCCTGTCTTGGAGTTTTCTGGTAGCGTAATTTGAAACATAAAGCACAAGCGTTTGTTCGAAACATTGTAGGGTTGGGTTCACTGAAGTTTGGCCTGTCCGTGCCCCATGGTTGGAGCACTGTTTTTGTGTGCTTGAACTACGATAGGTGTTTGTTCAATCTGGATTGTAAATACTCAAGCATTCAAGCACCTGTTACAGGTAAGTATCGCCGGGCAAAGCCTTCTCCTTTGCTGACAAAGTCACTTCAAATTCTCAATTGTGAGTGGACTGTACATGTACGTGGTTCATGCCTCCGTTGAATGTTGGCTGAAGTGTCGCACTGTACGTGTGAAAATCCAAGTGCTGGGTTAAGGTCGTGAGCATTCTACCGGGGTATTGGTGATTTTTGCCATTTACAAAGCATTGTCAGAATCGTCGTTACTTAAGCTTAGAATGTTCTAGGTCATGGTATGCTCATTGAAGGATCAACCAGTTTTTATTGTGTGTCTTTAGGCGAAAGAACTGAAAGCAAGAGTTCAGACTGTGTAGTCATGTTTTCAGTTACGTTATGCATTTGAAACAATTTTCTGTGAAAAACCCTTTAAAGGGATGTTGTTTTGTACTGGTGGTTGACATTACGCGGGGATACAATTTTTTTTAGCCATTTTTCTCCTAACTGCTTGTTAGGGGGAGGGTGTAGCACAAAAGGCCTCCCCTATGTACATGTAAGTACATCTATCCTCGTGGCACAAAAGCTCTCAGCGTGCGTTGTGTCAAATGCGCATATATACTGTACTTGCGCGCCTCATGGCGCGCCTGTGCCGTGAATACCAGAAAAAGCCCTCTTTGTTCCACTCAGAGCGGATGTCCAGCTACGTGTACTCCAAGTAACAAGGATTCTTACAAGTTGCCTTTTTCAAAATTTTTAAGCATCCGACCATGTCCAAATATCAAAAAGGCAATTTGTCAAGTCCCAGGCTGTATCTGAATCTCTTGGCTAGAGCTAGGTCTAGGTCTTCACTCCATTGGAAATGCGTGGAGACGCGTAGACAATAGACCTAGCCGTAGCTCTGGAAGCCCATGTCGGACACAGCCCTAGTCACTCAGACTACTGCCCAAGTTACTCCCAAATCCTAAACCTGGTTTTGTTTGGATACCTGTACAAAAATCAGTTTTGCATGATGAGCGATGGGCACCTTGTTTGCCACATGGAGGCAGCAGATGTTGGCAGAGATATGGAACATTTTCTGTCAAACATAAAGATATCTGTAGATACTGAAAAACTGGATAATTAAACCAAAGTTGTTAATTGTAGTGAGGCCAAAAAGGCGGAAAAATTGTTCTGCTTTCACTGACACGGCATCTTCCAACAGGGAAAGTAGACCTTTGAAGGAAATATTCAGGGGGGCTCCTTTCTACACATGTAGTTGTGTAGTGTGCAGCTGAAGAAAAAATAGCACGAGAAGTTGGGTGGCATTTTAAAACAAAAATGAGCAACGCTTTTCTTTTATTTCCAATTTCACATTTTTCAACCCCCCCCCAAAAAAAACCCATTGGGTCAGACCATCACAATATAGAGTACATGTACATCTATGTCGGGAAACTGAAAGCGTTATTTTTTTGGGGGGGGCCTTATTCCAACACCTGCCTGCAAGGAATAGCAGATTTCTTGCTGCCCTTGCAAGATTCAATATAGTGCCATAGAGACGTCCACAGTACACTGTACATCGCACGTGTTTTCATTTGGTGTCTCACTACCCACAGTAATGCACAATAGGCCCTGCTTGATCTCATTATATTTTTCGTGCCTGAAGCAGTTGGAGAGATTGGGCTGTACAGTTGTAATGCATGCCTGTAGATAAATTGACCTATTTTTTTTTGAGAAATTGGCGGGAAATCTGTGGAGTGGCAGTATGAGTTTGTATTTTTTTTCCAGGTTAGGGTTTACAACATACCGGTACATGTTCGCTCTTGAAATCAGTCAGTTTGCTAACTGGAGCGTAAAATTTCTCCAGCGTGATTTTTCTGTGCATCTGTTCCTTGCTCTATATTCTGTGCTAGTGTTGTCAATTCGCTGAGAGCAACCATGGATCAAAGAAGAGAGAGTGCCTGTGAGAATGATTGTTGACTAGTGCTGTTCAATATGGCTTGCTGAATATTGCCTGCCAAAGAAATGATTGCTCACTATATTGCCTGTTCAATATGGCTTACTGAATATTGCCTGCCAAAGAATGATTGTTGACTATATTGCCTGTTCAATATGGCTTGCTGAATATTGCCTGCCAAAGAAATGGTTGCTCACTATATTGCCTGTTCAATATGGCTCACTGAATATTGCCTGCCAATGAATGATTGTTGACTATATTGCCTGTTCAATATGGCTTGCTGAATATTGCCTGCCAAAGAATGATTGTTGACTATATTGCCTGTTCAATATGGCTCACTGAATATTGCCTGCCAAAGAAATGATTGTCGACTATATTGCCTGTTCAATATGGCTTGCTGAATATTGCCTGCCAAAGAATGATTGTTGACTAGTGCTGTTCAATATGGCTCA